CGCTAAGGCGAGAGAGACGCTTAGCAGCGGGCATTGGATGCCAGCAAACAATGACTCAAGAAATCCCTACCTAGGACCTGCGGCAGAAGATGCTCTGGCTCCACTCCTGGCACGCCACCTGGTTCGAGTCCCCGACTACGCAACACTTCTCAGAAGAGAGAAGAGGACGCATAGAAAAATAGTTTGGTGAATCGGAAGGAACCTTGGTCAGCATAGCAACAATACCCCAGCATCTCTTTGACTCTGGTGCCCTTAGAAGTAGAAAAAAAAAATAATGCGTTCGGACTTTTTTTTTTTTTTTGCTTTTTTTTTTGGGGGGGGGGGGGGGGGAGTATTTCTCAAGAAATGTAACGAAAAACATTTGATCCTGATTGTATCGCGATACAAAGGAACATTCAAAATGTATTTCGATACAGGAATACAGATACTGGTGAAAACAATGTATCGCGATACAGAAATACAGATACGAAATGTATTTCTGAAATACTATCGCGATACATTTGTATCGCGATACTGCCCAACCCTGCTTGGGTCGCCCTATATAAGTAGGGTGACCACCTGTCCCACAACTCGCGGGACTGTCCCACATTGAGGCCTCTTGTCCCGCGTCCTGCCAGAAATTCCTAGATCTCCGCAGCTCGTGGTGCTGCTGAACAAGGGGGCACAGGGAAGCGCGGAGGTGGCTGGTAATTGTGTGAATCAAAATAATACGCCATTTTCTATCCAAGCATTGCAGGAAGCGACCGTCCTTGCAGGAGAACCGAGGCACATGCGCCAGTGTGCCTCTCCTTTTGGTAGCAAAATATTGTAAGAAAAACTGCTTGCTAAAAGTTTAAATAATGCAATTATTTTCAGATTGCTGTGTCAATGCAAAAGGGTTGCTGTGGATTCTTTGCTATTTTTAGCGAAGACCGTTACATTTGCAATGGACGAAAAAGAACATAATGTTAAAATTTGTGTAGATAAAAGTAAGCGTTGTCAGGAAACAATAACCCCAAAAAGATTTACTGTTTTTTATTTCCATTTGATGCTTTGAGTTCTGATACAGTAGATTTTTATGTTTTCAACTTTGATACATTTAATTACATGTTTGGTATTAAAAAAAATATCACTGGGAGTGGAAATCAGAAAACAGAATCTCGATCGGTTCGTTGTGCGCGTGTTAAAAAATTTTCTCTACCCCCGCCTCCTGCCTCGCGTGTCCCACATGTCGCTAGCAGGAAAGGTGGGACTTCACACTATAGTCGGTTACAAGTCAAGAAGGTAGCGGCAAATGCCCCTCAAAGGGAATCATATATCCCTCCGCCACCTTCGCATCCAATGCGGAGGGCAAGTTCGTCTGCTTCTTGCGCAGGGGGTAGCGGTGACGTCAGAACGCCGAGCCCTAATTGGCTGATGGCGACCCCCTATCTGAGCGTCGTCTGCTCCTTTGCAACGTCGTCTGCTCGCAACGTCGTCCGCGTCTGTCTTACCTTTCCTGCGACTTTCGGAAGGCCAGATTCACGAAACGATCTTACGCCAAAAATGTGCGTAAGACAAAACTTAAGAAGAAATTCGTATTCACGAAACGAAATTTTCGTAAGATTTGCGCAGGTTACGACAAAATCCTACGACAGTTCCGAAGCTCGCACTTCTGAGCATGGCCGACAGCGTCGTGGTCGCGACGACCCACGGACGTTTATTTTTTTACGTACGCTTCTCACGCGTCCCGACTTCAAGCAGCAAGAAAAAAGTAAAACGTACTTGAAACAGACCACGACGAACAAGAACGCTGTATCCGCAAGCAGCCGGGAAAAGCTCCAGCGGCCACGATTCCACCGAACGCTACCAAGCGAGCTTCGGCAGTTAGGCCTAGCAGGCACTCCGCGACTCGGCGACCGTCTGCCCACGACCGGCTGGCGTGCTAAATGGAATATGCCCGAGCGACCCTTGTGAACCCTTCCCGTATTATACTTTCATCGCTGACCTCTATTTTAGATTAAGAGGTCAATTTCTTCCTCTTGTTATCTCCTTGTTTTCCGAGGCAACGGTGACTCTCGCCGGTGAAAAAGCGGTGAATCTCCGACAGACGCAGGAAAGGTAAAGCAGCCATCGCTTACGTAAAGCAGACGACGTTAACTGCGTCAACCCGCCGACGCCGTTAAAGAATGAGGGGTCTCGCCGCACACGAAAGGAGGGAAAAAGTATTTGGGAGGGAACCTTCGGACACTAACCACTCTCACCTCTCCGTTCTTAGCAAACAAACCTCGGCGCCTCGGGACACCTCGCCAGTGAGTCCTTTGACTTCTTTCCTTGATGCGCGTCTGCTAGTTGTTAGACGAAAACTACGTACCGCTCGAGTTATTTCGTCTGCCCTCTTTCAAAGGCGAAGTCGAGTTCGCTCCGAAAGCCGCAGGAAAGGTAAGACAGGCGCAGACAATGTTGCGAGCAGACGACGTTGCAAAGGAGCAGACGACGCTCAGATAGGGGGTCGCGATCAGCCAATCAGGGCTCGGCGTTCTGACGTCACCGCTACTACCTTTCTCATGCGCAGAAGACGAAAATGAGCCCACTTGTCCCATTGTTTCCGTGACATCGCGGCCAACGCACGAGGAGGGTCTTGCCTTTCTGTACATATTTGCTTTATCTTTCGACTTTGACTTAGCGTTGTGGAAGCCACGAGAGGGAGATTTTAGAGTTTTGCCCCTCCGATGGAAACAAATACGACTTTCGGGGATTAGCTTCCCCCTCCGATGGATACAAAGGCTGCTTTCAGGGGCTCGGTTCCCTCTCCGATGAATACAAAGGTCGCTTTCTTAAAAAGTGGGATCGGAGACAAGTTGGTAATCCATTGAAGCGGAACAAGGAGCGTTTCCAGTGAACTCTTCTTTCGACTGCGGAGAGATTTGAATAGGGAGGCTCAAGTGAGGGTGGGTGCAACTGCTAGATCGGCGATCACGGGACATGGACGCCATTTAATTGCTAAATTTTGCTGGGAGTCTATGGGGCAAAGGGTCGTTTTCTTTCCTAACTCAGGTCATAAAAGCCCATTAAGGTGCTTGAATAATTTACACAAGGTATAAATGATTACTTTTCCATAGCCACCAGTTTTGTTGCGATAGGTTAAGTATTTTTTTTAAGCGAAAAATGGTAAATTCCGCCATCTTGGACGTTGCTGCTTGTCTGGCAACTTTGCTTTCTCCGCTCGACGTTTGCAATTCTCGGAGCAAGAAGGAAGCGAGAGAGGCTGCGCCAAGGCGCTCGTTGCTTGCAATGGGAGGCGAGAGGAGGAAAGGCGCATGGAGCAACAGAGTTGCAACGGAGCGGGCGCCTGCTCTCGTGCAGGCAACACTGGCGCATATCCTTTCTCGAATCCTCTCCCTCAGGCGCCGCCATTAAATTGCAAACGCTCTCCAGGTTTTGAGTTGCGCCCACCCTCACTACAGCCTCCCTAGATTTGAAACGGGCGCATCACGCTTGTGGGAGGGCTTCTCCTACCTTCTTGACTTGTAACCGACTATAGCACTTAGTTTATAATTAACCTCTACCTTTCCCTTCCCCTCACCAAAATGGGGTCCTCCATCACCTCCGCCAATCCCTAAGGGTTCTGTGAAACATCAATTGTTGAGAACCACTGGGCTAGAAAATTGAGCGGGACGACTTTCATTTTGCTCGATCAACAGCAAGTTTCGCTGGGTCTGTTCCAGCGTCAAGCCCATGTCGTGGCCCTGCTAAAACAAGCGTGCCCATTTTAGTGCATGAAGTAAAATGGGTGAAGGGTTGCCAGAAAGCCACGGTCGGAATGTTGAAAGTGAGACAAAAAGGATGTGTATCTTGATGACATGCTGTATGAGCATTAACATTGAATCTGTAAAGCATGCCAATGCCGAAGTTTCATAATTCGTAAGATTTGTAAAAGTAAGATTCGATTTTCTGAAACTTTATCAATGGAAAAATGGTGTCCACCCCTAAGCTGAGACTACGGTGGGAGTTATAGTGCCCTGCCGGACCAATTGGCAACTTCCCTCTTATCACCTGACCCAGCTCTCTGCACGCGGCTACGGGCGGGAGCGTGGGCGAAAGAGAGGCATATGTATGACTGGTCCAACAAGGACGTAAGCTTCCGCCGCAGTCTCAGCTTAGGGGTGAACGGAGTATAGTTGACACCATTCATGTATCTGTGCGCTTTGTTGGCCAACATAGAAGTTTGGGCTAGTTGGTATATCATAATTAAAATTAAAAACAGTGCAGACACGGACAAGAATGCTATTTTCCCATTAAAGATTTCCGAAAATTGCTTACAACTTTTGAAAAAGATGACAGTTAGTTCTGAAACTTAGACATTTGGTCTGGACCAATAGGGCAACAATAAAGTAGAGACTGTGCTCAACAGTTTTTATTTTTTATATTTTTTTGTATTAAAGAAAACTTAATTTTTTTCTTAGGGGCACCATTTATACATTCAAAAGGTCTCTCTTTTCAGTTTTCTGCTTTGTGTCTTAATTCATTGCCGAGATACGAACATGTTAAACCGAAAGATTATTTTATCCTATTTGAATCCTCCACTGCACCAAGTTGAAAACAAATTTTGCACACGTGTTTTTTTCTTTTTTCTATGTCTATCCGGCAAATCGGCACATCATATATTAATTGGTATAATTAAAGTGCAACTTCATCGTGGAGGAAGCATTCCGGACGGGGCACTGAAACGCGTATACCTAACCCTCCCCCCCGCACTCCTCTCTCTCCCCCGTGATACAGTGCCCGTGAACTTCGTCCCCAATAACGATATCCCGACAACGATACAACGCGTGCGCAAAGGTCTCGGCATTGTATCTGGTATCGTAATCGGACTCAACTCTCATCTCCAAAGATGCAGGAACTGAAACTCCACCGTAAAGAGAGGGAGAAAATAAATGGTCGAATAACACTTTTAATTAGTTACTGAAATCGTGAGTAATTTTAGAATTACTTTACAGCTCTGAAGACAGCTGGTCACGAAAAAAAAAAAAATATGACAGCGCGCAAGTTCGGAGAATGTGGAAAAAAATACATGCGCGCTGTGGAGAGACGACAGAAAGGAGGGGAGGGAGAAAAGAGACATTCGCGCATGCGTACTGCTCAGTCGCTCAGTTTAGGTTTCTCCCGTGTCTTCGTTTAGGCGAGCGGGCAGGCTTTCCCACAGTGCGCCCAGTGCGCCGCAGCTGTGTGCGACAAACCGTTGGACTCGCCGTCCGGGATGAATGCCAACTGGGCGATGTTGTTGTGGCAGCTGGCTGCCGTCGCCGCTGTGGTGGCCTCCGCGTTTCGGGATAGCCGACCCGGAGAGGAAAACAGACTCCTGGGGCGCTTGCAGAGTGACAGTCCGCGCGCGGTGAGTGCCGTCACCAGATGGCTGAACTCTTTACCAGATGGTGTACTCGTTTCTGTGTTTCTGTCACAAAGAGCTCTGCTGTCACATAGCAGTACTGTCTGCTCGTAGCTTCACGTGAACAGATGGGGCTTAGTACGCGTGGAAAGCCAGTGGAGCCAAGGTCGAAAATGAAGCCGCCTCATGTTTATTTCTAACTCATCTCCACCACTTGTAACACTTGTGGATTATGATCGATTTAAAATCGTAGGGTGGCGAAGGAATCCTGAGTTTTTTTTTACGTCAAAAATTGTTTGAGGAACTAGTTTAGGTCAATATGTGATACAGGAACAACAAAAAGAAATAGTATATTCTGAAAGGATATTCTAAATTCTTAGATATGCAGAGATAAAAGACTCTACATATTGCCTGGATATATGTGCCTGTATATATACGTATTTCCCCTCCAGAAATAGCTGTGCAGGTATTTCTGGAGGGGGGAGTCAGCATAAATGATCGATATTTCAGGCCCCCCCCCCCCCCCCCCCCCCACACACACACACACACACACACGCTTACATGCATACACACTTTTCCTGCATGCCTAAAAGTTTACACATGGGAAATTCAAGAGGGGGGTCAGGAAATCCGGACTCATTCTCTGAATCCGCCGCTACATAGATATGTGTATAATACCAGGATTCAGCAGTATACTAGCAATGCCCTAAATACTCAACTCTGAAAAGTATATCCGACCAGACTCCACTAATTAAAACACACACACACAAAAAAAAAGAACTGTTTCTTATTAGCGTATATGTGCTCTCAAGTTACAATTCGTTCTGTGATTCGGTTCTCTGCTCCTGCTCCTCATCCAAAATCCCCACTTGAAAAAAGAAAACTCCGTGGCAATCCTCTCTCGCTGTGACACACCTCTAAACCTGTGGCTTGTTGTCACCATTTAAGCCCTCCTGCCACAGGCTTGTTCTCGAGCGCTACCCGGACGTAAAAAGATTAGCAAAAGTTTCTTTAAGTGGTGCACTTATACTCATATTTCACGTGCATAGGTTTCTGGGAAAAAGCCATAAAAATCTCACTGTCTTTTTATGCACAGAAAAACGGAAGCAATTGAAACCGTTTGGCTGATGCTGGTACTCGAGAAATGATACCCCACACGTTCGGATCTGCTGGATCTGCTTTTGCATGGTCATCTCAAAGAATTTCTTTTAAGTTTTCGTTTTATGTTGCACCATCTCTGGGTTTGGGTTCAGTTTCCCTCCTGTGCAGAGGAGTGAACAGGATGTTTTTTTGGCTTCAATATTTTTTTCAAGGGACCTACACTTATGGACTTTGAGTATAATAATAATAATAATTAAGTTGCTTCAAGAATTACACAATGCTGGAGGCCTGTAGAGAAAGCTGTCACATTGGCAGCTTGACAAAGCAAAGGGATCCATACTGGGGATTTGATAACATAAATGACTTATAAAAAAAGTGAAGGTATAGTGTGTACTAGAAAAAGAAAATATGTATAATAATAATTGTATATGATGACTAAGAAAGCTATAGCTAGGGTTTCGGTGTTTATTTTTTATTTTTCTCAAAATCGGGGATATTTCTTTTTGGGGTTTAATTTTTTCTACAAATTCTGTGTTTTTTGTGTAAATTGGTTATGACTTAAACTTTTTCTGTGTACTCTCGTCCCCAGCCACCTAATAGGCGTATCCGGTATGGGCGACGAAAAAATAATCCAACGTTTCAACCTGCAAATTGTAAACAAATAAAGGGGAGGCAAAACGACAACGTGTGACGTTTACGCTTATATCCTAAATGCCTTCTATTGGCGTGGCAAAGGCAAAACAAAGTTTTCGCCCATACTGGAAGTGACGTCAATTCAAGATGGCAGCGCACTTGCAGAAAAGGTCTATAAAAAAAAACTAAACCCCTAAAAAAAATTTTTTTTTTTTTCGAGAAAAAGAAAATAAATTTAAAATGTGGAACCCTAGTTATAGCTTATGCAGAAAAAGAAACAGCTAAAAAATATTGAAACTCAAGAATTATGATTGCAAACTTTTGATCTGCATAGAATAAAATAATAGGTCTGCATAGGTAAGATGATAAATGCACCTCCTAAAAAATGAAAGACGTTTACAAATCTCCGTAATGCGAGATTAGAGCGCAGCTCTTGAGGAGGAGGGGAGGGCATGCCCCTCCTCCTCCTTCGTACTCTCCTCCATCCCTCCTCCTCCTTTCCTGCTCCTCCTTTCCTCCTCCTCTCCTCCTGCCGCTGTATTTGTTCATGGGTGATGCGACACAAAGTCATGACGTCATTTTCATGAGTCATTTTCCCCGTTAAATTTAGCATGGAAATTTTCTCACTAAATTTAGCGGGGAATATTTTCCGCTAAATTTGGCAGGTAAATTTTCCAATAAATTTAGTAAGGAAAATTTTCCGCTAAATTTAGTGGGAAAATTGTTCGCTAAATTTAGCAGAAAAAATTCCCCGCTAAACTGCAACAGTGTGACATGTTGGGCTAGTTGGTTGAGGTGAACATCTTGGGAAGAAACAGCGGCAAAGAAACTTATACAAAAGTAAAGAAACATACACAACAGGACAGCGCTGACCCCGCTAAATTTAGTGGGGAAATGTCCCATAATGCAATGCACGCAGTTACGTTGACGGCGACGCCGCTCAACCCGGAAACGGGCGCCTAAGAGCTGCTTTCTAAAACACCTGTGAGAAAAGGCTTATTGCATTTTGTTAATTAATTGGCTTATTTATAAGATTATTTTTATGCCAAATAGCTCAGAAACACCTTGTAGGTTGGCCGAAAATGTGTCCTGTGCGCTATATTTACAAATGAACTGTAGACATACTTTGATGTGCTGCCGAAGTGGCGATGTCTGCTTCTCAATATCGCTACAACCATATAACAAAATTTATATGTGTTCCAGTTTTCGGAAGTGTGTATTAGTTGCGTAGCCAGGAATCTGTTTCAAGGATGTTGGAGGCAGAGACAGCTGGGACGTTCATGACTGGGGTTGGGGTTGGCATATATATAGCACCAAGCCTCCCCTTCCAACTGCATTGGGGTGAAGGGACTGCGGCTGAAGTCCCATAAGCCCGCATGACTATGCCTCTGCTGGTCTGTAAGAATGAGCAATACACATTAATGCCGAATATGCCCCTGTTGGTCTGTAAGAATGAATGCATTAAGGCCAAGAGTACTCTAAAATCTCACTAAGATTTTTTCTCTTTTTCAGGACATTTTGCTTCGACATCTTATTCGAGCAAAACTGGTGAGATAACTCAACTTCCCTGCCTACTTCAGCACGAGACAATTGATGACGTTAGCTAGCACTTGTAGCTATTGATGGTGACTCCCATTGCTGTCAGGGGTACCCAGTTGTCACGGTGAACTTCACATTCAAGGGCGCTCCAACAATTTGTGTTATTGCACCTTTCATTTGATGCCATTGTATATATTTGTTTTAGGACCCCACGAGTCATACTTCAGCAGAGATGTAATGGGGTCGTAGGCATCGGTTTTCAAGGTTTCAGTATGGGAAACTAAAGAAGATTATTTTCCTCTCCCCATGTCATGTCACAGGTATTTCTGGTGAAACTATAAGAGCAGCATTTTAGATTCTGAAACACGTTTCTAGAGAAAAAAGACATCCACAATAGACTCTTTCTTTACCGCACCATAAGGCCATTGAACACGCGTAATCAATGAATTGCGCGCGCCGCCAAAATTTAATTTCTGTGCGCTGGAACAGGTTATGCCATCTCGGGGATAGCTGGAAAACTATAGTTTTGTTTCCGATGGGGTGTCTTTTTCCCGCGAGGCAGTGAATTGTCCGCAATAAATCACTGGCTCGGATCTAAACTTGTCAAAAAATGGCGTCATGCACGCGTCGGGTGCTTCCGGAAAAACGTCGTTAATCGTGTGATTCGGCTGCAGAATATTTGGATGACACAATCCGTGAGGAGTCAGAAAATGATGTCGCGCATTGTCTGCTTTTAGCTCTGACAGCGACAGCTCATCAAATCGACTTGGAACTTCAACAGCTGTTCGGAAGTAAGCCTCCTTTAAGCGTGTATATCGGTCCTGAGCCAATGCTCCCATTCTATGTATGTTGACAGTGCTTTATTTTGTTTGCTTAAGGTCTCGACGACCTACGGAGATAATGTTCTGCCGCTAGCTCAGCCTCGAGTGACGTTTTCGTCTAGACGAGAGTCAGAGGTGGATTTCGGCACTGCGCTTCGTGGTGGCTTGCAGAGATTCTTGAGGGCACTGGATATTTTCCTTCTGTTCTTCACCTCCGAGGTCCTCAAAAGATTGTGCCAAAACACGAATAAATGTCTTTGGATGCTCATGGTTTGGATAAACCAACATATGCTCGACCAGATGTACAAACCCTCTACAAAGGCCTGCATCCTTCATGGATGATGTCTAGGGCACAGTTTCCTTCACTACTCGGGATGCTGCACGTGTCTGACTTGGATGATGCGCGAGCATCAGGAGGCAAGCTCTGAAAGGTGTCTTGGCTGCTTCATCACGTAAGCCAAACGTCGACAAGGCACTTCCAACCCCATCGGGACACCTCCGTGGATGAAAGAATAGTTAAAAGCTTTCTCCAGAATCAAACAGTACCTCTGGGACAAAGAGACAAAGTGGGGCTATAAGCTTTAGGTGCTGGCTGACTCCCAAGCTGGAGCCACATTCCAATTTTTCATCTACACTGGCAAGTTTGAGAGGCCAGGACCGCACGGTTTGGTTTTTGACGTCGTCGGTGAGCTTTGCGCCTAGTACTTTGACCAAGGCTACGAAGCTTTCATGGACAACTTTTATACGTCTACGCACCTTTTTGCCCACATCCTTGACCGTAAATTATTGGCTTGTGGAACAATGCGTAAAGATCGTCGAGGCTTCCCAGCGGAGCTCAAAGGCACGAGGTGTGAGATACCAGCTCAACTGGGGGACACTAGTTGGCCACGTGACAAAAACATTCTCTACCTCCAGTGGAAGGACAGGCATGTCGTGAACATGATAAACACTATTTACACAGCCAACAAGCACGTTCCTGCCCTGCAGAATGAGAAGAGAGGATAGACGTGGACTAGAATTGTTAGGAAGCTCTGCGCTGATTCATGACTTCACTTCTGGCATGTTGGGCATAAACAAGTCTGACCAAATTATTGGGTCATACAATGCCCTAATGAAATATGTGAGAAGGCAGAAAGCCTTGTCTTTCCACTGCAGTGACATTGCCTGCGTAAACAGTTTTATTATTTTCTAAGCGCATCACAAAGAACACCCAAACATTCTGGAGCTGGTTCAAAGCACTAAGTTTGACCTCCTTCTCTTCTCAGTCTTTTGCGCTTCTAAAACCGTTGTCTAGAGCTGATCTAGCAGCTTTTTGGTCATGATGATGAGGAGGAAGTCCTCAACCCACCCCTGCCCCCAAAACACCTGTGCCACAAGCCTGAAAAAATTGAGAAGCGAAGAAACTGCAAGAAATGCTATGAAGAAACCAAGATTGAACACAAAGCGAATATGTTTTGCAGGGCATGCGAGGTGTAGCTTTGCTTTACGACTGCGTGCAACTGCTTCACGGAATGGCACAAGCACCACGAAGCCTAACTTGATGACGAAGCAAAAAAACAGTTTCAGATAGAGTGATCTAACTTCCAGAACTGGTAGCGGGTGTATGGGGCACATTTTGTATATTCTGAATTGTTTTTATTCATAGTAATCTTCAATGTAGCCGTGCATCAAAACTTTTTGTATGTTTTTTTAACGCAATTTTTAAGTTTAGGAATTAAAATTTACAGACTTCTGTATTTCATAACTTGGTACTTTATTTTCTTTTAAAGGGAAACTAATTGACTCTATTTCGAGTTCTTTGAGCGGTGACTGACTGCACCTGCTGCTGTAGTCAGGGGCGAAAAAGAGAATTGTCAGATACTTGATTTTTATGTACTTATTCGGGGTGGAAACAAGCCAGCACTCTAGAGGTTGACTCGCTGGCAGCCAAAGGGGTCAATAGATGCCTTAGGACAACTCTGAAAGGGGAAAAAAAATGCATGTAAGTGTGGGTATTGGAGCAAATACATTCCCTGTCAAACTTACTGAGTTCTGTCATGGACAAATTCGTTAGTTGTGCTTCTGCGTTTCGTCGACACTAAGAATGACGCTGCTAACTAATCATCTGCATGCTAGCATTTGGGGGAAGTCGCAGACGTCATTGGTCAACACGGCGGAACACGGTGCATTGGAAGTGAAAACACATTTTGTGAAACAACCCTATACCGCCCACGCATTGCAAGTGGTCCTGAAGTTGCAATGTCACTTTTATGAACTGTCGGGCAAGCTACAGCCAAAGGGCGTCTGCCGAATCCGCCCCTGCTGCTGCGCTGCTGCCAGTATTGCGGCAGTTAGCAGCACAACACTTCTTTGACGTCGCCGGGCGGAAGCAGAGGGACCACGAATGGGGACGCGGCAACGGCCAACATAGTGCAGCTGAGAAGTGATGTCGGCAGAAATTTTTTACAAGGGGAGTTTGTGTCTTCATAATAGGGGAGGGATCGGAGGGTTACTTTCAAAGTAATTCATTACAGTTATTTAAAAAAAAAGTAGCAAAGTTACCATTACAGTTACCACAATGAGTAACATGTTCTAGTTAGTTAGTTTAAGAAAGTAATATGGCATTACTTTTGAGTTCTTTTTCATAATGGGCATGTAGAGATACATGGGCTATACCCGGGCCGTGACTCGTGAGAAACCATGTATTCGCAAGTTGGCGCAAGGCAAACGGGACACTCAACATGTTGGAACATCATTTGGAAAGTGCTAGGATTAGATATCATACTTGTTCAATGACATATCATAGCCCTCAAGAAACTGTGAAAAGTAATTATGACAAGCAATGTTGCTTGCATCGTGTTACTTCAGAAAATGTTAAAAAAACAACTATAGTAAGTTTATGTTGTGTTACAGTTAGAAGTTACCTTAAACATAATGATGTTACAGTAACGCGTTGCTACCTAAGACTGCAGTGGTTTGGCTATAGAGCTGAGGGGAGGTTTCAACCCCAAAACCCCACCTCTGCCAATGCCACAGCAGCCAATGGAGTGGTTGACTCCTGCGCAGAGTCCTGTGGCCCAGGAAGATGAAGGGTGGCCTCCCCGGGAGGTCACGGGGGCACTGGGGCCGACCTCGGCTGTGGCCGTGGATAGCCGTGGGCTTGTCCATATTCTCCACCGGGGACCCGTCGTCTGGAACGCGAGGTATGTCATAACAGACGGGTTTCGTGTTGGTTTGGTGCGATATTGTGACTTCATCACTAGAGATGTATCGTTCGGTTTATCTATGTATTCTCTATATATACTATAACTAGGGTTCGGAGTTTTCGGTTTAAACCGATAAAAAACGATAAAAGTACGCCGAATCCATTTTCAGAAATTCGGTTTTAACCGAAAAGGGTCAGTTTGTAGGTTCGCCATTTTCGACTTAAATCAATAAAAACCAATAAAAGTACGTCGAATTCATTTTCTAAAATTCAGATGTAAAGGGATACTGAACCGAAATTTGGATTTCGCAAAGTAAGGCTGCAGAACTGTTGAACGGGACGCTGGGGACGCTACGAACTCCAAAACATCACTCGTACATCGATATCTCAAACGGATGGCCGTACTTTTGAAAAAGGGCACGATCAAGCGAGTTCTTTGACATAAGTGTCCTCCGGGAGAATTTGAGAATGAGAAGAAGCGGCCTCGCTTCTCTCCTCCTCGCTTCGGTTCACCAACTTGACGGGACGTAGCGAGGAGGAGAGAGAATGGGAATCGTGACGTGCCTTGTCTCGTCGGCCTCGTCGGCCGGGTTCAATCGCGCACTTCTTTTCCAAAAAATACGGCGATCCGTTAGAGATATCGCCGTATGAGTGATATTTTTTTGGTTTTGCAGCTTCCCACCTATCCGCCCGGCCTTGTTTAGTGAGCTCGAAATTTTGGTTCAGTATCCCTAAAAGGTCACTTTGACCTTCCAGTCATACCGTAGCGCCGTGGCGAAAAAGTGGAACGACAGTGCCGACCGAAACCTGTCTGAATGTATGGGATACACGGATGCCATCATGACGTTATGGTTTAATGTGCGCATCATCGATCTGAACTCAAAGTCTGAAATGCCCCATGACTTCCCCGTGTACGAGTCAGTTTTCAAACTCGTTGTAAGGAAGACTGGACGCACGCTCTGCATGTTGTGTTGTGCTTCAAAACGACGCACCGTGTCTCTTTTGGCGGTCACAACTGGTTAAATGGCAGATTTTCGCTCAGGCAGCGCTTCATCTCCTCAGCCCGCCAGTGTCCAGTATTAGCGTTGAGAGGGCATACTCGAAGCTGAGAGTCATATTAACAAAAAAAAAAAAGTGCGGATCAACAAAGAAATTTTGGGAAAGTACATGTGTGTGTATTATAATAAGATCACGTAATCCCGATGTACAGAAGGTAAAGTTCCATGTTTTGGGGGCATAGGGTTCATATCTGACTTGTTTGTACTTCCGTCTTTTTTTGGTTGTTTCTTTTACAGTTGCAAACATTTGCCAAATAAAGTGTCAATTTCTTTTTCAATGTATCTGTGCAGTTATTCTTTGAGTGATCACAAATATCAAAGCTACAAGGATCGTCTGATCCGGTGTCCGTTAGTGTTTATTTTAATCCACCGAAAGAAGCCGATAAACGTTTTGGGGCATAAATATACACCGAAAAAAACCGAAAATTGAATTTTAAAATAAACACCGAAAAAAGTACGCCGAATTTTGAAATAATAGAAACCGAAAACGCGGAACCCTAACTATAACCCTTTTTTGTTTATTTTGATGAACAACGATGATAGGGAATAGAATAGGTGCCGTGGACTAGCAACTGCACTTAAATTAGGATTGTCATCTCTATCTTTATACACAGGATGTTTTAAAGCGCTAGCCTTATATGCCCAACCATGCTCAAGGTCATCTCAAGGTCACATACTGTCCGTGGCTAAAGTGCAAGGTCGTGTAATCAAGGTCACATAAGTGCCGGTTGAACCTGTCATCCTAGAGGTCATCCTAGACGTCCTCAATGTGGTCCTTGAGGTCGTTCTTGACGTCGTCCTCTAGGACACTTTCCACTTTTCATTTTGTTTCTTGATAAACCTTGTGCGCTCATACAAAGGTTCGCACCCACATCGTTTGCAGTGCTCCGCAAGATGACCACCCGAATTATTGCGTATGGCAAGCTTGTGTTCGCGCACTCTTTCATCAAATCATCGGCCGGTCTGACCGATGTAAACTTGGCCGCAACTAGAAGGAATCTCATAAACCACCTTAGTCACGCATTCGGTGTATCTTGTTACATGCTTTTATGAGCACACTACAAACTTTAGTTTTGCCATCGCGGAGCATATCTTTGAAAGTTTGCACAGGGCTGAGAAGACTACGTTAACCCTGTGTCTAACAGCCATCTTTTTTAAATTGTAGGACACTTTGGTACAAATATGGTATCACCTGCACTGGCATCTTGTCTGTCTTTTCACGACTTTTGTCAACACCCTCTTGTTTAATTTTCTGTAGGAGCCTTTCACACACACTTGTCACTAAGCTCTTCGGGTAACCGCCCACGTCAAGCGTGCAACCTGCTGATCAAAGCTGACCAGCAGTCTATGCTGGCAACTTTTTGTAATGGCTGCGTGAAGGCAGGTGGATGCAATGCTTCGCTTTACGAGCTTTGAGTGGGCACTGCTAAAAGAAAGAAGGCCTTTCTTAGTTTGTGGATTATAATTCCAGCACAAATGATCCTTAGTAAAAAAGAGCTGTAAATCTAGAAACTGAATACTGCCATCATTAGGCATTTCCCAAGTGAAGTTCAGTCCGCCGGACAGTGACCTAGACAGATTAACAATGGCTGCCACATCATTTTCCATACAATTCGCTGTACATTCCCCCAAAATAACCAAAAAATCATCCACAAAGCGGAAGATCTTGACCACATTCATCCCGTCAAGATTCCTCGATATGCGCTTGTCCATGGCAGAAAGATAAATGTCACGCAAAACAGGTGCCACTGAAGAACCAATACAAATACCACTCTTTTGTACGTAGAACTGTTCATTAAAAACAACGGCCGTGGACTGCGAGTAAAATTCTAACAGCGCTATAAAATGGTCGCAGTTGACACCCATAGAATTCTGGAACTCCACTTCACCTGACTGCGTTATGCACTCACAAACAGCGATGTAAAATCGCATCATGGGGAACCGAGTAAAACAATTCTTCTACATCCACAGAAAAGGCTGTGGCCGCATTTTGCAATCCTGTTTTCAAATCTTGAACTAGTTCCCCGGAGCTTCGAACCAAAAAGGGATCATCAATGACTAAAGCACTTAGTTGACGCTGTAAGTACCTGCTGACCTGGATCTGCCAGGCACACTTTTCCAAGACAATGACTCGTAAGGGCCAGCTAGGCTTATGAGTCTTGCCGCTAAAGAATACCTCCAAAAAACCATTTTCTGCCTTGTTGACCGTCTTTCTTACTCCTTCAAGGTTCACGTCTTTGAGCAACCTCAGCGCAGCCGTCTTTTGCTTCTTCGGGAGAAATTCGACAGGCTTAATATTATAAGAATGATATCAGACTGTCAACTTCGACGGTGTTCATTTTATACTGCAATTATCCCAAGCCTCCGCCGTGCTTTTTACAGACCATCAAACATTTTAATCGCAGCTAATAATCTTTATCGTGACGTCCCACATATTAACCACGGTCGTCTCCGCGTGCTTTCTCATGCTGCTCTTGTTCAGTTGCTAGGGAGCGGTAGGGATTTTTCGCCCCTTCGATAAAAAACGTCACGAAGATAAACGGATCTATGGGTTTGTGGGAAAAGAAAACTTTGTGGCTATCTTTCTGCTTCTCCCCCCCACTATGTCATAACAGAAAGAATCTTTTTGTTTGACGAGTTTAGCCACCCAAGTGCGGACTATAGTTTGGAATATAAAATCTTGATTATGCCGACAAAGGCTGGTAAGCACAGAATGTGGATAGATTCCACTTATCGGTGTTCGTCTGCAGGGCCCATGGTAAAGGCTCTTCCGTTTCTTACATTCTCGATAAGCTCGCCTCTCTCTTCTTCCACTGTGGCCAAGAAGAGAGAGGCATCTAAATGGCACCGCCTGACTGCAATGCAAGTGTGTCCAAGATTCGCTCCCCATTTCTGACAAACACCGTGAGATGGCGCAGCATGACATGCCCACAAACTTTCAAGGCTGCAAGGCACGTGACCTTCGAACACAGTGCGAAAGGGTCTCTCTTCGCGTCACGAGCAAATGCCGTCTCTCGCTAGCTCAGTCGGTAAAGCACTTGGCTCATGATTTCAAGGGGTTGAGTTCAAATCCGGCCAGGGAACCGAAGTATTTTTATATGGTTTCCTATGGGCATAATGCTTTCGGTGTCGGCTTTTTGTTACAGCCAAATGTTGCACCCAAAATGTTACAGCCAAAAGTTACACCCAAAACATTACAGATCCCTATGAAAATCGGCCGATAAAACACATTCTGTGTTGATACGATAAATGTGGTTAAATATAGTCTGCACCCAGTGTATAGACCAGGCGCGGACTATAGTCCGGCAAATATGGTAGATGTGTCGCACAGACTTCCTTCGACAGTGCAATTGGGTAGTGGTAGAAGACGGAATTTGGGGCAGGCATGCTCACTGTGGCTTCCCTCCCACCCTCAGCTCCTTTGACCAGAACCACGTGTACCGGTACCAACAGAGCCCTATCAGTGAGCCTGCCATTGTGGTTCTCGACCCCAAGACCGGCCTCGTCGTCGGGCGCTGGGGCCAGAACATGCAAGTGCTCTTGTCTTTTCCTTTGTCACTACTACACCGGTGTATTTTTGCAGGACTTTGTCGCTTGACTAGGACACTTTTAGTGACTAGGTGGGGACAATTTTGGGGCGTCTATCATCTAGTGGGCCCTGCTAACGGGTTTTCTGACCCTGCCGGTTTGCACGGGTCTGTTTATTATTAGATGGTGCATCAAGGTTTTTGAAGCGTGTGCAATCGCGTGGCGCGAGAATTAAAAATAAAAGAAGTTCTGGTGGCTGCGTACCGCATTAAAAGGGCGTTTCAAGTTGCTCGCATAACGATGGCGAGAACCAGTCACCCTGACCTTTCTCCACCACCATTGTTTTGACAAAATACGAAGGCTACTGCAGCTCGCTGTTCGATATTTAAAAATATATATTTATGAGAATGCATCACATTTACGCTCTATGATGAATTTTATTTCCAACACGACCCACATCTTCACATTAATTGAAGAGCCACCCACATGTTGCATGCTGAAATTTTAAACTGGTGCATTCACTATCTGCTCACATCCGTGGAAATGTTGTAGCAAAACTATTACAAATAAATTAATGGCACAATAAAATTAATAATCCTGATTTTGATAGATGTCGGACGTAAGAGGCAACAATTATCTTTAGCATAACTCGCACCCTATAAGGTGTTTTGAGCATGCTGTCAACTTCGACGGCGATATTGTGCGAATATTTGATGCGAATATTGTGCGAATATTTGAATTTTTGAATACTAGTTTCAAATAATAAGCTATTCAATATTTGCTTTGAAATGAATAGTAGTATATTTTGCAATGTTGATTGCTGTAGGTTAGCCCTGTTGAGCGTGCTTCGTATTACGCACCGGTGCACTGCAGAAAAGCAAAATTCATGAAGCCTGGTTCTGGGGTGCGGCTTCTTTGCAGGGCTTGGTAAGAAGCCTCAACGGGGCTAATCAGCCGCAATCAACACTTTGAAAAATATTATTGTCCCAGCTGCGTGCTTAGGAAGAAAGCTCATTTTCAGAGGGGGAGGATGCACGCACATGCCTGATGTATTTAAAAAAGAAATAAAAACTTCACAAATGTGGATATATGCAGTTGCATCCAAATTTTCAAAATGAAACTGACATGCATGGCATGTTAAGCAGAGATGCTCTGACAAGCTATGTTAATCATATGTGATTAAACAAAGGATATTTGCATATAGCAAGAATATTTATAAATCCCTTTGATAAGGTGTAGCTGGACATCCCTACAGGTTAGTTTTTATGTCAAATGCATCATTTACCTGCTATCCTAATGTAGGCACTGGACTTTTGGAGGCCTCATCAATAAATATAGTTAGATTAAAAATTAACTTATTTTAAAAATAGACAAGGAGAAGCTTGGCAACAACGTTCATAAGTTCAGTTGGGTTCTGTTAAAGTACTATGTTGCAGTAGTGAAAGACCTAGAGAATTTTTTCAAAATTCGATTTGAAACTATTCGGCCAAAACCACTATTCGCTTTGAATTTGCTTCGAACTCAAAATCCACTATTTGCACATGTCTATTTAAGCGGTATTCACATGGGGGAGAAATCCGCAAAGGGTTGTGTATGACGTCGGCAGTGGGTGTCATTCCCTCGTCAGCTTCATCCTCGGTTTCTACACCTGACACCAAAACTTTTAATGCCAAAATATTATTAAGAGCCAAGTGATCACCGCCATACCAAAATATTTTGTACCGCCAAGCAGCCCTCCCTCTTTCCCTCCATCCGCTGCGGAGCGGACGGCACAGCGCTGTGCTGCAAAAGTTGGTATGACGTTTTCGTTGCGTCATGCGATTCTTCCTCGTGTGAATACCACTTTAGGAGCGCTCATATTAATGCACCATACAAGTTGAGTAGCCAAAGCAAAAGAGCCTTCTCTTCATACAAATTATGACAGTTGTAAAATATATTCAACCAGTTTAAGACATTGGCAAGACAATGCAAGTGCGTTGAGCACGGGTGCTTTTAACGTTTGTTAGTGTGTGGAGAAAGTACAGGTTTGATGTTCCCCCTGCAGGTTCTTTATGCCTCACGGATTGTACATTGATGGAGAGGACCACGTCTGGGTGACGGATGTTGCACTTCACCAGGTGACAAACTCATATCTTTAGTACTGAATTGGAATTGGTGCTTGGGAGTTTTTATCAACGAGCTTGTTGGCGCTGCTGCTGCTGTCCACTTCTCGCCGACGTAAGCTTCTGAAACTCAAGTGCTCAATCGTCTTATCCGAATGTTAGAAGTGAAAAAGGATTGTCCTTTTATGAACGAGACATTTCACTAAGGATTTCTCTTGAAGTCAAGGATGAGCACTTTGGTCCAGTGCTCAATATCTACTGACCAAACCATTCTTTAGAAGGGGTGTGCAAGAAGGCCAAAAATTGAACCTGGATATATTGAATTCAAAGGGGATCGTAGAATAGCTCGATATATCAATAATTTGATATACAAAAACATACTAAATTAAGCTTGAGTTATAATTTCCTGGCATCTCTGCTAATACCGAAGGTCGCGACAAGCGGGAGCTTACCTAATAGAGCATCCAAGAGCGGCTAAATACAGTAGAGCGTGGTTGTTGGAGACCGCTAACACTGCCGATGATAATAAAAAAACACGATAATAATAAAAAAAGTATTAATGAAAAACGGAAGAGTGAGATACATAAAAAAAATCTCTTGGTTCATAGAAAAAAGTAAAGCAAGCAAAAAAAAGAAAGCTCACTAAATTCAAACAACAAAAAAAGAAAAGCAAAAAAAAAATATGGGCAAAGCAATAACGGCAAGGCAAGATAAGGCATTCAAAGTGTGATTGCACAACCATTGTTGTCTTAAAGGGGCACTGACACATCAAAATCATATTTTATTTTACTATCCGAAACGATTGAAAACGATGCCTGGACATTACCCTCAAAATTTGAAACTTGGGAATTCCGTATTTCTGAATTAAAAAAAACAATTTCCAAATGCCGAATTTGAAGTTCCCGCGCGATCCGCGCCAGTGCAGTGAGTCAAATTTTGCGGTCTCCTGCGACTCGACTTTCTTTCAGACCTCCGCTCCACGCTGTGAAGCTAAGCGCCGTTGCTACCGCGACCCGAAGCGAGGAGGAGGCGAGCAGGCGGGATAGAAGGGAGCCGGTGCGGGGAAAAACCGGTTTCCTCCCCGACTCGCCGATAATCCTCTGCTCGAGCGGCTCGAGCGCCGCCAAGTTGTCCGAGGTTTCCGAGGGAGCATACAAATCCAGGAAGCGACATCACACCGAAATCTTATTTTCAGTATTTCAAAAAGAAAGGCCGTAGTGCGTTCATAATTGCGTTAAAAAACATGTTTTACGATTGCCGTTATTAAATGTTATAGAAAGGTCGCCTACAAAGCTTCTAAATTTCCTGATTTTTGACGTCACCGATCAAAAGAAGCAAGGAGGTGAGCGCGGGAAATATAAACGCCAAAAACAAAAAGGCGCGCGCGCGCGCGGGGAAGTTTTTTTTCGCGATGCGGTTTTTTTTGCGTGTCTATGACTACAACTTGCATCGTTTTAGACAATAAAAAAGAATACGACCTTTGGGGTGTCAGTGCCCCTTTAAGGCTCGACTTGCCAAAGACCTTTTTTTTGCCAATTTATTTTGGGGCTAGGGTGTCGCCCAGCATCAGCAGTGTTCGGGGAAAGGGCACATGCTACCGTTTGGACAGCAAACACTCCCTGCTCTCCCTATGTGTGCGCGCAGCATGCCCTTTCCCTTGCTTTTGCCATCCTCCACTTCTTTTTTTTTTTACAGTTCATTGTCTCTTTTATAATGTATGTTAGAGGTTCAACTGGCGCTAGTGTGCTGACGCAAATTGTAGCAGACAGCAACCAGGCAAACATTGACTTCTGGTAATGCATTTTTTATGGGAAAAAAGTGAGTGCATTTTCTCCCTGCGCTTGATTGTAAGAGCAAATATCCCGAATAATTCATAGATACTAGATGGCTTGGAACATCCCTCAGTCAGGCAGACGAAATATATTGGTCAGTTATGGCATTTTTCTTTCAAATTCATAGCCTTAAGAACGGTTCTAAAACGACTCCGGACATGTATTTATGTGCACTGTTGGACACTTTTAGCGCGAACATGACGTTGGCGCTTCTCAGTATGGGGAATATACGTTCTGAACGAACGAAGGACGTCTGGAAAACCAAGAGAGACTGCAAGAACTATTCAGTAACACTGGATCAGTGACTCCCTGTGCATATAGTATCAAAATAAATTAAAGGTTATGTAATATAGTCTGATTTTTAATAAGTAATGCTTTATTCTTTCTGCTCTGTGCGAAGATGTTGGTTCTATGTTCAAAACATCACCCGCACGCTCAAAATCTTTGAGAACAAGTGCCTGATAAAAGTGGCCCGGCCTAAGAAATAATAATGACACCTTTCATAGCCCACATATTTTATTCTTTATGTTTTGAATGTTTTTAACCACTCGTAAAGATGCAAGAAGGGGTCATTTTTATGTAATGACAGGACTGGCATATTAGCAACATATAAATGTCACCAGAATGCTGCCGAGCCTTCAACACATTCTATAATCCTTTCGATTGTTATTTTGCTTATAATCGTCGCTTATTTTTACATACCTGCTGCGGAACAGAGGTTGGGGCCTGAAATGGAGGGAAGTTAAACATTGTTCACTGATGAAAAATTTGCTAACTGTACACTTTTACAATGTTCATAGAAGTACATTTTATTCAGTACGACCCAAATAACAAAAGTGTTTCATGTTATTTCCCGGCGAAGAGACAAAATGCCTGTGCAATTTCCCATAGGAATGCACAGGAGTACCACAAAAGTAGACTGGTTGCTGTCTGTTTCAATTTGCCTTCGGGAAGTTGCATAGACAATAGCGCCGGTTGAACCTCTAGCGTACATTATAATACAGTCGGCAACAAAGTTTTCGGACGCCGATAATTCAGACTCGTTCGATATTTGGAATTTAAAGGAGGAACCGTGACCTACCCGATAGGAATAGTGCATATGCACGACCAATGTTTCAGACAGCTTGAAGTCCGAAAGTTAGATTTTTCGGATTGTCGCGAGCGATCAGCGGGAAATGCCACCGAGAAGCGGCCATTTTGGATTCTATGTTGGCTGCACATGGTTTGACATGGTTTGGCAGCACTACTTGAGTACTGCCAAGTCCTACCACTAGGTGACGCTGTATGACTTTTTTTTTTTTTTTCAATTGACTATTTTGACGTCCACTTTCAAAATAATTTTGAATATTATTTTGACGTATCGTGACACCGCTTCCTGAAGACGTGAAGTTATCTTCAAAAATATTTTGACGTCCCCCATCAAAGTATTTTTGTCATTATTTTGACACCTTTGGAGTTCGGACTGGGGAGCGATCGAAGGTGGCAGTCAAAAAAACATCATCTTGCTTGCAGGCAGCGTCGCGGTACATTTTCCGAAAACAAATGTCATGCAGTCGACTGCTGTTTTTATGATCTTTTAAGTGATGTGGAATGCAAAAACACATTCTCAAAGTACATCGGCTATCAGGCCGAAACTAATGTTTGCTTGGTTGTGCCAAACGTTATAGAATACGGCACCGCTGCTTTTCATGATTTATATAGACAAAGGAGCTGAATGCCGTGTCATAAAATTTGCACTTGATTGGAAAATCTCTGTACCTCGTACAACCGTGCCAGTACTTTTGTTTGTTTGCACCGGTCAAGAAACATCAAGGAGGCAATGTTTGCACTCACAACCTTTTATTTAATATCTTAATCGCTTACAACGAACTCGCAAAACCCTGTTAAAAACAGGGCGGGAGCCAGATACGAGGCGAGGCTGATGCCAATGAAGATGCGCTTGCACAATGTAAAGGCGCGAAAAACATGCCAAATTTCTGTGTTACATAGTGTACGCTCTTACATTTGTTATGTGTAGGGAAGACAGAGGAATATCCAGCTTGCCTTTGTTGTAAATTCAAAATTTTAATTGAGACGCGTGCCGAGATGCGAGATCGGAACACTCAGAACATCGCCACCGGGCGTGTCATGTCTGTAAGCCCCAAAGCCCCAAAAGCTTTTGGGAAGCCCCAAAAGAACCAATGCATTGGTTCTTTTGCGGCTTCCCAGCATCTGGTTCTTTTGGGGCTTCCCAGTGTCTGTACAAACTACCCCTCTTGTCTGTTGCCGGGGTCTTTTGTTATCTTGTTCCGTGGTTCTTATCTGCCGCGGTTGTGTGGCCTCAGGCAGCGTGTGTTTTCTTGCGAGTTTGTGGGCCTATTTAAAGAGGTCTTAATTCTGAAAAAACAAAAAGTCTTTAGCTTCGTTTGGAGTTTTGTGTCTGTCCGTTCCTCGTTTGTCCCCTTGCTGCAGGTTTACCATGACTATTTTGGCGTTTTACGGAACTGACGTCAAAGACGTCAAAATAATGTTTTAGATATTTTGACGGTGGACGTCGAAATAGTCACTGCCTTTTTTTTTTTCTCTAGCTGCGCCTCGATATCTTCATGATTGTTGTTACTATTTTGCTTTGTTCATTGGCCATTGCAGTCGTGGACTTGTGCCTCTCATCTCAATCTCGTCTCGGTGAATCGTGTTTTCGCACTGCACTGGCTTCTCATGCAAAAATCAGCCTACTGGCAGCTGGATCATGGAACTGGTCCCAGCTGAAAATGAGAAGGTCCAGCTAGATTCCAGCTGGACTCTCGTTTCCAGCTGGGACCAGTTCCATAATCCAGCTGCCAGTGGGCTGATTTTCGCCTGGGTTGGACGTCATTGCCCCCATTTGTTCTTCCGCCGCCACGATGTGTTGCTAAGAAGTGCAGAAAGTTCTTGACCATAACGCTAGAAAAAAGTCAATAGCTGCCAAACACAAATGGAGCCGTAACCTGGAACAAAGTGCGCAGGCGTAACTTGAAACAAGGCACTATTTACAGCTTTTTTAAGCCCACTTAGACATAATAAAGGCAGGTTTTTTAATCTGCTGATTTTTAGACTGCTCTATTATTTGGACGTTGAGTCTGGAAAATTGGTCGGCGACTGTAACCCTATGGTGGGGACGTCAGAACGCCGAGCTCTGCTTGGCTCTGATTTAAGGATAATGGGTAGACCTGAAAGCAAGCAGCCTTGATGTCTGCCCACTACCTTCAATCAGAGCCAATCGGAGTTTGACGTTCTGACGTCACCACAACTCCTGCAAAAGAAGCAGACAAACTTGCGCTCCACATGCTTCTCGCCGCCCACAAAAGGGTTAAGGGGAGACACTGCCCAGAAAAAAAAAAAGTTTTTTTTTGCAAAAAGGTTGATTTTGAAAAATGACATATTTACATCCACCAACATCTAGAGAGTATTCCCAAAAAGTTGTAATTAATTTACACTGCATAGTTAATTTTTTATAAATTATTTTCTGTCCACCAAAGCTAAAGAAAAGGTAGGGTTTGGAGCACTTTGAACACATTTTTCTCCGTTCCACTTTTTGGTATAAATTCCATTTTAAACAAGATAATGGCAAAACAGGGAAGGCTCATTCTTCCCTTGTCCTGACTGAAATTTAATAAGGAATGCGGCTATGGAACTTTTTTGTCACTTTACGGATGTCTTTTATAAAAAATGTTGACATTTTGTAGAAGATGCAGAAGACCAAAAAGTTGACCAATTTTGCAGAAGAGAAAATTTATAGAAATAAATTACCTTTTAGAAAAAACGTTCCATAGCCGCACCCTCTAGGCATTCTGCTACATATCTAGCAAATAAAAATCTGGAATATGGTGATAGTTTTCTAACGATAGATTAACTAAACAATGTAGGCGTGTTGCTGATAGAAGCTACTCTAGTTATACACATTTAGTTATACACCCTCTAGCATGACCACCAGCCTACCATGTAAATTTCATTAATTTTAAGACAAGGGTTCAAAAGTTGACCCCCCCCTAGGGGGTGTGTCCCCTTAAGTCGGACAGGGTATTGCACGCTCCTCGGCGTAGTGATATTTACGATGGAAACACATGCCCCTGTCATCCAGGTGTTCCGGTTCCCGCCCAACGGCACCAGCGCTGAGCTGGTGCTGGGCGAGGCGTTTGTGCCGGGCTCCGGTAGCGGTCACTTCTGCCAGCCCACCGACGTAGCGCTGCCCCCGTCGGGCCTGGTCTTTATCAGCGATGGCTACTGCAACAGCCGCATCGCCATCTTCACCCCCGAGGGGAAGCACGTCACCGACGTTGCCACCCGAGGTGGGCCAAATGCGCTTCCAGCATACAGTGGTCTGGGAAATCCACCTTTTCCAAATAGGTGCTGCCATCTGGGTGCACGGCTTGGTTTGAGATTGGATATCTAGTAGGGTTGTGTTGATATTCAAATTTTCTAATAATAGTTTATCATAATATGCTAAAGTGTTAATCAACAGCCGCAAAGCTCGATTTAACTGGTGTTCCTTCTGCACGGTGCACCAGCAGAAGGAAGGGCACTAAACGGTGCTAAAACGCCATGACCACACTATATGAGTACAATAATTCCTCGTTATAAGTACCGCAGAATACCTCTCGCATCCGCCCATTCCACACTAAGCGCCCATTCCCAAATTTGTAAGATCTGAGAAAATATGCACAGTTAAGGGGGGACACTGGCTAGAGGTTGAACTTTTGAACTACTCAAGTGATCGGAATGAAATTTGCAAAGGAGATTTAACTTCAGATATAGGCATAGTGTGCAAACTTTCAGCTCGCTAGGACAACTTTACATACCTGCATGAGAAGATGTGTCACTCTTTGTTAAGAAATCTATGATATGCAAATGAAGCTATTAAGCACCATTTTAACTGCTTGAGTATAAAGTGGAGGATGTGGGACTTCAGGCTATCTAGTTTTTATAACTCAAATGTAAATATTTCACGAAGAGTGATTATTTCAAAATATGAGATGCATATCTGGCCTATGTCAATATTTGAAAACATACGTTTTTATCAATGAGGACTTTAATGTAAAACAAACTAAAGTAGATAGCCCGATTCCCCAGTAAATTTCAGTTCCAAAACATCTTGATTGTGGTATCAGAATAATTTTACTTTCGAACAAAAGATTCCTTCGTATGAAGTTTGCAACAAAAAGTGGAACTGAGAAAAATTCATTCGAACTTTGAACTCCTTTACTTTGTTAGTGCCTCACAATGTGTTGAAATTATTCTATATCAACGTAACTATTTGGTGCTTGGTTATGAAATTTAGTGTAAGAGTGTATAGTTAGTTTCTGAACCGAAAACCTAAAAATTGAAAAATGAAAATGTTCAAAAAATTTTGAAACTCAGGCCCGTGTCCCCCCTTAAGTGACATGTAAAATTGATGACGGGACAGGCGCCCATTTTTTCGCGATTATCTCTAAATTTTTGAGTGGGCACTTGCCCGGTATTTTACGGTAAGTCGACAAGATGGCAAAAAAGTTTGATATACAGTTGCCGACCGATTTTTCAGACTTCGCAGGGACCGAAAAGACGTCCGAATAATAGAGGAAAGACTAAATTGCAGAAGTGTTCTGTTCAATATGAAAAGACTAAGGTAGGGAGCGTGAAACTTCCTATTTTATTTCCTGTTTTCCTTTTCTGATTTTTGAGCTAGCAACACTGGTGTCCGTCCTTCCAGACGGCCTTTGGATCCCGCACAGCCTGACCTATGTGCAGCGAGACAACACTGTGTGCGTGGCAGACCGGGAGAACCAGCGCGTGCTCTGCTTCTGGGCTGGCCTCGGCCCGGACTTTGGCTTCCTCCGCTCCAGCGTCACAGGCCAGCTGGGACGGGTGTATGCTGTTGCCTCCGTCGGTAAGCAAGCTGATCTGCCGCCAGGGGTCCAATGTTTGTCACGGAGCAAGCAAAGATGACATTCGTAGATGGTTGGTCCGCTCACCCGAGCGAAGAATGCAGTTCCTCTGCCACGAAGCATCATTCGCAGACAAAAAATAGAAAAAAAAAACAAAAAAAAACACCGCTTGTCGTCTGCTAATAGACCGGAGAAAAGGTTGCTTGTCTGCTACGAATTGAGAGCTGCGGTGACCGGGGATCGCACGCAGGCTGAAATTGTGATCGTCTGCTCTTTTATGTTGGAAGCCTGGCTGTATAGACGCTGAATGCTCCAGAAAGACAAGGAGTGGCAAATCCCGATAACCTTATTGACAACTTGTGCTTCGTTTACAAATCTCAAGCTGTTCTGCTGTACATAAGCTGACATTGACTGGTGGATGAGGGAGTACTGAAAACAAGCACATCAGAGGCTGCGAAACCTCTCGCTATTTGTATGTTGGCGAGACGTTCTCACCAATTGGATAGTGCACGATTGTGGACTCGCGAACGGGTCGAAAATGTGTCATTCATTGATTACTCGCAAGCTGTGGCACCACGTCCAATCAGCAGCTGGGAGCGCTCTGGCTTTTACATTGTCCGAAGCGAACCCCTGATGCGTCAGAGTTGTCGACAGCCTCGGATTGCGGCCGAGTAATCTGTCTACCCTAACGAAGTGTCATACATTTGTGAAAAAAGAAAAGCGTGTATTTTGGTACGCGTAAAGAAACTAGGCATCGCAGAAAGCTGGAACTCTGTCAGAATGTGATACTGGCAGTGGTGATAGAACGCAAAAGTCTGAAAACATGACATTACCAGGATCAAGAGAAGAGAATAACAAAATTCCTTTATGAACCGACGTCCACCAAGCCTAACATCGTCAAAACAAGAAACAATATTGTGGACACTTGTAGCATTTATATCAGTGAAAAACACTCGACAGCGAGAAAGGGAATTTTGTTTCTTTCTTGGACTTTTCAGACTTTTTCAGTGGAATTTTTTTACCAGATAAGTTCATTCATTAAGAAATAAATTTTTGCATTGTTTAAAGCGGGTTCGCATTGATGTGTACGCTGTGCATCTTGGAGACCCGAACACAAGTTTTGGCATATGAGCAGTTTTCAGCAAGTCTAGACTCGTACAGATGGAAACTAAAGGTATGAATTTTATCGTAGTTTTCAATCAAAAGGAATTACCATCTAGAAATGATACCTTGTCACCTTAATTATGCAATAATCCCACACACCCTCCCACCATATTAAGGAGAGAATCTTGCCAAACCTGTAGGTGAAAAAATGGGGAGGTTGGAGAGCTAACAGGCCCTTTTCAAAAGTATGCCCTATCTAGTGGTTGCCTTGCCAGTTATTACCGTATTTACTCACATAATGAACGCATCCCCCACAACGGGTACCAATATATGGACTTTTTTTTTTCCTTTGCGTAATGAAAGCTCCTCAACTTTTCGGCTCCGTGAGTCTCGAATTGCGCCCAACTTAGCTAGCCACCAAGCCCACCAAGTTAATTTTCTTTTGCCGCCAAGCGGTCAGGCCAAGTCAAGTCAAGCCAAGCCAAGCCACTCTCGTAATGGCTGCAAGTGCATAGTTGCATGTGGAAGTGATCAACCGTAAAACCGAGCGGCGTGCACACTTGACAAAGCTTGGGTCGAAGAATGTCCAGCCCCGGACATTATTTGCCATTTGGATGCACTGATGTTAACAAACACGCTGTCTGTGGTCTACTTTCTGACAGTGAAATTGTGAAAGTGGTTAGGCCTAAGAACGGTCGCATTGCTCTCCATGCTGACTGAGCTTCGTAGGGTGCTTTTCCTTCAGCCAAAGGCACCCCGAAAGCGCCCCAAAAAGGTTCGCAATCTATAAAGCATGGTTACTGTCGTGCGCTCCAACCAGCCGCAGATGCGCCTCCATCAGTGGAGACGTGCCACAATACCTTGCCGTGTCATATTGGCACCTAATATGACATTTGCATGAAGTGTGTAAATGCAGAAATTCAACTTGCGTAATGAATGCACCCCCAAAGATGTGTAAATTAAAAAAAAAAAGTGTGTTCATTACGCGAGTAAATACGGTAGAGTCCGCCGTTATTTTGGCACACGCATGGAGCAAGTATTGCACGTGCAAGCTGCATCAGCGTTCGGCGAGGGCTCCGATCCAACCTTACGCTACGTGCCGAGCAATGGTGAGCGCCAACGTTGCTCGATGGTCTTACGAAAAGGGTCTATTCAGACTGACAGACTCGCTGCTGGGATGGTCTACCCCATCGTTGCTGATGTCCCTCTCCCGTCGCGACAGGGAGCTACCTGTACGGCTTGCAGATTGACGACGGCACATCCGCTGCCTCCGGTTTCCGGGTGGAGCTCTACCCTGGCTCCCGGGTTCAGACCTTCTCTCCCAGACAGGTGAGCCAGCCCCCTCCCCACACCCGTGGGTCCAAACTGACAAATGCTAGATGGAAGGCCATAATGCCGAACGTTATACGTCATGATGTCGCCGGCCGTGATTGTGGCGGTGTCACGGCGGAGGTGGTGAATGTAGCAGACGCCCGGTCTGCTGCAGGTCACTCTCCAGCTTAACCTTCCGCCGAAGCTTCGGCAGCCAAGAGTCGAGACGCTGCGATGACAGTATATATACGCATTCTCTCATGCTTTTTGCCGGAACTTTTACGACCAACTGCGAGGATCGCAACATCCGACAGCGTGACACCTCATCTTCTGCGACGTCATTTGTTGCCACTTCAGGACCACTTTTGATGTGTGGACAGGAGGGAACGCTAAACACACCCGTCGAAGATATTCCAGGCAGCATAGCATCGGCGCTCGATCGAAAATTACGTTTGATAGGCCAACGTGGCACTTGTGTCCACTCCACCAGCTGCGCTGGCCCTCGCTAGACGAGGTATAAAATTCGAGGCTATGACTATGGTGCCTGGAACATGCCTTCGAGGCACTCAAATAACTTCAACTCGTCGCGGCAAAATGAATGTGCCTAATCTTTTGTCCGCTTTCTTTGTCCGTTTTTGTGTCACTCTCTTGCTTTCAATGTCGCGCTTACAATTTTCCGCATTCTGCTCTCATCTTTACCCCCTGGGTCAAAACGTGCGAGCGGCGGCGCCTAACAAAGAGCCTCGCTTGCAGCGCTTCATCCAGCCGCATGACCTGGCGGTCTCCGAGGACGGGCGCACCCTGTACGCGGTGGACGTCGATGCAGCCAACCGGAAGAAGGTGTACAAGTTCAGGATCTGAGACCCGGATACTGGAGCAAGTTGTGCTTGGCCGACTGCCGGCACAAACTTGTCCTAGCATCGTATCGCAATGTCCTCGACTCCTTTTCCCTACTCGTGCAGTATCAACCTTGACAGCTCTTTTTTTGGAAGATCGGGTTTCCACACTGTGTTGTTTAGATAATTTGTGTTAACAAATGGAGTTTAATTGGCTTCTGAGTCGTCCAAAAAGTCCCCGAAGAGGCCGGCGTTACGAAACTTTTATGTCGTATTCGCGCGACAGATCTTTCTCTGTAGAGAAAACTGAGTATATATGTATGTCATAAAGCTGCGAGGAGAAGGAGGAAGAAACGGTTCAGAAAACACGAGCAAGCATTCGTATGACAGAGTTGCGTTTAGTTGAGTCGGAGGTGTTCCTTTTCAAGAACCTTCCTGCAACCCTCACAGGCTCATCGATCAAGCGACAGGGCAAAAGAAAAGTACCCTGCAGCTCGATGCTGGCAATTGTAATCCTCCAAAAAGGAGGGGGACCGGTTGCTCCGATGGGCCTGCAAATATTCTATGGGTCGATTGTAAATTCTCTACCGCTTACTGCAGACCTGGTGGATTACCGAACGTATGTAATGCGGCGTATTCGACCTTAAAACTTAACGGCGTTCAATCCCCTCCTCGGAGAAAAAACTGTCGTGCGAATGCGCCATTACGCTTTTACGGCGGTATTTTCGTAAAGCCAGGTCTGAACAAAATCTTTCTATGTTTTGATTTCGTTATTTATTTACTTTTGTTACTTGTTTACTTTAGAGTTTATTAAGACATTTAAAAAGCAGCACCTTTTTTTTTTTTTTCTCTATTTACAGGTACTTATTTATTTCAGGTACCACAAGCGAGTGGGCCGTTACTCAAGGGAATATTGTACAAGTATACACTCGACATTTATTATTGCTGCTGTAATATTTCCCATGTTGAAGACGTTCTAGAAGCAGAAGTGTAAACTTGCCAAAGAATTCGCTTTTTTTTTTGTAGCTTTTATACATTGAAGGGACCCCGAAACGAAAGGCGGTAATGAAAAAGTGCTTGATCCGTTCCTGTCGCATGATATCCTTGGCTTTATAATTTGAGTGATCTGTTCAGTGCCACAAGTGGCCACTGGTAATAGTGGGGTACATATGATCACTTTTGCAATTTGTAGAAAATAATTTCATGTGGCATTTATATTATGACGATTTGGTTTGTTACTTTTATTTCTAAGTGTTTGGCTATTTGTGTCACAAGCTGGCGTTATCCAGATTCAAATCGTGAACAAAATACCCGTTATTGCAATCAACAGTATTGTGTTTTTGCAAAGGTGGAAGATGTGTTACCTGTTTTCTCAAAGCTTTGCTGAAAATCGCCGTTTATAATTATGAACAAGGTTGGTTACAATTTTAAGGCAGCTTCCTCTCGCATTTTGTTACATGTTGATCTGTTGGTAGTATATTTATATCTTGTTGGCTACTATGGTGACCTATTAGCGTCTAATCTCGATAACAAGATTAATATGTATTGACCCTCCTCAATAATAGAGCTTTACAACCACCTATCACCCTGCATGCAGCACTTGTCTTATCTCGTACCTTGATCACCCAACTATCTGAAAATTATTCGACAATCATACAAGATAAATGTCATCTCATTCTTTGTTCAGGACAACAAACAAAGCACTTGTGTCAATGAAATTCTGGCAAAGTTTTAGTATTAAAATTCTGATGGCTTTACCCTACAGCTCTTTGACTCGTTGATTTTGTGGGTACTGAAATACTTAAAAGCTCAACTGATTCCCGTAGCAAAAAAAAAAAAAAAAACACGTTGAATCCGTGAGTGACACCTTGCCATAAAGACTGTCCATTGTACGGTTCTGCAGTCCGATGTGCCAAAATGCTACATTTATCTGCAGTTAATTCCAAACTTGACAAACAATAGGAGCAAAAGCTTAGAAGGCGGCCCCGCTTAAAAGTTTTAACTGGGACTGGTTGGAATATCAATGTGTTTTAACTGGGAACTAGCTGGTCCTAATTGGGAATGAAGTGGTTCCAGCTGGGAGTCAATGGGGGACAATTGGGGTTCAAGTGGGACCAGCCGAGGGGTCAACTGGGACCATTCAAGAGCCAATTTGAGACTCCAGTGAAACAGACGGCACCTAGCGGAAAAACGCTGAACTGGCCGGAACGGGAGGCACTCACTTGATCGAATGACGTTTTAGCGAACGCCCACGTTTCATCGAATGACACTTTAGCGAATAGTCGGACGCCGCGAAGCGGCGTTTTCGGGTGGGCCAAGTGAGTTCATATTTTTGTAATGAGTTGCCGCAGACTGTCGCCGCGAAGCGGCGTAAAGCGCAGCGCGACGGATGGGTTAACGCGCGCCGCCGTTATTCGCTAAAACGACCATTCGCTCAAATGTCGCCGTTCGCTAAAATGTCATTCGCTCTTGTGATATGGACCCGGCCGGAACAGGTCCTTTCGCGATTTCAGCTCATTTCTTGTAGCTTCTGCAATTACATGCTGTCAGTGGTTTGCGTGATAGAAGAGTTGTCCCGGTGACTGCCGTAACGTAGTGTCGGCTTGTCCTCAGGTTGCCCTGCACGCAACCGCATCAACCAGACATTCCGCGTTTATCAGCGTTCATCAGCACCGTGGAAAGACAGCAGGCAGTTCTTTCATAGCTTTCTCAAAGAAAGTCAAGCCTCTGGAAGCTCGCTTCCGCCAACACAGCGCCGCTGTTTCGAAACTTGGAAGGTAAAATGGGGAGCAAACCATTTCGAGTCCAATGAGTGTTTGCTGATGTCCCAGCATTGCGTGTTGAGCTGGCACATGGCAGGGCACGACCTGTGTCAGACCGCCATATTTGCTGGATAGTGGTGTCCCCTATGGGTCGCTGGAGTCGCGAATAGGACAAGTTGGGGGTCAACTGGTCTTAGCCGTTCCAAATAGGGAATCAGCTGGTCTCACCATTTCCAATTCGGGAGCCCTCTAGATTTTCCAAGAACCTGACGAGTCGAAAGGTCCAAGTGTCTCTGCTTCGCCTATTATCTCGTATCAACATCAGCACTGTCAGCTGTTCCCTAGGTACTCACCAGGTATGGATCTCTGTGATCACCAGCAGGACGGCCGAGTCAGTGGCGCCAGCGCTGCCACGAGGTCCACAGTGCACATATTTAGACCAACTTTATTTTTTTTCGTCATTTGTCAATATTTATACTATCGTATATTTTCTTTTTTCATGAAACAGCAGAGCAAAATAATTTAAGCCTTATGCCATTATTGATGTGGCGGCACTGCTCTAAATGCACGAAAACAATAACTACCGTATTTACTCGCATAATGAACACACTTTTTTTCCCGAAAAATTGACACATGTTTGAGGGAGGGGGGGGGGGGGGTCATTACACGGGGTAACATTTTTGCACTTACGCACTTGTGCAAATGTCACATCAGGTGCCAATATATAACATGGCAAGGACTGTGGCATGTCTCCAGTGATGGAGGTGCACCCACGGCTGGTCGGGGGCGCGCCACAATAACCATGCTTTATAAATTGCAAACCTTTTTGGGGCGCTTTCGGGGTGCCTTTTGCCGAAGGAAAATCGCCCTTCAGGTATAATCTGCGACTACGCGTGTTAGAACTCATACCAAGTCTAACCACCGAAGCCCGCTCGCATGGATCAAGTTTCGTTCACCGAGACAAGAACTCGTACGAAGTCCAACCGCCGAAGCCCGCTGGCACGGATAAAGTTCACGGAGAGGCTGCCAGACACTCTCAGCCTAAGCACAGCGTGCACCTGGCTGTGCCGTTCTGCTGCGGATTAAATAAACGCATTTACCCGGGGTATGTGAAATTAGGGCTAACCACTTTCACGATTTCACTGTCCCAAAGCAGACCACAGACGACGGCTTGTTTGTTCACATCAATGCATCCAATAGGCGAAGAATGTCCAGGGCTCGGCAATTCCTTGACCCAAGCTTCAGGTGTGCGCGACGCTCGATTTCACGTTGATCACTTCCGTAACTACCGCAACTACGCACTTGTGGCTATTACGAGAGCAACCTGGCTTGACTTGGCCCGACCACTTGGCGGCAAAAGAAAACTGGTCTGGTCGCTTGCTAAATTGGACGCAATTCGAGACTTGTGGATCTGAAAATTGGAGGTGCGTTGATTACGGGAGCGGAAAAAAAGAAAAAAGTCAAAATATTGATGCCCATTGTGGGGGGTGCGTTCATTATGCGAGTAAATACGGTATCTGAGAAATCAAAGGGGCAATGACACATCAAATTTTTTTTTTTTTTATATATTATTTGAAACGATTGAAAACGATGCCTGGACATTACCCTCAAAATTCGAAACTTGGAAATTCAGTATTTGTGAAGTAAAACAATTTCCAAGTGCCGAATTTGAAGTTCCCGCGCGATCCGCGCCAGTGCAGCGACGTCAAATTTTGCGGTCTCCTGTGAGTCGACTTTCTCTCAGACCTCGGCTCCACGCTACGAAGTAAAGCGCCGTTGCCACCGCGACTCGAAGCGCTGACGGACTGGGAAAAAAACGGTTTCTTTGTCCGGTTCCCCGACTCACTGATCATCCTCTGCTCGAGTGCCACCAAGTTTTCCGAGGGAGGATACAAATCCAGGAAGTGACATCACACCTGACTCCGATTTTTGGTATTTCAAAAAGAGGAGCCGTAGTGCGTTCACAATTGGCAAGGTCAGCGATCGCCCCATATCCTGGAATGTAACCGTGGAGTGTAAGGTCAAAGTCCGTCTCTACTGAAATAAGTTCACCGCGAACCCGCTCCTTTCAGAACGTAGCAACTACAGTTGGTAAGGTTGTACAGTGTTTGAGACAAAGCCAACGGGTAAATAAATATTTGCTGCAACTCCGGACACAGACGTTTGTAGAGCGTCCCATTTCGTGTTCCGTGTTCGTCGTACTGTCCGCGCTACATAGCAGTGCTGCCTCAACCCGTGCTGATAGCGCGCCGCGTACAGATGCACACTTTTATGCACCAAATAAGAAAGCTTCACAAGAGCCTACTCCTTGCGATTGACAAGGCACCCTACTTGGCTCGATGCCAAAGTATTTGCCAACGCGATCGCCGGCTTTCCCGCCTTCCCAGCATCGCTCTCCTCACTTCTTTCGCTCGCTTGCCCCGTTGCGCCTAATTAATTTCTCCATTTTCTTGCAGACTTCTTTTTTTTTTTTTAGTAACGAAGAACTCATTGTGGTGTTAGAAATGTGCATTTACGGAACAAAGGTTTGCGCTGCATGCCGATCGGCGGCGTTCATTGCACATATGCAAGTAACAGACTGCATCAGTAAAGCACTCTTTCATGAGCATTTCTTGCACAAAACAATGAAACTAAATTCGAATCTTGAGTTTATCTTTCTTGTGCAGCTGTGCTAGATATGTACAGAAAAATGGGCATTCCAGCTTTTCCATAACTGCTTGTGCTTACCCAGCGAGACATGGCCCACCCCACCTTTTTTTTTTAATGAACTTCAGGCGGCAGGGGGGTGGACAACGACTCTGGATATTACGGTAAACTTCCTGAAAGCATACCGCCATTATGACAGTGTCCCAAGAAAAATTGTCTCGCAGTGGTTTAAAAAGTGACGAAAGCAGAAGGGGCCGAACAGAAGGAATTAGATTCTACCTCGGTGGTTTCAGTGGCAAACCTGGCAATAACAAACCTGACCGACCTATGGTTTGCATCCACTTGCCATTTGTTTCTCCAATTTCTTCATCAAAATTAAGAAATCTGAAGCCAAAACCGTACCAGAGTCGAGATTATAACATCCGTGTGCATATTTGAAGGCGCTGTCTTCACCAAGGCCTGCCAAAAATACAAACTCGTTGCAGAAGCAGTTTCTCGTGTCCTGTGCCAATTGTTTCAGTTATGAGTAAGGTGTTGCAAGAGCTGCGAAAAGAAGAAATTCAGATTTATTACATTGCGATTCACAAAACATTGTTGTGTGCCCTTCGTCCGGTACTTCCTTGCAAAGATGTTTTCCGGTTGTTCCTCGATGACATTGCGTATATGAACAGTTTTAATTCGATCAGTAATGTCACCGTATAGTACCAAAACAAATTTGACAGACCCCATACTAGAGGTAAAGCAACATTGCCTGAGTGCCTAATAAGTGGTTCCATTGCCTGAGCAAGATGCTGGGGTCATTCTCAAACTGTGTAAAAACTTCAGATCAAAAAGAAAAAAAAAACATTTTTTTTAACTGGTTTCTTATTTTGCCGTTCATTGCACGGCAGAACATCGGTAGTATGGTACTGCTTTCAGCCCGTAGCCTTGGAAATGATGTTGGAAGGATGTTAGCACAGATTACGTGCAAATCTGAATAAAGTATACTCGGAGGGAAGCTTTCAAGTTAGAATACCGGGGTAGGGGGGAAGGGGGTGGGAGCAGTGTAGTAAGTAGAGGTACAGCAGTATTTACAATGCCAAACAAATATAAACAAAAATGTCCCAAAAACAGCACTATTACAACATCTCTCACATTGAAGAGTGTGGAGAGTTCGGTGTTTTTGCCTGCTGTGCAGATAAGACTGCTCGTTGCAGCTTGAATTTGGCTGAAGGTAACCCTGACAGTGGCAACAAGTTGAGAATGAAAGCCAGGAACAAAAATGAAAAACTGTCGGCAAGGGTTCGCTGCAACCTTTTCAATTTAACTGCATGACCACCGTACAGATTCAATGAAGTCTTGAGAACTTCCGAAAATCCCTTCCAACTTTTGACCCGAGTGACGTGTGTCTAGCTCCGAAAACGAAACCTCCCTAGCGTCACGTTCGAAGACAATTACTGATCTTTGTGACGTGCAGGTGTCAATATAGTGCAGACAACACAATTCTTTCTCGCAGACACCCAAGAGCAGTTGAAACAGGACAAACCTCGACCACAACAAACAAAATCTTGATACCTGGATTCCAAATATTGCACGCATACGCAGTCGGGGAAACGGTTCCACAGAAGTATGTACAAGTTAAAAACACTTTTAAAAAAAAAAAGACGTGCTAAACAGGTCACGCTTCATCTTGCAGCCTTCTTGCATTCATTACTTTCGAGACAAAAACAAAGGAATGTTCCTATCAGCCTGCAATATCGACAGAATATACTATAAAAAAGACAATGTAACAGTTGTACTGTCACATCTTCTCGAGCTGATGGTAAAAAAACTAGCTTCACTGAGAACGGATTGTGGGAGGAAAAGCATCCCTAGCCTTGGGTATTGTCAAGCAAGGCACACCACTCTTGAATCACAAACTCGGAAATTCCCACAATGGAACGTTAGTTTCAGAATAGTACATATTTAGGGCGACTGTCCTTTCTCACACGAAAGTGTGGCCTAACTTGGTGGTATGTGGCCTTACTGAAGCAAAGTCTGCACACCGTAGTGCGAGTGAAGGGCCCTCCTTGTTTTATCCGAAGATGTATCATTGTAGGAAAGCAACACAAAGGTGTTCCCTCCAAGAGGCAGCACACAACGTGGTACAAGCATTGTGTGCTTGTATGACAAGCACAAACAGTAGAAGCATTGCTTGCTTGTACCAGAGCGTTTTATATAGGCTCGACAAGGAAACAAAATCAAACACCGTTGATGGTGCGAGCAGACTGGTGTACGGTAAATACTGCAAACAATGGACCCTCCAATTTCCTTACTTAGGACTGTGCGCAAAATGAGTGGTAAAGCATCTCGTAGATTGTCACGACCCCACAACCTTCCAGCCCTAGTGCTGTTTGTGGTGATGCAGTGTGGTAGTACACACTTTGGTACGGCTGCAATAAAGCCCAAAGAACGAGTGGTTTAGTCCCATTGTGGAATTGTGTAACGACTGCGGCGAAGGAAGCCCGTCGGCGGCACCACTGGCGACCATTGCTCAACACCATTCAATACTCGCAAGTCTATGGGAGAAACGCACAAAAGCAGGAATATTGAAGCTCGTATGCACTGCTCAAAGGTGAGTATTTTATGATGTGCTGCGATAAATATATCGGTATTTGTCAAGCGTTCGAACGCCCATTGAATATTAAAACGTGCTGGAGCACCGACGGCTGAGCTGGCAAGCTTGCTCTCGTAGTGGAGTAAACGAAAGTACTTGCAGTCAATAACACCATCCTCGGGGAAGCCCAGAAGTTAGTGAATGTCGTAAAGGTACCATCTTGACAGCGGCTTTCCGGAGTGAGCAAATTCCACGTAGCAAAGCCTTCAAGCTCGTCGTGTGCTAAACCCAACTCGTCAAAACTGCCATCGACTCCACGATAACTCTCGTCTCTTTGAGCTGCACTACATTTTTCGCCCAGCGGAGTTACTCTCAACCACAAAACGTTTATTTGTAGGAACTGCGAGGGCTGTCAGTTCTATTTATCTGACAGGCTTTCCGAAAAGCAGCCAAAAACTTCAAGTGCCGACAACAGCTTAAAAATGGGGGAAAGGGCACTTTTTCTCATTTTTCCCATAGAGTCCCACGCAGTAGCTAGTGTCAAGCGAAGGCTGCCAGTGGTGCCGCTCGACCCTAGCAAGACGAGCTTCCATTTGCGGTCCAGCCTACAACAATAGAGATCAGTGGAGAAAACTACGCTGGTTGTGGGGTTCCAGCTGCCTCAGATAATCGGGTGGGAAGGCCATCCCAAAAACAAATGGGTAAGTGCACCGTTTAAATGTGGCCACAATTCGGGCACCAAAAGCTGCGCTGTATGCTCTCGGCCCTAGCATAAAACCAAAGGTGTGACCCGCTTCCATGAAAGAAAAACCTAACCCCCGGTAGAGTCCAGAGCCACTGCGTTAGCTTGCCAGAGTAGCGACATGACACAAAGAGGTCTGGGTGCACAACGTCTGAAGCACCGATAGTGATTTTCATTTTGGGTCGGGAGGTTTGGGTTCACCCGTTCGTTGAAATGCGATATAAGTTGCTAAAAGTCGCATAAAAGTGTGGCTTTTAATGTGTCATTCGCCGTATGTTTAATGCATGTGGGAATGCGCGCTGACAATTTCGACTTTTCGCTACTCCAGAAGCGAAAGCTTGACTTCATCAGTTCCTGCACAAACCAACCTGCTCGGCTCGATGCTACGGTAATGCACCTGACCAATCGCGGCGAGAGGCGATGCGAGGGAAAGAGCAGCGCTATTCTGGCAGCTAAAGTTGCCATATGCAGTGGCTCTAGTAAAGCCCAACGAGAGGGGTGCTGCAACTAAACAAGAAAAAGTTAAACACACACGCTTTGTGTTGCCTTAAGTGCTGACCAGCTCGGGATTACGGGGCACATGGGGAAGGGACTTTCTTCCTGAGAAGGGAAACATTGCACAATGTTTGTGACAAAAGTAGGGGCCATAGCTGGCATTGTAAGGGGGGCGCCAGACGGACGAACAAAACGTTCGCAGATCGCCGAGGTCGACCAAACGGTGCGGCGAGTGAACGAACGCCCAAAGAGAAATCCCCAGAAATCTACACAGCAGCAATCGATTTTGACAAAACTGTATCTGGGCAAAAGGCAACCCCGTAAAATAGTTCCCGAACTTTAAAGCTGGATTTCAGAACTTGAGAAAAATGTGGCCAGTGAAAGAAGTGGGCCCGCAGATTCCGTCGTAAATTAAGGCGCACCTTTTTGCGTCGATCGATCGAGTTTCCTGCACGAGAAACGTCGACGCGGCCAAACGCGACTCAAGACACAGCACTGTAACGGCAGGGCGCTTCCACCCAAATTCCGCTGCTGCAGCCATGTCGTTCGAAGAGCGAAGAATAGCATTCGCCGTGCGACCTCTGCGGGCACAAATTCCGAGAATATCTAAATACTTCGCAGCTGCTTAATTAAAAGTTACCCTGTCTCCAACGTCCGAACAATCCGACGCAAGTGCCGGCTGGAAATGTCGACGTGTCGACGACGCGAGTGCCAGTTCGAACGCGAAACAAAGTTCAAATGGCTGACCGCCAAAAAATGCAAAAGTGATGCCACCTCGAGTTTCTAGGTGCCAGCAGCGTTGCAGGCCGAGCGACAAGTGCACCGCGGTGTGCCGGGGATTCTTGAGAGACCCGACGACGCTGCCCCATTGTAGAATCGCCCGCCCACGGCGAGCAGACAAGAGGGTGACCCGCCGTTGTCTAAATGACTCTGCTGTCTTGGAGAGTTCCATGCCCTACAGCCCGAATAGTCTGCCTTTGTAGACCTCGTCGAAGATCACTTTACGCAACCAGATGAGCCTGTCGGAAGGCGATCAACAAACACCAGTACGTGGCCGTCTGGCGAAACGACGCTCACCATCCCAAGACAGCTGTCTCCGCCCGTTTCTTCCGTCCAGTTCGACCCGCTGCACCGCTGGGGTGCAATCGATTCGCCCCCACTTCGGAAACGCTTCCCGAGCGCGACGGCGCACACATTCCATCTAAACTCTGCATCCGCCGGCCGCCTGCTTTGCGGACTGCCACGGCCACACCCACCTTGCGCAGTCGCGAGAGCGACGCTATAGTCATTACAAGTTGGGAACGGCGGGGAGGAGCTTCAGTCATCCCGCCTCCAGCGTGAGCTTCCTACCTTCGATGCGCTTTGGCGTTCTCATTTTATCAGAACAGTTCGGCGGTCACCAAGCAGACGCACTCCAGTTTGCACGACCGAACGTCGTCGCTCGCAACAAGGCCCACTTTGCGCCGCGGGCGAACCGCCCGAGAAAGGTGGGCGGAGCCCAAGGAGGCGGTGCCCCGCGGTTTCAGGCCTTGCGGGTGGCGGCATTGAACTCCTCCACGTCCGAGTCGCTGGTGGGGCCTCCGGCCTCCGAGCCGCTCTCGTCCAGTGCCAGACGGTCGAAGCCCCGGTGCGGCTGTAGCAGCTGGCCCAGGTCGAACTTCCCGCCGCTGCCAGACCCGGCCCAGCCCTTGGCCCCAGCATTTTTCAGCTTGTCTGCAGGGAGAGGACCAAGGAGATGTCGGGTTTAGTGTCCCAAAGCGACTTCAGCTACGACCAGGGTTCCGTGTTTACGGTAAATACCACAGAAACCCTAAAGTTACCCCGGACCCGGTTTTATCAAAATTGGGGAAAACCGAAACACCTTAATCAAAATTGTCCTCGAACGAGATAAAAACAAGCTTTGCGGTAAGAAAATCTTGGTCTACAGCTTTATTTCGTGCTGCAGAAAGAACAAAGTTGGAATTTGTTACCCGAGTCTGTTTTTATTCCCAACGACGTGGGACCACTTATCTCGGGAAATAGTCTGAATTTTTAATGTTATTCATGCTCAGCATCTATGTATTTTCTTTATTGACAGCCCTGCTGTACATTCTCGCGTCCTTCTGTTCTTGCTCTTGAGGAAGAACTCTTAAACTCCGGAGCTTCAACGCTGCACTTTTTTTTTTCTGTAAATAAAAAAAAAATTGAATTGTCCGCGAGGCTGGTTCTTGCACCGGGATCATGTATGTTAGTAATATCTAAATTCTTCTTTTTATTGGTACAAGGACATTTCCTAAGTATCCGGGTCGCACAAATGTTCTCTGGAAGTTGGGAATTCTGGGTAAAAGAAGGGTGAGAAGAGAATGGCGACGCAAGAAAAATAAAAAATTAAAAATATATTTTTTTTATACAGCGTGCTGATTTTGAACGAAAAGTGAAAATCTTCTCCGTTTCATAATTTATTTCTCAGTACTCGTACATGATAAAAACACAAACTTTGCTTAATTTGGAAGGCAATGAAAGGTTCTACATGTGGTATTGTTTTAAAAGCGATACTAAACATAGTCGACTCAATAACAAATTCGCAATTTAGGTCACAGTTGTTTACAAAGGCATGTTTGGGGATTTTTACAAAGATTGGAGCGACGAATAATACACAGTAGTTATAATGTTGTTTTACCTGCTTGCATATATATCACAACAAAAAAATATAGATGCTCTCTTTTGAATACTTTGAGATTGAGAGTCATTCAAAAACGCTACACACGACAATTGTCAAAACCTCGTCGTTCTTTCCCGCTTCTTTGAGATTTTTTTTCTCAGAAACTAAACATGTCAGGACATTAAAATAAAAAGGATTATTCTCCTTGGAACATGCGCCACAAAATATAAAAATTTGAGGCAAAATGAAAAATACGACTGCGCCTTGTTGCCTGAATTCAAATGAAACCGGCCATATATATATTTCATAATTTTTTTTTTTTTTTACCTGAACAATGCCTATTTTTTTAAATTTCTTTTCGTAGTAACCGGCAAAAAATACTCCAGTATGCATGCCACCAGAAAAATATGTGGTGATTAATGCCATTTCTCAACGATAGATTCATTGAGCAGATTCCATGCAAAGCTATGCTTTACTTCGTCTGGAGGGGGTATAGAACCTCATAAAATTGGTTCGCAGAGCACAGGGTACAAACACCCCCTGCGAATTTCACGCCGATTGAGTGAGCAATTCAAAAGTAGACATGCTCAGGAAGTGTCTCCCCTTAAGATTATCCAAATTAACAAGGTTTTCCTGTACAAGACTGCAAACCTTGGGCTGTAAGTGAGGTTGGCAGAAACAGCTGTGCGTATTGTTTGCTCTCAGACTTGCTCATTGTTCTGCGATAGTTGACGTTAATACTCGTCAATGCATTAACGCTGGCAAATTCTTTGTTTGTGGCTGATGCATTAATCATACGCGCAGGTCTGCTGCACTGAACATGAATAGCTATACCAAATATCTTAGTCCAACTGGAGTCCTCACTGTTCAACCTAACGCATGGAGCTGTCAAGTGACATCACCTAGAGCTGTGATTTGGCCACGAATAGTTCATATTCCAAACGTATGCCTGCACGCTTCAATAGTGGTGACCTACTGTCCCTCTAACTTCTTTTTTCTCAAGCCACCCCAGCAATGAATAACCTTATTAAGTCGGAGTACACATATTACAATGCCGCAACTGGCCCATGAAGAGTTATACGAGATTTTCATGAAACAGACAATAAGAACACTCGCACGGAAATGAATGAAAATCAAAAGTAGCTAATGTTGAAGAAACAAAGCACAAGGCACAAAATTAACACGAGTGCACACAGACTATAACAGCCGCACAGTCTGCGACAGACCATGCACGTTGGTGGAGATTAACACTCATCAAGTCGTGACCCAGACAAAGAAAACGCATCATGAAGGTCACTGGTGAGCCCACTACGAGCATCAGTATTATCACTCGCTCTATCGCGTCTGCACGCTGAAATTTTTGTTCTAATGTATTATGATACACTATAAATGCATACACATGTGCATATATTAGATTTTGAGTTCGAAGCAATTTTGAAGAGAGTAGTGTTTTTGGCCAAATAATTTCTAAATGAACATCAAATAGTTTCTCCAGGTCTTTCACTACCAAGCAACCATACTTAACTATATTTTCGAAATCGCCATCTTTTACTCTTTCCGGTATGCTATTTAGTATCGCGAAATTAAAAATATAGTTATTGTGAAATCGGCAGATGAAAATGACGGCAAAACCAAGATTCGAATATACCCGCGCTTTTCATTGCCGTGACGTCACGGAATGGCAGGCTTGCAGTTCGAGCGAACTGTCTAAAAATGAATGATGCCGAGCATTTGTTTTGAGCAGCTGCGCGGGAGCTGGAGCGACCTTCCGAAGCATTCATTTGACACCGTGAAACTGTTCATAATCAGTTGGAAACAAAGTCTACAGCCCAAAAAGTGAACCCCTGCCTACCCATGACGTCACCTTTTCAATGTTGCCAGTAGAGCTTTTCACTTTGAAAAACACTATGAGGACCGAAATTGTGAATTCTATAACTTCACGAGAAAAAGTTATTTTGGCCAAATATTTGGGTTACTATTTCAGCTATGTTTGTTGGTGTGTTTAGAAAGCTTTTGGGCAAATCGGGGACTATGAAGAAAACGCCGGAGTACCCCTTTAAGCGTAAATTCAGCTGAACTCGTGAAGGTTGTTCCCAATCTTTCACCTGTCCACTTCTAAGCTTTGTTAAATTTAATATAACTATATTTATGAACTGTGGCATGTAAATAACAAATTTGTTGCAGGTATCCTAACCGAGGGGATTTATAAATCTGCTAGATGTGCAGATACTCTTTTTTCAATTTCAAATCTGAAAAAAAAAAAGAAAAAAAAAAAAAAGTACACGAATGATAAATGTGGGTTGTCAAGACATAGCTCCCTAACATATAGTCTTGCATAATCGTGGCGGGTTAGCGAGCTTTGCGGGTGTTGCTTCCCCGAAACGTACAAATGCTTGATGAGAAGCACGCTCAACAAGGCTAACCCGCAGCAATCAACACTTCGAAAAGTATGGATATCGAATAGCATTTTATTAAAACTACTATTCAAAAATTCGAATATTTGCACAACCCTATTAATGAAATCTATTAAGAAAAATCCCCCACTCGTATCTGCCACCAGCTCTTGCACCCCACACCCTAAACGATTCTTAGCTCTCCAAGTTTCTCGCTGCGTAAAAATATTCGTAGGGTAATACCCAGCTCTATACTTGCAGAAAACTTTCGGTGCCTATGCAGTCGAAGTTATGGGCAGACGGGCCCTTGTGTGTCTTGAGCGCCGACCACGAGTACAGTCAAACGCTTCTATAATGAAGTCTCCAAGACTGTGAAAATCCTTCATTATACAGGTCACTATGTTACAATATTGCAACACCTTGCCCTGCCCCCTTGAGAGGGTTTCCAAGGTTGGAAACCCTCTCAAATCTAGGCACACTATTTTTCCGTTCCGTTTTATTCCGAATCAGAATTTGTGTCTTGCGGTTCCAAAAGAACAACGACGACAATTCGGCTGGTTTCATCGACGTGGTTAACGTAGTTTTCTTTCTGTGATCGTGCAGTCTCCAATTTCTGTGAGTGCGGCAACAGTGTTGTACATCGGCGCCTTATTTGAAACGAGGAGCTTTACTCGGGAAAAGAATTAGGCATGGTGCGGGATTCCGGCCTCCCAACAATTCATCCCTGGAAGCGGCGCAAACGGCATGTTTCAGTTTTGATTCAAGGGGCACGATGATGAGTAAATTTGCGTGCTACAAATTTCGTGGCGTACGTTACTTTTCTCTTTTCTAACCTGTGTGTTAGATTTTCTGTGGAATGGTAGGACCAAGAGGTGTTTCTCGCATGTTCTGTTTAACATCACGGCGCTAACATTGGGAGAAAAAAAATGGCTTTTTTGTCAGCTCCGCGCCGACCGCGCATCTCTCGCTGAATATTCGAGCGACCAAATACTAGAAATTCGATTCGCAAATCAAATTATTCGGGAACCTGCTATTTGATTCGAATTCAAGCATTCGCGCACCCCTAAAGGAAATCTTCGTTTTCGGATATTGTGAACATGTTTACTATCCCTTTGCACACTTCAAACAGATTTACTACGCAGGTGAGTGAATTGGCCTTCACACAAAGCTCGACGCAAAGTTTGGGGGGGGGGGCGTGGGTCTGACCGCAAGGGGGCTCTCTGCGGTGAACCCCGACGGCCAGGCGCATCTCGCGCTCGGGGTGCCGTGCCAGCACTCACCCTGCCTCTTGAGTCGCACCACGATGGTGATGACCAGGAAGGAGAGGATGGGGATGGCCAGCAGGGCCATGATCACCATTGAGACCCCAAAGTTATCTTCCGGGACGGGAGGAGCCACGGCAGGCGGGGCCGTGGCATTACTCTGCCTGGGGGGCGCCTCCAGGACCTTTTTGGTGGAACGGTGCACCTCTGCGGGGAGGGACAAGGTCAGCAACGAGAGGGCAGGGGGCCTAGATTTAAGGAAAGGGGCCTCAGACCATTTGATTTCATTCTTCGTTTCATCTGGTTTATTTCACCCCTTAAGGCCGACTTACAGAATTGTTTTCTGCCGGGCAGAAAACTGGTTGCCCAGTTTCCTTCTCTACATTCCCTCTCACACTTTTCTCCCTTCCTGTCCCCACAGGAGCAGGTCTCTGTGGTTAGAGGAGGGTCTCCTATACAAGCATTTTTGGTTTTGTGGGCCAGCAGATTTCTATATGTATTTTTGATGTTAATAAAATTATTATTATTATTATTACTTCCTGCAGAAAGCAGGATGGCTTTGAATACTGCCTAAACTTCTAGATCACATTGCATCTCTAGAAATTGATGTCAGTTCACTAAACAAAACTGCCATACTTAACATAGTACACAATTCATATTCCCTGTACAATTGAAGTTGTTTTTTTTCACTTTTCTTTCTTTTTTTAATTTTGCGTTATTTGCCTTGTAGGGGTACTGAGAGCTTGTCACGCTGCATAAAACCAGATTTTTCCCTTGGTACCATCGCACGTGACAGAAAATAAACAATGTTTCAATACTGCTTATTAAAAAAAAAAAGAAATCGTGATTGTTTGCCCGAGAGAGATAAGAGCGAAGAGACAAGAGATAACAGCGAAGCCAACAGATGCGCATGGCCTCGGATCCATGGGAATCAAATGATGCTCACCTCTGACAAACCTCCAGAGCTTGTTTGGGCTGATCTCCCCGACATACACCTCTTCAACGTCTTTGGAACAGGCAATGTCGTGGGGCATGGTGAATGACTGCAAAAAAATAAAGAGTGCCAGTCAGCATTGCATCCTTTCAGAGATGAGAGATTCAACTTCAACTTTAGTTTTGACTGCCACTTGAAACACCTTCACCATTGCGAAATACTGAAGCTAATGCAAACATACATTTGCACAGCCACCCAAATTTCAGCTAATCTCAGGTGAAACAAAGGCACGGGTGCTATACTTTGATCACTCTTTGCTATACTTTGATAACTGCGCTCCTGGCTTTGAGACATGCTTTCCTAGCATAAGCGCTTGTTCTGCGGAAAAAAATTTCTAGGTCGCGATCTCGGTCTTTCGCACTTGTAGCATTGGCTGCAACCTCAACTAAAGGGTGAATAAAGTACAGTATGGTCTGGATGGCAAAAAGCGAGATGGCTGTCAATAACAAAAACTTTGGGACAAAAAGAAAGTACTTCTCAGCCTATTTCTTTTGAAAACAGCAATAAACATAGACTGCAGCACAATCCTTTGCGAGTTCAAATTCGAAAACATAATTTCAAAGTTTTTCCCGTCACGAAATGGTATCTCATTTAGCTCCGTAAATAAGCTCTGGGCAGGGATCCAGAGAGCGCCACCCTCGGTTGATCATCAGCGCCACCGTGGCCAAATGAGGCAACACTGGAACGGCTAAAACCAGCAGCGTCGCCGACGTACCCTTGCAAGAGTATGCTATTACCAACTCCAAGCGTTGTGTTGTCGCCCGCTACACTACTGACTGTTTTAAGGGGGGGACCCTGGCTAGAGATTTAACTTCTGAACTACTCAAGTGATCTCAATGAAATTTGCAGGGAAGATTTAACATCAGACAAAGGTGTATTGTGCAAACTTTCAGCTGTCTAGCACAATTTTACATACCTGCATAAGAAGACATGTCACTCTTCATTAAGAAATCTATGATGTGCAAATGAAGCTATTAAAGGGGCACTGAAGTCATTTTTCAAAAAGATCGTTTTTGATCTTATATTGTTTAAAATGGATTAGTTCCCACATATACCAAGTCATATATTACAAAACCACTTATTCATCTCAGGGCAATAGAAAAACACGAGGACTCTTTTTTCTCGCGGACTACAACGTGTGGACTAATGAAAGCCGTACATTACATGCAGATTCCGAATGATTTAGTTATAACTCGTTTTGAAGAGTCTGATAGGTACACATTCGGATAAGACTCCTCTTTTTTTTCAGCGGGAGAAGCCACCGCTTGCAACTCAACGACAAGCGCCCTTCGTCGACCACCTCACTCGGAAGAAAATTCTTCCAAAAAAGGGCGTGTCGCAATCTTTGAACACGCTTTTAACGAGGAAATAAGCTACGCACAATTATGACTTTGGGTTTGTTTGGATGCTTAGAGCGTCTAGATTGAGTTGTCACCACAAAAGGACGATCTCAAAATCGACTTCAGTGCCCCTTTCAGCACCATTTTGACTGCTTGAATATAAAGCGGGGGATCTGGGACTTTGGGCTATCTAGTTTTTATAACTCAAAGGTGAATATTTCAGGAAGAGTGATTACCTCAAAATATGAGATGCATATCTGTCCTATGTCAATTTTTGAAAACATAGTTTTTCCTAAATGAGGACCTCAACTTAAAACAAAATACCTAAAGTAGATTGCCCGATTCCCCAGTAAATTTCAGTTCAGAAACATCTTGATTGTGGTATCGAAATACTTTTTCCTTCCAACAAAAGATTCTTTCGTATAAAATTTGCAACAAAAGTGGTACTGAGAAAAGTGCATTCGAACATTTAACTCCTTTACTTTTGTTACTGCCTCACAATATGTTGAAAATATTTTATATCAATGTAACTATTTTTTGTATGGTTATCAGATGTAGTGCAAGGGTAAAAAATTAGTTTCTAAAGCCGAAAAGCTCAAATTCAAAAAAAAAAATTAATTTTTTCAAAACATTTTGATATTTAGGCTCATGTCTTCCCTTAAGAATCTTTCAAACGTTAAATATATATATCTGCATGCGTGTGTGTTTCTGTCGTTCTAGCATTAGGGAGTTTTAGTAGTAGGTGCATTCCCCGATAAACAGAGACAACCCAAAACAGGAGCTAGCGGAACAAAACTGTACGTCCTGATTTTACGGCCAAATATAAGTGAAAGCAAGTAAACAATGGCAGTTTCCTTTTCTCTTTTAAGTTGTATGCGCGCTTTAAGATAACTTCTTCGAGCTTCCCTCCTCTACAAAAGCGGAACTAAAAGTGCCCCCCCCCCCCCCTCTCCTCCTCCCTCTCACCCTCACCCACCCCTTCTTTTCCAAGTGAACTCTTCCCGCATGAATAGCTGACCTCATTTTGGTGATCAGCTTGTTTCCAGTAGCCTCGTCGCTGTGTTGAAAACGATTATGGCGTCCGAGGAATGTGTTTCTCGTGCAAGCTGGCTACAGTTTTAATGGTGTCGTAAGCAGTTGCTCGTCGTAAGCTGATGCTCGTTCTCATCGACTGAATATGCTGTTCACTTTTACATAGAACACAAATAAACGCCGCATAGGTAACCTTTTCTCGTGGGATAAGCATATTTTTTTAATTATTTCTTGAGTAGACTATTTTTTTGCAGCGGGGACGAAGTTAGAACCGTACAGGGGTGGAAATCATGAAATATACTTGGGAGCAGCCACGGGAGCAGCTGAAACAGCTGTTTTGGAGCAGGTTGGGAGCAGCTAAATCTATGTTCTGAAGCAGGCTAGGAGCCGCTCAGATCAGTTTTCATTGCACTTCAGCTTGTGTCTTAGACAAGCATGGGAGCAATTTCAATTGTGCTTAGCAGTACAAATGAACATGAGTGGTTAGGGACCTAGGTACCTAGATGGGATAACAGTGTAACAGATGCGAAAACTTGAAACATTGTAAGTTTTAATGAGAACCAAAAGGCAAGTACCATACGTTTCTGAAATTAGTGTCCTTGATATTTTCTGAGTGGCTTTCAGCTGCTCAAAATGCAAACAAGAACTGCTTATAGCTGAACCCACACATGCTTGACATAGTAATTATATGTGCGAACCACGTGAAGTGCATAAGCAACGACCCTGCACTTGCGCGGAGGAACAGGGCAACACATTTTCAGTTTATCCTATTCTACAACTCAATATTGAAGCAGCAGACTACGATTAACGGAGTTATCGTATTCGAAGCGATAAGCCGGAGCAAGGTTAAAGTACGCTGAGCAGATCTACCGCTCGCGTGAGAGCTGCTGGCCGGCAAGGTTTCAGATCGGACCGCGTTTCAGTTCTATCAAATCACGATTTATCTTGCAGGAATGCGGTTCCAACTTCTATCGATGAAGTACTAAAAGGAATCTTCTGCTAATGTGTTTTCAACTGGATGACGTCCGGAACCCGGGCCGCAGAGCCTCAGGCAATCTGATCTTTAACGACTCGACCTCACCTCGCTTATCGATGAAGAATAACAATCCAGTCGCAGGTGATAATGCGCTTAGAATCTGACCCCCGAGTTTTTTCGTGCGCTTCCGACTCGCGATACAAAGGGAAAATAAACAGAGCAAAGGATTGCAAGGCTGACCAAGCTAAACGCACTCATTGTCGCCAATCGAGTCGATAAAAACCGACACCAATACAAAATACAATTTTTTGGGCGCACGTTGTGCGATTTGGAGTATAATGGCGCGAAGTTTGCTGTGGCGCAGCTTCCGCAAAATGGCGCAGACAAATTCGTCTGGCGCAAATGGCGCAACCGTTCCACCCCTGACCGTATAGACAGAGGTCGAAATAGAGCAACCATCTTCGGGCAGCTACGCGACCATGCTAAAGGCGCAAATGACAGTCCGTTCTGCAATCGGCGAAGCAAAGAAAACGCTCACTTCGATTTTCAATAAATACGATCAAACGTCCACAAAACATCGTTCAATCGAGATCTGTCCGCGGAGCAGAGAGCAGTGAGAGTGTCAAAGGACTGAATTGACTCTAGACTCATCTCATTGAATTTAAAGACATTGCCAAGCTTCTAGCGCATTAATTCCAATTATCGAATCATATAGTGCATTTAGAAATTAATCCCAAGTCAGGAAATGCTAACGTAATGCTTATTTTACACGTTTTACGGAATTTATTCATCTTCCACAACGTTGTATTTTCCACGGCATCAACGGAAACCTGAGGAGCTTCACTCCCGCTAAGCTTCCGGGGTTGCGACAGTCCGGTATGCAACAGTGCCTACAGCTTCGATGTTTGCTCTTCTGTGATGTACGATAGCAATGTTAAGAACAAAAGACCAAAAATGCACGAACCAACACCTTCAAATTGATGCGTGAACAGTCCCACAAGTAAGCAGGCTGGCGAAAGGGCCTTCCCAGTGTTGCAAATATATTGAGCTAGATGGTGCAACGTGTCACACCAAACTTGGTTGCCCTGAGGGTATTACACAATCACTTAGCTTAAAAAGAAAAAAAAACTTTCAGCCTTTCCACTTTGGTGAAGAAGGAAGAGCAGCGGAGCTGGTAGCTTCTGTTCTCGGCGGTGGCTTTCCAGGCGAGCGATCTGCTCATCTTTCGCAAGAGAATCTGAAGCGCTCGACGCAGCGTAACTTTAGGCGATAGCGGCCTCACGGCGGTTACGAAACCATTCGCACTGCTGTGCACTTCGCCGCCCATTCATTCCATTCCCTCTCTTCTTCCCCCGAAGAAATGTTTGACGGCGGCAAGCGGACAACCGGCAAACACAACACTCTGGACAGCTACCGCCATCTATGAGCGACGGCGGGCGGCAACCAGAGTTTAGTGTCGACATTTCTTTGCGCGGGACAGGACCCTGAGGAAACTAACCCTTAACAGCTCCGCTGTAAAAAGGGCTCGAGGTACACCTAAGCACTTCTTATGAGTTGTGAATGCGAAAGCATGCATGCCGTTCTTCCACTCCCGTGTTTCGTTTGCGGCGTATTTGTGTCAGCCGTGCGAGTGCTCTCCCAGCTGTCCTCGCAGCTCTGACCTTAAACGCTTCGTGTTACGGGCGTGCTCGTGGCATGGACACACAGCGCCATGGGGCGGCGGTCGTTGGTACTGACGCACGCAACGGCCAATGGAAGCCTCGTCGATGCGCGTCAGACAATGGGATTGAAGGCGAAATCCATCAGCTTTACTCCGCTCCTTTGGGATCGGGGAAACTAGGTGCTGTTGTCTAGGCTTTTCACGTGGTTTCATAGCTGGGAGCTGGCTTCACTTGGAGAAAGCATTCAAGGTGCCATTTGGCGCGCTTCAAACTGATGACGTCGGCTCGCTCCTAGGGACAGTTAATGCTTCCACATTAAAAAAAAAAAGTGCATCTAAAATAAGTTTTAAAGAAATAGTTGTTCACTGAGAACATAAAAATGCTCAGTCCTGCGTGAATCCATAGTACAGCCATAGCAACAGCTGTGGCACCTCATCAGACCCTAATCCTTATGTATCTTATGCCACGGTCGGAACCTTAAGTGGAGGAGCCCTTGCCAATGTCTGTTTGGAGAGTAACACTCATTTATTTGCATGGAAGCCCTCCGACGAATACGGCGCGAGACTCGGGTGGCAAGGTGCGACGTCGCAGCAACTGCGGCCACCTGGCGGACATTGCACAAGACTTGTAAGCACAGCTGTCCTACGCACGTGCAGTTTATTAGGCGATGCATCGGAGCAGATGCGAGGCTTTGTGGTAGCGCCCTTGCATCACAACCGGTGGACCCGGAGTCGAATCTCAAGAAGTTGTGCATCGATGGGAGGCTCAGATCTGCTAAGATAGTGCTTCCACTGGAAAGACACTTCACTTAGGAGCAAGGAAGGTTAGGAAAAGTCGGGGGCTAAAACAACCCAACCCACGACGATGTTCTCGGGAACACCTGGGTCCCTAGGAACTCGGTTTGAAGACCGAATACCCTACGTCATTTCGAGCGGGGGAAAGAGCCCGTAACAGCCGTCACTGCAAAAAGATATCACTTAACTGCAAGCAACAACTTGAGGGTTACATGAGGCAATTCGGGGAATTCATCGTTTTTTGTTTTTTTCTAATTTCCGATGAAGGGGCATGGCACTTACCCCCTTGGGAGGGCCAAAGGTGCCCAGCAGCTCCTTGGAGGTCAGGTTGAAGACGAACCCCCGGGAGGGGTTGGAGATCATCATGGGCCCGGACACGGCAAAGAGCAGGCCCCCCGGCGCATGGTCGCTGTACGCCACCGAGTACAGCTGGCCCATGAACTCTGGCAGGGAGATCTGCGTGGGGCAAGAGCTCACTCAGCATGCAGTCGCCGCAACGAGAGCATGCAACACATGCAAAACCCCGCTTGGATCCACTGCATCGGCTTTGGGGTGTTCATCTCTAAGAAGCTTTCAAGGTTTTGTGCCCTGTGGTGCCACATAACACCGACATAAAAATCGGGTTTGGGGAAAAACTGATTTCAGCGACACTGAAGCTGCATTCACGGGAACTGTCAAGTTGACACCTCGGAACGGATCCGCTCGTTTTTATCGTCAAATGTGCACGAGATAGAACTGGATCTTTAAGCAGTAAGGTTCAAAACAGCTTCGCAAATGCTATTCTACCATCGGAGCAAATGCAACTTCAATGGTGCTCTCCAGGAGTGAGCATGATTAGCAGAGACGACGACAGATGGGAGTAATAACCGCCAAGCAGGCAACGTCAAACAGTTTTCACGCTCGCGCGGCATTTTGTAAAGACGCTGCTGCAGCGCCACCAAAGGAGCAGTGGCACATGCTCCTGCATTCCCTCTCATACAGTTCTAGACGGTTCATCTGGGCCTTGAAACTAGGGGTGTGCGAATACTCAAATATGCAAATTTGAATCGAATAGCAAGTTCCCGAATAATTCAATTCGTGAATTGAAGTCCTAGAATTTGGTCACTCGAATATTCAATTTATTCGGCCAAAGATGAGCCTTTTTTTTTTCCCGATGTTAGCGCAATGATGTTAGACAGATCATACAAGAAACACCTCCTGGTCCTACCATTCCACAGAAACCTAACGCACAGGTTAGAAAAAAGAACCACGCCACAAACTTTATAGCACGCGGATTTAATCACGATCCTGGATCTTGGATCAAAACCGGAACATACCCGTTTGCTCCGCTTAGAGAGAGGAATTGTTGGCAGGCCGGAATTCTACGTCATGCCTAATCCTTTTCACGAGTAAAGCACCTTGTTTCAAATTGAAGCGTCGATGTAGAACACGCTTGCCACACTCACAAAAATCGGCGACTGCAAGATCACAAAAAGAAAACCTATTGATAGCACCCCGTGCACAAACGTACGCATGCGTGCACCAAACAAGAAAGTTTCGCAAGTGACAAGGCGCCCGACTTGGTTCAACGCCAAAGCATTTGCCAACGCGATCGCTGGCTTTCCCGCTTTCCCAGCATCGCTCTTCGTCGTGGTCCGCTCGTTCGCTTGCTCGTTCCGCCTAATTGGTTTTTCTACTTTCTTGTAAACTTTTTTTTAATTAACGAGGAAAACATAGCGGTGTAACGTGATTTCACGGAACAAACGTTTGCGCTGTACGCCGATCGGCGGTGTTCATGGCGCGTATGCAAGCAACAGACTTCGCGATAGTAAAACGTTTTTTCGTGAGCATTTTTTGTATAAAACAATAAAACTAACTGGGGTTTTGAGTTTTATGTATCTCTTCTGCAGCCGCACTAGGTATGCCAAAAAAATGAGTGTTTTTTCCTAATTTTTTTTAGCTTTTCGTGTTCACCCATCGAGACATGGCCCACCCCACTTTTTTTAAGAAATTTCAGGTGGCAGTGGGGTGGGTAGCGACTCGTGATATTACGGTAGCCTTTAGGAGTATCTTTGCACAAAACTTTCGAAGGCCAGCTTGAAGTGGAAAGCGTTCTGCACCAATCGTTTCTACACGGGAGCCAGAGGCAGTCTGGGGTGGGAGCCTAGGACGCCCGAGCAGCCCACCTGGAAGCGAAAGCTGCCGTCGTGCAGGGAGAAGGCCTGGATGCGGCCGTTCTCCCGGTCGGCCACGCAGAGCAGCTGCTGGGGCACCGCCAGTACCACCTTGTGGGGAATGGCAAAGGTGCCCGGAGGAGGGGCCTTGCTCCCTGAAATATAGAGGATTGCCCCCCACTCAGCCCAGGCTTTCTTTGAAGGCCGGGTAGAGCCCGGGCTTGGCGCATTGGTGAGAATATGAACCCCATCGATTGTCGGGCACCCAGCAGTAATCCTCGTTAGAGCTCTGCACAAGCCTGGGTCAACCCCAAAGCCTGAACCAACCCAAAGCCCGGACACGAGGCATGCTTATGCTTATCTCCCACTGCTGAGACATCTTCAGCCGGGCCAGGCTTGGGCTGGGCTTGGGTCGGGCCAGGCTCCGGTCGGATCAGGCAGGCATCTTATAAGACTGGGCTATGGTTGGGTAAGACTGAGAGTCTTCGGGCCGGGGTTGAGTGAGGCCTCGAAACGTAGGAGCGTGCAGTGCTCTAATCCGTGTCTTTCGCTCGAGTACTGCAGAGCTAGCGTGAACATAGATGGCAAAAATCTCTCGGGACTATGGTGCTTGGAGCGCGTCTTTAAGTGGTATGTTTACTGCGTCTTAAATAATCGCTCAATTTCTGCCCAATGATGTCGCAGAGGTGTCACGCTGTTGCCGGCCATGATCCTGGCAGTGCCGCAGCGGCGGTGGTGGATGTAGCAGACGCCCATTCTGCTGCAGGTTGCTCTCCAGCTCGACAGTCCACAAAGCTTCAGCGACCGGGAGTTATGGATGCCGCGATGACAGCGACACTAACGTTTGCGCATACTTTTTGCCGGGACTTCTAGTGCCAACCGCGAGGATCGCGATATTCAACAGCATGATGTCATTTGTTGCCACTTCGGGACCACTTTTGACGTATGGGCAGGATAGGACGTTAAACACGCCAGTCAAAGACACATATGCTCCAGGCACCTTATTATGAAGGCCACGCCGCTTTCTACCCCCTCGGTAAATGTTTGAAAAAATATGGCGTCAAATGCTCACCAAATGAAGCCTCTTCGCCAATCTGTCGCAGAAACTTGCCCATCTTGTCAAAGTGCACAATGCGGGCATTGCAGTACCTTCGAGAAAGAATAAGTGGCACATGTTTGATCGCGCCGACAAAGACCGGGGAGCAGCACAAAATTTGTTGAGAGAAAGCTAGGTACTCCCTCGCAGAAACACCTCACAAAAATTGATGCCAGGTGACTCGAGGTCACGTGACACGTTCCTGTGATGCCAATTTCCTCACCAAATTCAGCAGAGAAATTGACGTCGCGTGACTTGGGGTCCCATGACATGGCCTTGTGATGTCAGCTCCCTGCTAAATTTAGTGAGGAAACTGGCACCAGCGACATCCAATTATTCTCCTAAATAGAGCAGGAAAACTGTCACATGATCTGAGGTCACACGGCATGGTCTTCTGATGTCAATTTCCCCCAAAAATTTAGCGAGGAAATTGACGTCACATGACAATAAAGGCCCGTTCACACTCTTGCGCCATCTATTGGGAAGCAGTGTAAACTCGGCGGTCCGGCATATTTTTTTTTATTTCTCGAGAATTATCCTTTCTTTCTTGGCTCGAAAACTTTTGACAATGTTATAAACGAGCCTTTCTATGGGTATTACGCACATTTGACCTCGAAAATCCCGCAAAACCTTCGCTCTTGTGAAATGCAGTTCCAGGGTCACCGCATAGATGGCGCCACAATGTCAGTATGTTCCCTCATTCTAAAAACATTTAAGAAGTTGTAAGAGATCTCTTCTCTCTCAGTCGTACTCGGTCGCAAGAGTGTGAACGGGCCTTAATTTTGTCGCAGCGAGGAAATTGATGTGACCGTTCTTTCTGACGGTCTTCTCATGGAATTCGGCTGATACAACAGATTGTGAAGCACCCACAGTCTGTCCCCGTTGGAAACTTCTCTTTAAAATGAAGATGTCCAGTACCCCTTCGGTTTTCGCGCTTTCGAATCGCTGGATTCGATCATCGAAACTTTGGTTCGAAAAAAGTTTGCGGCATCCCTACTCGTAACAAATTATAACGCTGACATGGAAGCACTCTAGCCCCGTGGGCAGCGAGTGTTGCCATTACAATTTATAAACAACAGATTAAAGTAGCAGGATGGAAAATGATGGCAGAAAAGATTGACTGACATATCAGGGCCTCACTGTAGGAAAGGCCATCCTTTTAAGCGTGTTAGTGCCTCTAATGCTCGTACCAGTACTACAGTCATACTTCAAGACAGCTTTACTAATCCACATTCATCTGTTTGCTGAATCGGACTTCTTTTTCTATTTGGGCATTGTGGCTGAAAGGTGTATTATATCTGGTGCGGCATCGGGCCCATGTCGGCGATGTGTGGCGTGATCTACAGTCAAACCCACTTATAACGATCCCACATATAACGACCTATCGGTTATAATGACCAGCTTTCAGAAAATATACAAATTCACGGCCCTACCCATCAAAATTGATCTAGATAAAACAACCGTTATTCAAAGCATCATACTGTTACAACAAACACACAAAAAAAACAACTTCCACACGCGAAAAGAAAAAACAAAAATCAAAAGAGCTACATTCCGAGCACGGCGCCCTGGAGATTGCCAGGAGATGCTCAAGGTTATATCTACGGCCGTGCTGGCCGCGCAGCGTACTTCCCCGAAGAGGAAACAAAACTAGAAAAGCAAGAATGCCTCCCGGGTCGTGTAGTCCGCTGATTGTGCGTGCACGGGAAGGAGAAAAGGAGGTGGAGAAAGTTAACTCTCAGCCGTGCTGCGTTCGTTCGTTCTGCGGAAACTCAAGACAAACTCGATGCTCGGTATAGGTGGCTAGCCCCATTGCCATCGTGACCGTTTCTTTACGTTCGCCATTTCGGTATCCGTATCATGCACATTCTCTCGCGTCTTCGGACTCGTGTCTGTCCTTTCAAAATGGGGGAAAACAAATCTAGAAGGCTTTATTTAAACAAAAGCGCATCACGCTGGCGAAAAACGATAACAACGGAGCAGCACTGCGTGGCCTCGTAATTCCAACCACCCCGGCGAGCTCGCAAAGTGTTGTTTGAAAGACGACCCTGCCAGAGGCGACGGCCGCGCACTCGTACGTGCGCAAGAAGCGCAGCACTTAAAACGCTTTAAACCAAAGCAAGTGTTAATTACCTCTCTGGATAGCGAAGAACCATTATCGGACTAGTGCACGGCATTTATTTTCGTGTTGGCGTGCGTTTTATAAAATCAGTTTTATAAGGTATGTGGTCAATCTTCATTATTTTACCCGTGCGGTAGAATCGGCAGCAATTTACTTTTCGATTATCTCGAAGCTAAATCTGCCTGAGCGTTAGAATTGGGGGTGCGCTCGAATCGTGCGAAGAACTGGCAGAGTGAAACCAGCAATACCAGCTTCATTATCCCTATTTATAAGGTGTTTTATAGGTAAGTCCCGATATAGAGAACTACTGATAAAATGACCACTTTTCGCAAAGCTAGTATAGCGTTCGTTATAAGGGGGTTTTACTGTATATGTAGCTTCGTCCGATTTCCCTGCACCTCCTGCACTGGTGCAGAAAAGTGCAAGGCGGTGTGCTTCCGGTCGCATCTCAATACACATACTACCAGAAGTTCACCGCACCTGCACCGGTGCAGGAAGTTCAGGTAAGTCGAACGAAGCTAATCTGCGTGGCGAGGGGAATCCAGACCCCTTCCCACTGAGGGGAGGCTTACCCGTCGGCCACGTAAAAGTCCCCGGCGGGCGTGACGGCTACGCTGGTGGGCTTGCAGAAGTTGCCCGTGCCCGAGCCCGGGCGGAACTTCTCGCCCAGGGACAGCAGGGGCGTGCGGCTGCCTCGTGCAGGGTAGCGAAGCACCTGGGGGTCAGGAAGGGACGAGAGAAGAGCAGAGCGCTGACATCGGTGGCTCCGAGAGAAAGAAGGAGAAAGGGAGCGACAAAAGAGAAAAGGAAGAAAACAGACAAAAGGCAAGGTGTGCTCGTTTTGAGCGACGAATTGAAGTTGTTTGAGTGCTCATCAACTTTGTGTCTTTTAGTACAATGCGCAATGTCAGCGTTTTTGTGCAAAATAAAGCTAGAGAACAACTAGGTACAGACCTTGCGAGTGGTGTTTTGCTGCTTCGTTGCATATATTAAATTGTTGGCAGCAATTTGGGTCCATTGGGACCATCGACATCCGCGCCTGTGCCTCGCTGTTACGAAGCAACCGAAACGCGTGGGAAGCTGGTAGATCTTTTCCTCTAGATCATGGGTTCTCAAACTGGGTTCCTAGCAATGCAGGTGTTCCCGACAGTACCCTCACAAGTGCTTCAAGCCCCCAAGTTTCCCCAAATGTGTTTGAGGAAAGGGTTTTTTCCAGTCTAACCATCTTTGCCAGCCTGAGCCATCCGTTGATGCACAACTATAGACCTTTTCGGCCTTTGTCGCATGGGCCGAAAAGGTCTATAGTTGTGCATCAACTATAGACCTTTTCTTGGAATCAATTCATCTTGGAATCACGTGACGTGGCCGCCATTAAAGTGGCTTCTACTCGTCGCTCCAGTCTCCCCTCCGCGACTTGGCGAAGGCGTTGCATTCGCGTTTTTCGTCGCATTTCACCGCGTTTCTCGCCTTATTGTAAATTTCCGCCCGATGTTTGCATTTACAACTTAATTGCATGCCATCATTATGTGCACAACGACATATGCAGTTAATGTTGTAACCGATTTTGAGTATTTTCATCGTCGGCGTACCGGATACGCGTGAGGAGGGAGGGGATACAGGAATCGGGGTCAGACCTGGCGCATACAGTGTAGACCGCATATAATGTATGTCGCGGGAGTCGCGAAAATCCGCACTATAAGCGGTACTGCACTATAACCAAAACATAATTTTTCAGGCCAAAATACACGCCATGAGACAACTTACCTTCGTAAAACAATTTATTTTATGTTACATGAAAAATAAAGCTTAGAGTGAAGAAAGTCTTTATTCCACCAGACTAGTACACTTCTCTCTCAAGTGTGTCACACATTTTAAAAGAAATGAGCGACTTTTGCCTGGCACAGCCTTTTAACGGCGTCGCGGGTTGCGGACGGACGTTGCGAGCGTTCAGGATTGCTAACCCTAATCACTTTTCTCCGGCGATGAAAACGCGTGAAAATTCGCATCCTTTTATGGTACACGCCAGTGATACCTTCAACTTTAGCACAGGCATGAAATGCTCCAAACAAGAAATCCGGGCGATGTTCGGAAACACAAATGCTTAGAAAGCACCACTGTAGTCGAAGTAAACAAACACGACTACATGGGCGTTTCTGCCGTCTTGAGAGTGCCGCCACGACATTGCCGCATGAGTTGGTGGATCTTCCCTTCTAGTACGTGCTGGGTTATCATAACGACACACAACGAAAATTCACTGTCAAGGATAGCGCTTTTACGCGGAAGGATGAGCTTCCACCATGCCGTCTACGTCGACGCCATGTTTGCGGATAGAAGAAGCCGGCCCGCGACCGGCATGCAACGCGCGCGAACACTTCTCCTCGACCTGCGATTGGTCTGTCGTTGGGTTGTTTCCAGCTATAGAGTTGGTCGTGGTTTCCAGCACGTTTCCAGCGCAGCGGGAACGACACGTGCGTGTGTCCCTCCGTCGTTATGGCAACTGAAGCCTCTCTCTTCGCTTCTCCCCGCTTCTTCGAGCAACCTCCTTGCCCCGCGAGGGCCGCTTGCTGCTAGCGCCGTTATGTAGTCGGCGCGCTCGGCGGGCTGTTCCAGAAACCGCACTATAACCGGTATTTCCCTTTTGAGCGCCTGCATTTTAAGCGGTATGTAATTACATGGAGTTCTATGGGAGGCGAACCGGTGGTTTAAAAAAGCCGCGTTATACCCGGTCCTGCACTATAAGCGGTTACGTTGTAAGTGGTCTATACTGTATTGGGCCCAATTATTTATGACAACTGAGGTTTGCACAGTGATAGTGGCGGAATATTTGAAATAACTATAGTGCAATCTATATGTATAATCGTGCATTTAGAATCTTAAGGAACAAGTGAGCAAAATACTACTCAGCATATGAAGCGATGTGTGTTTCCTGAAAGCCTCCAACCTTGCCTTCATAACAAATTTAAAATAGTTGTTTTTGATTATATAGGACATATAAGATATACAGGTGACGAACGTTTTTAACATCCACATCAGGCGATTTGTTTGTTCACGACATTATACCTAAATCTGTTAAACGGTCTTAAATCTATTTTGCAATAGAAAAGCTTGCTTGATTTGTTTATTTATGAATTCAAAGAAAATACACCATGCTCGGTCACATATCTGCAGTCATTTAATTGTGTTAACATTTTTATACAAAATTTGATTAATGAATTTTATTTATTTTAAACGCAAAGACCCCTGTGAAATAATCGGTCACAGGCAGCTTGAAAGTGCCTACGGCTCGCATTATGTGATGCCGAAAAGAAGCCTTCTACATGGAAATCACACAAGTTCAGGGTTGATTTTAAATCGCATCAGTTTGGATGGAGATCTGTCATAAAGGTTCATGAAGTCGTGCCTAGTGTTCGACTTCAACCAAACATACGAGAGATCACTTCTCTCGCACCCTTAATTTTATTTGGCAAAGTTTATACAAAGACAAAATTTCAGATTTCGATTGAAAAATCCCGGGCAAGCGCCCACTCAAAATTTAGATAATCGCGAAAAAATGGGGAATGGGCGCTTCGCCGGTCAACAATTTTACATATCAATGTACTGTGCATATTTTCTCAGATCTTACAAATTTGCGAATGGGCACTTAATGTGGAATGGGTGGATGCTCGGTATTCTACCGTACCTTATCTCGTGTGCCAAGTATGTCGTAATCAAATGTCAGTAAAACAAATAGTTCATTTTCTAACGCCAACGTTGTTAAATGCTGTTAATAAGTACGTCAGCAAGGTCAATAGCTAAGGAATTTCCCACCCGACCTAGGACGTGGACTATCGAAATATATCTCGAGTAGTTAATTTTAAAAAAAAAAACAGCCCGAGACAATATTACTTATTTCTTAGAATATCTGCGTATTTTAGGAGACATCTCGAGTTTCTAAAGTTCACAAAAAGTTGGTGTCCGCGAAAATCAGCCAGTGAACTTGCAAATTTATGTGTTTTTCGCGATTTAGGAGGTTTTTAATAGGTGACCGGCGTTTGGCAGCAGCCTCAAAGAACTCTGGGTAATATTCACTTCCGGTTCGTAGCTAGCAGCCGACGCAGCTTCATGACAGCTACGGAAGCGTGTGCGGGTGTTGAGACCCGATCAATCCGGGCCACCTTCCTCTGCTGCTGGGTGACTTACACACTTCTGAACGTCTCAAGTTACTTCTACGGATTTGTTAAGTATATGCAGAAGCTTTGAGAACGGCCACGAAAGTGCAGAGCGAGTGCGGCCGGCGGCAAGCTGCACTCGTACCGCGCTTTCCGGATCTTCGCATGAAAACTCAGGTTGGATGTTTCGTTTTCCTTTTGAGCCAGCGTTTTTCATTTGGGTTCTGTTTATTTTTGATGGTTACGTTAGATCACATCACCGACTGAAATAGGCGCGAATGTAAGCCGTAAGACACGGCCAGCTGAAATGCCCGGTTGGAGGTCTGGCACACTTTTCTCATTTTGTTAGAACACCTAAGCCTGGGTAAGAAAATCTTCAGGCAATCAAAAGTTTAAGACGGGGAAAGAAGTCGGACAGACGGCGTTTCAAACTCAGCTATTATGTTTTCTCGCGCGGCTAAAACGCCACTTCCGTGCGAAAGTTAGTTTCGACGACATCCGACTACGTGACAATCCTTGCTTTTTAACACTCACGCGTTTTTGGTACTTCAACTAAGTTGTCCCCCGTGAACTACAATAACCCTCCGCCCCCCCCCCCCCCCCCCCTTGCCCCTTCCCGCACGTTTTTTTTTAATGATGTCGAGTAAGAAAGCATACACAAACGAGCACCGATTTTTATATGAGCTACGCAGGGTCGTACTACTGCTTTATTATCCGTCAATATGAAGGTGCTGCCCATTTGCTTTTGTTTGTTTATATTACAAAAAGCTGACCTGTCCTTTTGTTTATTTATATTATAGCAAGCCACCCATCCACGCCGCTTCCCGGGAACAGTCTGCGGCGGCTCATCACAGAAAATGTTAATCCGAGCTGTCAATGTAACGATTAAACGGCCTGGCAATGGCACTGTATGTTGACGAAACGTCGTGCCATGAACTGATCGCCTGCGAGATCGCATCCCGCGTTCTCGCAGATGCGTTGTACGACAAGCAGTGCTCACCACTTCGTGGAATAATCGAGACGCTTTTGGTGGGTGCCAAAAGACTGTTAGAGATCGTTATTTCCCGCTGGCCCTACCCGAAGAAAGAGAGAACACGTTGTAGTGGCCTGTAACAATATTGGCCGCGCATAAACGGTCACCGACGTTTGTCTGTCACAGGTCATCTCGCCCTTTCACTCGCTTAACAGCGACGGCCTATCGTTGCTTCCATGCTTTGTTACACGGGAACTGGAACATCTTATGCCCTCTATGGCTTGCGTTAGAACAAAGTACCGCGGAGCTGTAAGCCATTTTCACCGCGAATACAGCACGGCCACCACGCCTAGAAAGGCTCTTGATGCAGCTGGACGAACCGCGACCGGCACCGGACGAACCGGAAGCGTGAAGTCACGTGGTGCCTCGCTTCGGATGACGAAACTTCCGGCTCAAACGCCGGTCACCTATTAGGTTGTAGACCTGCATTTTTACTATGTATCTACTCATTAGTCTCTTTATTAGTTTATTTTTTTGGAAACTAGGGTCAGTGGGTTCGGCCGTAGACGATGGGAACCCTCCTTGTGCATCGTAGTCATTTCACCACCGAACCTGACCGAAATTAGCGACGAACATGACCAGATGCATCGTAAAGTGTTCGTAAAAAAGTCCGCGCATGACTCGAAACCACTTCGTGGTTCTCGAATTGGTTCAGTACCACAGTTTTATTAGATGTGCGCTATAACGGGCACATTTGTATGACGAAACTGGGTGGCGAATGACATAACACACCAACACAGCCGGGAGCGTGATGAAACCGAAACCAACCAAATTGAAGCCACCCAATGGCGCCGATTGTGTCAGCGCCCTCTGTCCGCCGGTCGGGTAACTACTAAGATGAAAAGGTCTAAAAGCCAAGCGCTCCTTAGCATGCACATTATCGTTTACAAAGCCTGCAAACTTCTGCATTGCTTTATTGGATCAATGCCAAGACCAGAAGGAATTACTACTTGGCTGCCATTTAACCTACATTTATAGGGGTTACTCAGGGTTAACAAGTTTGAGATTATTACACAAACTCTATACCTCGAGGTCAAGGAGGAACTTCGGCTACTGCCCACCGCTCAGGAAACTTGCGAGCACAATCAGGGATGAACACCAAGAAGAGGACACGGATGAGAGCTTCGTGTCCATATCTGTTCACATTTACGGGTTTGCTGAGCACCGCCCACGAACTAGCCCAACAGCAAGTCCTGCAAGACTCCCCACAGATCTCCCGCATGTGCTTTGCTCTGCCCCTTCTCAAAAGCGCCCCCCTTAACCAAAACGTGCCAGCTCTCCGACGTCTCCTTAGCTCTGCCGTGGCGCGTCAAGTGAACGCGTGAAACAGAGGTTTCACGCGTTCACCGTCTCGTTCTTTGTGGCGGTAAACTGCTGGCTTGGACGGAACTACCGAGCATCAAAACTTGGCAACCACTAAAGGGTCATGGTGTAATATGCCAAAACAACAAGGACGAAAACGAAGATAGAACTGGACAGGACGCGGCGTAGGAAAGGGTCTTAGGCCATACACCACCGCGACTCCCGTTCTGCGGAGGTACAATAAGCAACTGGGGAGAACCCTGGAAGGTAGCATCCCCGTTGCTTACACCGGCAAGGGGCACCTGCTTGAGGATTCTTTAATCTTTTCTGGCAGCAAACTACACAAAAATCGAATAAGCTACGCTTAGAGCACCAGCACCTCATTCTTTGATTTTCTCGTGGATCCTGACCATTAGATGCGGTTTTGGAAAGCTCGGGAGATATTGCTTTTCTATGTCGCAGACCGTTTCAACACTCATGGAAAACGGAAAAGCGTTTCTTACGATTTCGGATGAAGCTTCGCACAACTGGCAACAATAATTTTGAACACCGAGATGGCCGACGCGTCGCTACTCCGAAACATAGCCCATTTGGCGACTCTACAACGGACGATGCAGCGACGCGCGCGGAGGCACGCGTCAATTATTTGTGGGCAGACGCACGAGTGGGAGACGGACTGACCTGGTGCATGGCTACGTCGGTCACCCAGACACAGCCCTCGCCGTCCACCGTGAGACCGTGCGGCATGTAGAACCTGGGAGGGGAGAGTCAGTGGCAACCAGTTCATCCAACAACGTCTCGTCGGCGGATTCTTCGTCGACGATTCGTTCAGTTGAAAGGCTTCTCACATTCTTTACATCGACTAACCTTGCGACTTTTCGGCAAACACGACCCTGCTGTTTTTTGCAACAAACTTTGCGTCTCGCCTGGTTTACGGGACGAAAAAAGAGGGGGGGCACCCCCGAGGCTTAAGTAAACGAGCCTAAGTGATTCGTGCGCTAGCCTTTGGCAGCATCCAGATTTGATTACACACTCAGTAAAAAGAATAATAAGCTGTCGACGAAACATCGCAGGAGCATCTGTTTATGAAACAAGTTTCCATGAAACGCCACAGTGTCGAGAAAACTTGTGTCCTTGAAACATGCGTCCATGAAAACACGTGTTGATGAAAAGTTGTCCAAGAAATGGTTTCCACGAAATGTGTTTCGACAAAACGATACGGACTGTTTTGGGGGCACCCCTCCCCACTCTGCCCCATTGTGGGGGCAGAGATGTTGCCCTCCGAACCGTCGAGATTCATCTCGCAAAGATTGCTCTCATCGAAACACCTCCGCGGGAAATAGCCATACTGGAAAGGTATTACAGACCCCTCCAAAAAAAAATCTGCCAACAGTGAGAAAAAACTAGGAAAAAACTAGGAGAAAATCTAAGTGGTCGGAGGTATATGGAAAGGAGTGATGCTACCAGGGCCGGTTTTCTCGAAGCGATGGTAAACCCATTTTGGTAAACCACGGTGCCTAGGAAGAGAAAAGTACCTAAGTACTGTAATAAACGGCTGGATATAGAACAACAATAATTATTTTTGATTGGGCAGTAAGATGCGCCATCTATCGGTGAAACAAGCCAGTCATTTTGTTTATCCTCTTTTTCCGCTGGTTGTTATCAATCTAGTATGGTATTTTAAGTCAAAATATAGTAATGTTGTACTTGAAGACCAATTTATTTGCTTCAGATGGTACGAAGAAATTTCAGCTACTACGCTAGAGTTTGTCGACGAATATTCGAAAATGTAAGAAACATTTCCTTCAATATGTTTCGCCATAAACAACGCATAACTTTCCCGTGTGCCTTCCAGTCTGGCAACGCCGACGCTGTATTCTCTTTTTTGTTCCTTGCGACGCACGTTTCTGCGATTCCTGCTGATCTCAACTGTTCGCCCTCTCTTCCGTTTGCTCAACCGATCCACCGGTGACGAGAAGCTAAGCTTCTCGTCACCGTTGAACTGCTGGCCACCGAGGATATGTAGAAACCTCGATGGTGTCGGCATACTGTCGGCGCACTGCGAACAAAAAAACAGTACAATGTCCCAGCTGTTCAGCCGGAACGAAGACTTTATCGAGGATAACCCACTTTCTCCGCAAACTAATCGCTGCTCACGAGTTGGCGTGCATAGTGTAACAAATTAAACGTGTTAGTATAAATATATACCAACCTCGTTCGCAAAACATTTTTTACTCACCTAAAAACACTTGCAAGGCTTATGTACTGTCATATGTCTTGGATCCCGAACTGCTGAAGAGTGATGCGTCGCGGAATGCTGTCGTCGGTTAGTTTAGCAGTCCCTTTGAACTACCACTTTGCTTGACGTGCTAATAGGTTCATGTTGCGTCATTAATATAACAGCCGGATCGAAATGAATGTTCAGCAGAACCAAGCAGAACTATTAGCCCTCATTAAGCGACGTCGCGGCCATTTTGCTTGTAGGTACTGCTCCTCCCTCGGCGCCCCTGCTCTTCTAGTTACGTGACCTGGAATTTCCCCTTCTAGGGACAATAGTTAACTTTAACCCATGGTTCGTGTTCGAGAAAATGGGCCCTGGGCTGTCTTTTGGCAATGGGGCACTGTGCATGAAATCAGAAGTTCAATCAGGATTAGAAATTCTACAAAGAAGCGTAGGCAGATTGGCACTGGGAGCACATGGAACGACACCAAATGAGGGAGTACAGGGGGCAGCGGCATCACAAGGGGGGGAGGGAGGGGCAGGTGAACTGCTTCAGGTGCAGTGTTCAGAAGGGTGCAGCTGGGCAGTAAAAGAGGGGGGGGGTGTTGTGGCGGCCCACGAGAGTGGGGGGGTTACGGTGGGTCACCATCCCAGGTGCCGCTGACGCTAGTGACGCCACTGACAAGAGAAATCAGCTTTAACGATATATAGTTTGTCACAAAAGCAAGAAATAAGGAAGGAAGGTTTATTCAATACTTAAAGGGCAATTCCGGCCAAAACTCAAAACGAAATAAATTACTGGTATCGCTGTAGTGACACAAAACACGACCCCAGTCAAAAAATTACGCCCGGGTGACGCCGCATTCTCAACTGATGCTGATAATAAAAATGCGACCCACCGCGAGCCGCTGCTCCTTAGCGGGCGGCCAGCGGGTTGCCGATCGCTAAAGCAACATTGGGCCGTGATGTCAGTATCATTCTCTTTTTTTCCTTCGGTCCGGGCGTTGCGTGGAGTGCACTTCTCTGAGCCGCTACCACCGCTACTTCGGCTTGTGATTGGCGTGTTTAGCCGTTGCTTTTATCTGTAGCCAGTGTAGCTTCGGTATAGCCTTTTGTTTATTTGCTTGTGAGGACTCCAAGACTCGTTTTAGCAAGGAATTCGGTGCGGCCCAGACTGCCCAGCTGTTCCTCGAAAGATGCCGAGTACAACTTGTACAACTACAACAACGCGCTGCGCAACCCGAGGGTGCTTTTTTCACAAGTTTCCAATGGACCGGAAATTGGCGAAGGTGTGGGTGAACGCTGTTCGACGAATGGACTTTGGACTTTGGCTTTTACGCGCCCGAGGTAAAAAGAACGAAAAAACAGACGTGTACAGCCCAGCACACGCTTGTTCGGGCGCCGCGGCCCACGCCGGAGAGCCTCAAAGCTTAGTGTCTGGGACTGACCCGCAGCTCGAAAGCAAGAAGGCCCCCAGTATACTGTACGTCACTGGCAGCGCGGCATGGAGCAGCGCCGCTCCATCCATGGAGTCCCAATGACAATTTAGGCCTAGCGATGAGTACGGAAGACCGCATGCACGGTGACAGCCGACGAGTACAGCACCGAACGAGTTCACGGGTTTCCCAGTCGCTAGCTTTTGGGTATACGCACTAACTTTTGCTACATATGCTGGGTAACTACCACGTTTACAGAATTAAAATAAAATCAGCTTACCTCCTATCTTTAGACGGCTAGTGCAACAGAGGTAGGTGCCGCTCGTCCTGCATACTCGTTGAACGAGAACGATCCTGACATCACGTTCACATAGTGGCTGATTTCCAGTGTTGCCGGGGCCTCGAGCGGCTAGTTTCGGTTTTGTCGACCGCGCCCCAAACAACACTTTGAGGCGTCGATATCTTTAAAACTATGCACAATACCGAGAAAAAAATTATACCTTGTAATTCAGGGACGCTGACTGCGCTAAAAACAGTCATAATCCCAAAATCGAAAGTATGGACCGGAGTTGCCCTTTAAAGAGGTAGTGCTCTGCTGTTTCAGGCGAGGATGCAAGTCATAAGAACAAGAACATATTGGGCCAAATTTGAAGTCCCAGATACAATGTGCACAATACATAGGGACGGAAACAATTGCGCGTGTGCTTCTAGGGCCAACAGACGTACTGGTGGCCCTTGGTTTCACTGGAGAAGATGCTAAGGTGAATTATAGAAGAGTAGAGGCAATGAAGAGGAGGATGGAGTGCTGGTGGTAATTATCTAGGGAAAATTTAATGATGCTCAACCAGCTAGCCCAGCTAGCGGACAGGCAGGATAAAGGAAAATTGGGACTTCCTCCCACATGGTCTGGCTAAAAGTCTAGACCCTGTCCCCCCGTAGGTCTGGTGTTAGGTTCGACCAGAGCGAAATTGGCAACTTCCTCGCCAGAGGCAGAAGGCGGGGGGGGGGGGGGGGGATGTTTTTAGTTTTTAATGCGAAAGGATAAACTGTCTCATGGAGCAAGCCGACGTCATCAGCTTTGAAACCACGCCAAACGGCACTTAAATTTTTCTTCAAGTCAAGCCAGCTCCCGTTTGCTGGTTAGCCACGGCACCCTTTACACCGCTTCGATCCCAATAGCTAGCGCGCATCGACCAGGCCCCCATTCACTGGACACGCAGTGCCGAGGGGTGGCCGGTCGTTGAAACTGACGCTGCGCGTCAGTTTTAACAACCGGCCACCTCATGGCACTGTGTGTCCGTCAGCGCCTCCCCCCCCCAGTCAGTACGCCAACACGCGTACAGCAAGAATGGTGTACATGCTTTTGCATTCACAACTCATAAGAAGTGCTTAGCTGTACCTCGATCCTTTTTTTTTTGTGTGATCCCCCAAGGTCTGCCTGGTGATCATCTTCGTGGCTTGGTGATAGTTACAGAAACGCATTAGCTCAGAAGGGGAAAGGGTAAATCAGGTTTTCGTTACTGTTTTTAGGCTAGGTGGCACAAACTACCACCCGTTATAAAGGGTACAGCCGTATTATCCAGCCATCTATCCTGTCTAGGAATGTGGGGCGGCGGACACCATTTTCCTAGTATGTCTGCGTCGCCATAGCACGAGTTCGATGGCGCAATGGAACTGCAACGGCGGTTTCTTGATCGCGGGAGGGAAAATATCTTACTTTTGGCTCCGCGTGAAAATGAGCGACTAGCCAATACTGCAAATTTGTTTATAATAAAGCGAAAGCGAATCAATGTATCGAGAGTAATACTTTTGGCAGCGCACTCACGGCTGCTTTTAGCAAAATGTAAGCAGGGGTTTATGGCTTCGCGAGTTGAAGGGCTCGCAGTTGTAGAAACATATAAGCACCTGCTATTCTACATTCCGCTCGCCTCTAAGCCGACAGGGCAGTGAAAGGCGACACACTCGCCTTACTTTGAAGCCTGCCTTTTTAGCACCGGCACTCGTTCAGCAAAATCAAGTTTCAAAGATGCGAGTGGGATAATCAGTGAAGTGTTTGCGTGCGTCTTCTAGTTGCCTTGTGCGCTTTCTTACGAGGTTTTATTTATTCTATTCTACGCAAGTATGGTGCCTGGAACACACATTTGACCGGTGTATTACACGTCCTCGGTTCCGAGGTGGCAACAAGTGATGTCCCAGAAGCCAGAGTGTCACGTTGTCGGACGTCGCAATCCTAGTGGTTGGTGCCAGAACTCCCGGCAAAAAGTAAGAGCGAATGCAAGTGTCGCTGTCGTCACGGCGTGTCAACTTCAGGCTGCCGAAGCTTCTGTGAACTGTCAAGCTGGAAAGCGACCTGCAGTGGGACGGTCGTCTACCACATTCACCACCGCCGCTGCGACACCGCAAAGGATTGTGGCTGGTGACAATGTGACGCTTCTACGACGTCTTCAAGCGGAAATCGAGGGGCCCCTTTTTAAGACGCGGTGGTAAACACACCAGTTGAAACGCGTTCCAGGTACCATAGTGAAAGTGGAAGCCCCGAGAGTGGACCCCAGGCGCCAGAGTGGGTATGTCGGGAGGCTCGCACTCACTGGTTGCGTCCCCAGCTGTGCAGCACGTGGCCGTTCCCGGCGTCCAGTGTGACCACGGTAGGCTCCGGGACGCTGCCTTCCTCGACGCGCTGGTACACGTTGTGGTAGTCAAACGACCTGGGCAGGGGGGCACCGACAGGCTGAGACGTGACCATGCTGCGTGCCACTACGCTTCAGTGGACCGTTTCGTCCAACGGAATTTTGGCGAGCCGCAGAAACGAACTCGACGGAACACACTGTTGCCGCCGATAGTGGCAAGGGGGTATGTTCCCTGAAGTCCAATTTTGGTCGCCGTGAGAATGACAGCAAGATCTGATTTACCCCTCACGGAGCGAGTTAAGATAGCTTTCGCTGATGATTTGTCTGCTAATGCGAGCAAAGAATGCAGTTCGCCTGCTACAAAGCATAAATTGCGGATGAAAATAAAACAAGAAAACAATATATGTCATCTGCTAACAGACTAGAAAAAAAACCTTATAGTTTGCACCGAACCGAGTGTTGTGGCATAGTGAGATCAGACACGGGTTGAAATTTTTATAGTATTCTCACGTTGGAAGCCTTTAACAACCCACGCTGCTTTTGCGAATCTCGGGTTGTTCCACTACCGTACAGATTAAGGGGCGGACGAAGGAGTGCCAAGAACAAGCACATCAGAGGCAGCGAGACTTCTCTCACTATTTGCGCGTTGGCAAGAAATTTTCATCCAAATACCGTCCGATTGTGAACTTGCCAATGGGCCAAAAATTTATCATTGGTTAATAATGCAAGCCCGGCAGGAAGCTGCAACGCCGCATTCAATCGGCTGCCGAGAATGCTCCCCGCTTTCAACTCGACCAAAATCGTACTTCCGGTGGGCCACCGTCTGACAATGGCAACCGCCCGGCAACGGCTCCGCAACCGCCCGGCAAACTGCTCGACAACAGCACGGTGACGTCCAGTCGGCTGCCCGGCGGTGGGTAGGGGGACACTCACTGGGCCGTCCAAATACGACTCCCCCTGTGGAAGACCACGACGTTCCCTTCCAGGTCCAGGGAGACCGCCACCACCTGCCCCAGCCGGAACTCGCCACTGGGCCAGCCACTGGTCGTCCGGTACGCTGCACCACGCCCAGACAAACCTCTGGAGTGGCCGAGAGACCCGCCAAACCACCACACAAGAGACAAGCGTACTTGGAGCATCGAACAGGCTACGCTTATGCCGCTTTGTCACCCCATCTGTCTCGTGGACGTTGCCAATTTTCTGCCTACTAAAGAGGGGCCAGAACTAGTGATGGTTACTATTAGAAAATGCAGCTCCTCCGGCTTTAGATACCCTGTCGGGGACACTCGAACGACAACATTTTCCTCAATTGCGGACTATTTTAACGGTTCTGCAGGACAGAAAAGCGCCGTTTGCGATTTCAGACGAGGCTTCGGGTATAGTAAACGACTTAATTTTTGCGAGGACCTATTGCTTGCATACTCTGCCGCTCGAAAAATGTGGCAAAAACTTCATCGCGCAAATACATCGCCTTTCTGTTAAGGGGGGACACTACCTTGAATTGCACCTTTTTTCCGAAAAATTCATATTCAGAACTGCAGAGTTTTGGTATGTATTGATAACAAGGAACACTTTCACAAACCCCTGTCAATGTGCACTGACAAACAATGTAAAAAATAATTATTCTTTATATGTTGGTGAGGTGTGCTGCACTGCGTAGCACTCATCATTCACAAGTGAAAATAGCTGAAAGCGATGTCAGTATATCAGAAGAAGTTTGAGGGAGACATCACTTACACTGCTCGAAAGAATTTCTAACATTTAGACGCAAAAAAAAAATTTTTTAAACGTCATCTTGAAACTTCAAGTGCATTTATCTCAGCTCTACTTTTGGCAGTTTCAGTATGAAACTATTGAGAGCCTTAATGTTTGCGGATTATATGCCGAAATTGTATCGAGCGGGTTACTATGAACTTAGATTTTGCATTTTCATGTTCCTTTATTATGAAAGATTGTAATTCGCAAAACTTGGCAAATGTAAAAAAAGCAAAAAACTTTCATATTTTTTTTTTATTAGAAAAATGCATATTTTCTGAAATTTCTTTTCATAGTAACCGGCAACAAGTATTCCAGTATGCATTCCACCAGAAAAACATCTGGTGATCAACACCATTTCTCGACGATAGATTCATTTAGCAGATTCCATACAAAGCTATGTTCTGGGGGTATAGTACCTGATGAAATTGGTTCACAGGGCTGAAACTTTGCATGTCCTCCTTCTATATGGCTACAAACACCGCCCGCAAATTTCACGCCGATTGAGTGAGCAGTTCAAAAGTAGACATGCCCAGGTAGTGTCCCCCCCTTAAGAATACAATGCACATCCCTGCAAATCATTAAATTTCCTGTCCACGAAACCCAGACCTTGCAAAATTTCGAAAGTATCGAGCCCTTGAAAAGAGAGTCACTTTCAATGATTTTAAGTGAACAGATGGCTGAAGTGTCATTACCTCGAAGCGTAGCTTGTTTAGTGACTCGAGGCACACTCTTCACATCATTCACCAGGTCGGCAGGAAATGTTACGACTACATTGGACCCCGGTGCGACAAAGAAGCCTCACCTGGTATCCCGGGGCGTTCCCAACCCCTTTGGGATACCGGGTGAGGCTCGCGAGAGGAAAGGTACATCAACTTTAAATCATCCTATCGTCGCAAAGTCAGGAACCCAGTGTCGCGACAATAAATTGGAGGCGTCTGGCCAGTTTAGAGAGCCCAGTTTCAGGCAACTAGTACATTTTGTCAAGATCTGAATCCCACCTAGTGGACAGTTGCGATTCACGCGACGCGAAAGCCAGTGCTTGACTGTCGCCTGCTTCGTGCCGGTGGCAATCATGAAGTAGAAAGCGTGGTGGCGAGTATGCTCTACAAAAGCCGCCATGGCTGCCACCTCCAGACGTCGCCGGTATCGAGCAGCGGACGATTGTGCGTTTGCCTTTGTGTGGATCATGAGTGGTCCATTCATTCGAGAACGTCGTCATAAAGCTACAAAGCTCGTACGGAGACTTCCGGGGCAAAGACGCCAGAAGCCATGGGACGGAGGAGGGGCCCAGACAAAAGGCGAGGACGAGGAGGCGCCGTGGATCGACTCACAGTACTGGGACGGAGTGCCGAAGTCCGTTGCCGCTCCTGGCCGGTCGTCCCCGGCCGCGCTGGAAACAGGCCGAGTGGGTGGTGCCGGCGGGCCCTCGTCGCCAGGCAGCTGCCCGACCAAGTTGGGAAGCTCGACGTTCTCGCACTGGCCCGAGGATCGTCCGCCCGACGACAGGGCGTAGTACATCAGGTAAAGGTTGCACATCTCCTGCTCCGCCCGGGGCCTGTGGGGGGGCAGGCCGGTCAGCAAAAAGGGGTGCCCAACGGCGTGATACCTAGACCGCGTCTCCGGCCGGTGTGTCTTCTGCGTCCTCAAAAGCGGTCTCTCCATTCCCGTCCAATTTCTGTGATACTGGTGGTGTCGCGGCGGCGGTAGTGGGCGTCTGCTACCAAAGATGGTAGCAGACGCCCGTTTCGCTGCCAGTGGATCTTTAGCTCGACGGTCCGCGGAAGCTTCGACGGCCGGGAGTTGGAATGGCGTGACGACGGTGGCACTCGTGTTCGCTCGCACGTTCTGCCGAAACCCCCAACACCAACCGACGGAATCGCAACGTCCGACAAACGCCGGATCGTGCGACGTCCTCTCTTGCCACTTCGGGACCACTTTTAATGCAAGGACAGGATAGGACACCGAACACACAGACCGAAGATGTGTTCTTCACTTCGTCTAAGATGTTCATCGGTGCTTTACACGATATGTACCATATTTTCCAGATTATGGCCCGCACCTGGTGCTTAGTTAGTGCATAAACTTTTCGTACAGAGCGCACCTCGAAAAATGCCCGCTTTATTAGCTCACAAAGAAGCTTGTATCGCGCAGAAATCATCATTAACATAATCTGTTGCTCACAAAGCCCACAACGTCTCGTCATAATGACCGGTCTTGAAAAAACAAATCCTTGTCTAGTGCGCACCTGAAGACAGTCCACACTGCGTAAAATCAAAACTTTTAAACATAAACAGTTCACAAACTATTATCTCGAAAATATAATAGCAGTGTTTATGCCCTTGTTCTATAACTTTTTTTCATATGACGTTTTGCTCAATATGCTAGCCACCAGAAACATTCCCACAGAATGAAGAATACATGGAAGACACCCAAAACAGACACAAGTTAATCTAAACAACAGGTATGCTTGGGAGAAGAGCGTGTTGGTTCAAGACTTCAAGTCATGGATGAAAAAATAATAAAAAATTAAAACAGGGACAACACAACCACATCTTTCAGGTGGTTGTATTGTCCGTTTTAATTGTTTTATTCTTTCTTCATCCATAACTAAACAACAGTCGCTGATTTATGAGCCCACTCCTTCAACTAAGTTTCACAAGAATTTTTTTTTCTTTCTTCTTTTAAACATGTTTTTTTAAGCAAATTTATTTTATCAGTTCTTACCCTGTTCACTTACTTTTATTTAGATTAAGTCTGCAATGCTAACGCACGAGTAGACCGAGGCACTTTATTTTTCATTCCTTTGCTTGCCTCACCTCAACAACTTATATGTGATGCCTGACAAGCCCTTTAGGGTAAATACATAAATAAACAAAAGAGCAGCCATTTCAAGAAACCACCTACCCGATTTCTGTCGGTTTGGTTCTGCCCACCGTGTTGTAAGTGCATCGGGAAGCCTGCACGATGCAAAAGGAGGAAGACGGGCTGTTAGCCAAAGACAAAGCCTGTTCTCGCACCACCACCCACAGGTATCAAATCGCAAGACCATCCCAACTCGGGGGCAAAGAGACAGCCACCAAAGCCACACATCCACCATGGCAGTGGTTCCTAAACTGGGTTCCTAGGAACCCAGGAATTCTTCAGGTTACCCACGTGGATAACCTGGGCACCCCTGGGTACCCATTGATGTGTAGCTATAAGTACACTCTAGTGTGTGCATCAATGGTTGCAAGGTCTGTAAGCTTCTGCACTGTTTTTTGTTGCATCACTGCAAAAACCAAGGAAGTTTTCTCGGCCGCCAGTCGAAGCCAGATAGGGTGTCTGCAGACCCTTCGGGGTCCCTGAAGGACTTCTTGGTTCCCGAAGCCATTAACCATCGATCAAACTAAACAAGACAAGTCTTGTTTTTATTGGTGCTGGCTGTCCCACGAAGCTTAATAGAGCAAGCCATGTGTACTGAGTGAGTAGGGTCAACTATTTGTAGTTTCAGGGCTTCAAAGTAGGCTTGCATGCATTTATACTCCATTTCATCATAACTTGGCAAGCTGCAAAGAATATGGCCCCAGTGAGCCAATCGGCGTGTTGGAAGGAGGTGCGTGACTATGTACCGTAGGCGTGATCTCCTTCTGCGGCGAGCTGTCACATGCTTTGCTCCGTCGTTCCAAATGGCCTGAGAGCCGCAGCGTCCGCTCTTTGCCAAGCTATGGCGGAACGAAGTGCAGGCAGCATACACTTTTGAAAAGGGTCTATTGAAGAGACTGAAAAGAATGGCAGTCTGCAAGACTGCTTCTTCTGGACTAAAAAGTCAGAGATGAACACAAATGCAAGTTTTTTTGTTTGGGTGTTCGGAAGGCCAAACTTTGAGCCCAACTGATACAATAAACTCTCGATGAAAGAAATTATGGCTGCAAGCGCTCTGTCGCTCTGATTGGCTAAGAGGGGATCCCCCACTGCGGGGATTCCCGCAGTGGATAGGATCCCCCACTGCTTTCGCCAATCCGGAAGGGGCCCCCAAAACATCAGTGGTTGAGAACCACTGCGCTACGTAGTGCCTCTATGAGTCGGTGCTCTCTGCCACTCACCAGAACGTCGCCAGGCTTGACTATCACCGTCTGGTTCATCGGGTAAAAGGCCTGAAAGCCCAAAAGTGGACCGGTCAGCAAGCGGTAAACTTGGCGGCAAGAGCAATTTGAGGGTCGAGAATGTCGGTGCAGCACGTGCAGGGCGTGGCTGGAACTACGCAACGAAGTTGACGAAAAAGGAACCGGAGTGCCCGATCCCCAGACTACACACTAGAGCTCGAAACGGGTGCCCCGTAAAGACTAGAAAACGGTATAATATCACTCGTGCACATAGAGTTTACGTAATAACCTAGGGGGAAAGGTTCCATGTTCTGAGACCATATTGCTGGCGACGCTTTAATATACACAAATAAGCAGCAGAACAGCTCTTGCAAAATCAGTACCTAGTTGTGTACTAGATTTGTTTTGCATAAAAACACCAGTGTTGTGCAATGTATAAAAAGAAATAAAATTCACAAGCACTCAAACAACTTGAGCTCATTGGGGCAAAACGAACGTGCCTATCCTGTCGTCTGCTTTCTTTCTTCGCTTCTCTGTCGGTCTCTTTCTCCTTCTTTCTCCCAGGGCCACCAACGTCAGTGCTTACAATTTGTCTCGTTCTGATCCCGTCTTTACCCCGTGGCTCGTGCGGGGCTGCAGGCTTTCCGCTTGCAACGGAGCTCGGGAAATTTGTAAGCGAAAACAGAGACAGGCTCGAAAGAGGGGACAAACGATGTTGCTTCTCCAGGGATTTTTCCTGGTTTTCTTCTCTTCTTTTCCTCGCAGCATCCTCCGAGTGCTCTGTCAAGCGCTCGTCCGTGCCTCTTTTTTTGTGTGCATCTGCTTGTGCTCAGAAGTAGGGATGTTGCGAACACGCCAAGGTCCGAAATCAACCAATTCCAACTTTTTTTAACTTCCAACGCAAAATTCAATTAAGTACAACTGAAGTTTCACTTTTGTACACACATGCGACAAATGAAAAACAAGTCGACTCCACGTGGTCGAGGAAAAGTGAAATATTGTCACGAATGACTAAGTGACGAAACAAAAGATAACTGAGTAAACTGAAATGTTTAATGGGGCGAACTTGTGCCCAAAACAAAAAGGAAACAGAAGATAACAACAAAGCGTCGCAGGCGTCAAAGTCAGCGTGACAGCAGGATTGAACGCTGGGGCGGGACTGCCTGCGGCTTGCCCTGCGAAGCCCCTTATGTTCACGCGTGGGCTTCTGGAACAATCGGCGTAGAAGGTTCGGCATGCAGAACATTTGGACCTCGAACCAGCAACAGGGTTCTCAAATTCTCCAGAAATCTAAATTGAAAGAATAAATAAAAGACGCGTCGCACCCAGGAATCGAATCCTGGGCTTCCAAACGAGAATCAAGCGCGGTAACCACTCGGCCACACACGCGTTCGCTCGCCGACGCGTGTGGCAATATTTGTTTGGTACATTGTACAATGGTTTTACAATAATAAACCAACTAAAGCCTTAAAAGTGTATATTTCTGCTTTTATATTGTGCAAACATTGCAATAATTTTATAGGTCATTAAACACAAGTGTGCGTAAAGAAACGGCACCGCGTCGCGCTCCAAATGCGCAAGTTAAGATACCGAAAAGAATGAGAGAAACCCCATCGTAACGTGGGTCCCTTCGCCATATTATTAACTGAACGTTGTCATCCCTAGCATTTTTGTTTTCAGACCCCTGCTTGATATCTGCATGACTATGTTAAAATTTCCTTGAGTTCTTGTGTACATTGCACCTAGTATCCTCTGTTACAACCATCGCATATTGTCAGCATTCGCTTTATCATTCTCATTAGTCTTTTGCACTGCACAAATGTGCCAAAGTTTCTATGCGCTTGAATTTATGCCTGGCGAGTTTTCTTGACCGCAAGTGCTGTGTAATGTCATAATTAGTTAAATATTAACTTTCAATTTGAAGTGCTGTAAAACCCTTAATGTTCGTGAGCTCCTAATTTTCGTGAATTTCGCTACTCGTAAAATTTTCAAACTTTAGTGGGCGTGAATATTTCTATTGCCTGTAGAGGCAATTTCCCACCTTTAGAATTTGCGAAATTAAATGGCCGAGAATACTGCCCGATTCGCGAAATATCAGGGCTGCAAAAATTAGGGGTTTTACAGTATACATATTCATCCACCTTAGAAGTTTTTGTCGTTTCTTTGTTAACCAATGTTTTGGGCGACCAGATCATTGTTTGCAGTGCCCTGTCTGTTTTCTTTTTTAAAACTTTTGTTGACAAGATTTCAAAATATCTGAGGCCGGTCCCGAAATATTTTCAAGATAAGCGATGAGTAAACTCGGGTGACAGTGTGACTGATGTTCATGTTGTACTCGAGTGTGCCAACAGCCTTGTACTCCAGGTTCTCATCATCTACCAGGGCTTTGATCTCGTTGTCTAAGTCTTTTAGCTGCGCTTCCTTTTGGAGAAGAAAATCTAGGTGTATTTGCAGGTCGGTGAAGTCGGAATTGGTGCCTCGGAGTAGATCGGTCAGTGCGTTGAGGGTACGGGTAACGGCCGAACAGATGATGCCACACATTCTCTTGATACGGTCCATGGATGTTGGTTATTGTGGCACAGCAGGAGCGGTACTTCAAAACTTCCCAGGTTTCGGCACCAGTGCGTAAAGAAAGGACTCAAACCGCTCCGTACCGCTCGCATCCATTTATATCTCCGAACGACAGATTACCCGGGTGCGCTGGCCCACGAGCTCGTGCTCTGGCCGGCTCTTGTCTTCTTCTAATATCCAACAGTGCCTATGGGAGTTCATTCCATGACAAGGAAACCATTAGGTTTTAACTGATACTGTAAAACCCTTATTGTTCGTGAGCCCTCAATTTTTGCGAATTTCGGGAATTGAAGAATTCGCGAAATTTAAGGGCGCGCGAAAATTTCGCTCCTTAAGATTTTCAATGCAGGCGTCTGGAATTCGCGAAATTTAGTGGTCGCGATTATGTCATCTGTGACCGATTCGCGAAAAATAGGGGCCGCGAAAATAAAGGGTTTTACAGTATTTCGAGAAAGACGAGTTTGAGTTGATGGGGGATTAATGAACTCCTTTTACAACCGACCAAAATCTTCATTGCTATCAAGGTCTCTTAAAAGGAGCTTACACTGTATACGGGTATTAACTGAGGGAGAGGAGGAAGCAAGAGCACGCGGGGACGTTGGAACATCAAGTTCTAATTCAAATACGTTTAAACGCAAACACCGAATGCCAGATGTTTGTAGATGTTCATAGAATAAGTAGAAAGAAGAGCAGCTAGTTTTGCAGCTACCCACTATTCATTCCAACCAGAGATAGGTGTTCCGACGTCCCCTCTTTCTCAATTTTTACCCCTACAGCCCAAGAGCGCATCGTTGAAATGCAAGTAGAGGGGGCCCCCACCTGTGGCCAGTGTGGGTTTCCCCGTGCCAAGGTAGTCCAGGTCCCGTTGGAGGCGTGGTAGGCGTAGGCTGTCACAGCTTGTCCCAGCTGGTGAGTGTGCACGCGGTAGGCAAACACAAACAGGCTGCCCTCCAGGTGCGCCCGGCAGTTCACGTTCACCGCATAACCTGTGGGCAGGTCAGGGCTTGGGCGGGCTCCCGGCACCTTACTATATAACCGACCAATTTGACAAAACTACTGACGAATCAGGAAGTTGCATTCAGGTTTTTAAAATATGCTGGTGGCCGAAGAGTATTTGGTCGAGCAAAGTTAGCTACCGAGACTCCCTTCTTAAAATTTTTCAACTTTTCCCCGTCGACAGTCACCTTGAGCACCAAAGCCTCTGAAATGTTTCCAGTGACGAGCAAGCGTTTCCCTAGCTGAGGCGCCAACTCAACCCTGAGCCGACTCACCGCTGCAACCTGCGTTTACGGTGCAGCTCATTCGTAAATGGCCCCCAAGGTTGCAAAACGTGCGCATTACATTAAAACTGGCTCACACGCTCGCGTTTGACCGCAACCGACTGCGCCACAACTCGTTGCATGGAGTCGAGACGAGGTGCGCTAGTGTGCAGGTGGCGCTCCAATGCGTCTGGTCCCAAAAGTTTCGTGGTACTTGCAAGACCAAATCTACAGGGTCCAAACTGAGAAAAGTAAACTCTACTTTTCGGCCCGCGTAAAAATGTTACGAATCGCAGAATGCTCAATCTCTGCCAGAATGTAACCCTAGCGGTCCAAGCAAGATGCCAAAGTTTCAGCCCGATCCGATAACTTAATCAAAAGTTATAAGTGATTTTCTGAAAATTTCAATGGGAAAATGGAGCCCATTTTTGCCCGTTTTCGGTTTCTGGTGTCATAGAGCCCCATGTGTTCGAAAACTCCGTCGGCGGCCATTTTTTACTTTTCTCGATCGGACCCTATACATACCGTGTGCAAGAAACGGTTGTCCACAACAATGTCAGAATTATATCGAGCCCACGGTGCAAGAATGACGTGTAAAGCATTAGGAAATATGCGTGCGCCAGAAGTGTTCCAGGTCTACTCAATAGATGGTGCCAGCGTCTTCTCTTTTCTTAAGCGCTTACAAGAGGTTGTGACGCAGCCGATTGCAACCAAATGCAAGTGTATGAATCAGCCTTTAGGAGTTTGTTAGAAGCAGACCAGCATTCACATTTGCTAAGCCTTGCCCAAAAGTTCCGACGTTTGTTTGTCTCTAGTGCAACCTATTTGCTGGAGCAACTAGGTTGCACTAGAGCCACCAAATGAGCTTCACTTCAAGGTAACAACACCTTAGTTACCGGATAGATGGATGGTTGGATGCTGATGTATGTACCCTTTATAATGGGCGGCAGCTTGTACCACCTAGCCTCAGGGCTGAAAATCATTGTTGCCAGTTGTCGTAAGCCTTATCCGAAATTGCAGGAAACATTCATGCGTCCTCTGGAAATGTCGAAGCCGTCCGTGACAAACCGCAACGACGTCACCCAAAATTTCCGACACCATATATCTAAAGCTCTGCTCCCAAGCACCAAAATGAAAATCATGAAATGGAGTGCCGATACTCTAACCCGCAGGTTCTAAAACTGGGTTCCTAGAAACAAGAGGGTTCCCCCCAGGGTACCTCTATTGGTACCCCGGGCACCCGAATTGACTCGACCGTCCTTTTAAGTAAGGCATTCTTCCAGTTAATAGCGCTATTTCAGCAGTTCTAAGATCACCGTTGATGCGTAACTATGAGCCAAAACACTGCCTAATATGTGCATTACTGTTTACAAGGTCTGTAGGCTCCTGAGCTGCTTTACAGCGTCAATGCTTGAGACCTGGAGTTGTACCTCGACCATGGTTCTTGCCAACTCTAGGCAATTAATTCCTGGAAGTTCTTGGCCATTATTCTTGGCAATTCTTGGCTCGCACTTCATTGAAGTGTCCTGAAGGTATATTAAACTGAACTGAGCAAATAGGGGTTCCTCGAAACTTTTGAAAGTTTCTGCTCTAAGCGTGGCCTCTTTAGGAACTCAAGGTTTCCCAGAGTGAAGAAGCCTCCGACCTCCCAGTCGAGACAGGGGAAGGGCAATTTGTCACGGACCCCCCCACACCGGCACACAGAGAGCTAAGCAGCAAGGGCTTACTGTACTGTCCGGGTGGAATGGACTGGTCCTTGGCATACAGCACATGGATCCCAGCAAGGAACCGCTGCCTGCAGAGGGAAATGACCGAGCTGCCAAATGTCCTCGACCACCTGTGCCCCTAGGCGAAGCGTTTCGCTTGTTTAAAGCACGATTTTAGCAAATCCGAGCCACTCATTGGAACAAGGTGCAATCAAAAAGTTCCGAGACTGGTTTTCAGCGGAAAAAGAGAGGGTAGCACAGTCACGCATGTGCAACAGTCAAAGGCAGGGACCTTCACGTCTCATCATGCCGAAGGGCGTTGTTTCGTGAACATTTGGAGCTGCGTTACACGAGTCTTTGTGGCCATGTGCATGAGCACAATGGCGATCTTATCACAAGCTGCAAACCGGAGCGAACAACAATTCTGCTTCAAACTCGCCAAATTTAAAACGGAGACCTTTGAAATGATTCAGCGGGCTTAAGTCAAAAAATAGCAAACGACCACACAAAGTGTGCTGCGATTGACTGCGGTAGCTGCTGCATTGTGGAAAGGCACGTTGAAGGAGATTTGCTTTCAGCCAATGAGCTGTACAATGTTTGCAATGGGTTTTGAGAATGGAACCTGAGCGGAGGCAGTGAGGAGGCGAGGGAGAACGTCGCCGGAGGGTATGTGGATGTAGCAGGAACGATGGGGAGGCAGAGAGTGCACTCCTTGTGATCACGTAGGCTTTTCAGAACAGCGGCACCCTATGAGGGGGAAGCAAGAGAGGGGGCAGCAAGGGAGAGCCTTGCCGCAGTTGGCTTGCATGTGTGAGGAACGACAGAGCAGTGTCTCTGCTGTGGAGTGCGGTCTTGCGTTCATACATAAGCATTTTTTGCCGAGCAGGGGCACTAACAGCTACCGCTGTAAAAACAGTGAATTGTGCTAAGTACTCCGTTTTAGATTTGCCGAGTTTGACGAACAATTGGGTTTCATTCTCGCTCTGGTTTGCAGTTTATGGTGAAATCGCCGTCCTGCTCGTGCACATGGTCACAAAAACTCGCGTAGTGCAGCTCCACATGTTCACAGAATTAAGTCCTTTGGAAGGTCGCCCTTTGGAAGGTCGCCCTTTGGAAGGTTACCCTTTGGAAGGTTACCCTTTGGAAGGTTGCCCTTTGGAAGGCCGCCCTTTGGGAAGGCCATTGACTGATGTTCACGCATCACCGTGCTGCCCTCTTTTTACGACACAAATACAGTCTCGGAACTTTTTGATTGCACCTCAAAGCTATAAGCCAGACACTCTCTAGCACATGCACTATCATTTGAAGGTCTGTACACTTCTGAACTGCCTCACTCCAACAATGCCAAAACTCAGATGCGTTCTACAGCTGTCCATCCAGAAAGCTAGAGGTCCCTCGAGATGAAAAGTTTGGGAACCTCTGGACTAGGAGGTGACAACATGTTTCTGTACCATTTATAGACCGACGCGCTGTTTACAAACAAGCGTACGTCTTTTGACACGAGATGTGGGTTCTATGCATGCGCCGAAACCAGATTCGTGTGAAGTAAAGCATCTGCACAATCGCCATGCTGACAGCTGTGCCACCGCAGCAACGTGACATCAGAACAGTGCATTTGTACGTATCCTCCGATCACAGCTTCCCACCGTGACGACATATACTCTCTGCACGCAGAACGGACAAACTCGCTCGCTGTATGGAACCCGTTTCGATTTCAGCGAGTCTGGGACGCTGTCGTAGCGCCGACATTGCCCAAAGTAGCACAAAGTTTTAAAATAGGGGTCTGAGCTTCCAAGGGCACCAACGAAACAGGAAGATGTGCCAACTTACGGTCGCATGTCGATCTGGATCTTGAGGCCGCTGCTGTCGTTCTGGCCAGCTGTGCAGAAGGTAAGAACGAAAAAATTAGCTGCGACCTCCCTCTCTAAAGTCCTCTAATGTGTGCAATGCTGTATTTAGGAACAATCGTTTCAATTTGCTTAGAAGACATTCAACCGTCATTTCGGGAGTGAAGAACCTATATTTTAAACAATTTGCCCGCTAAATTTAGCGGGGAAGCACTAACCTTTCGTCAATGTCACCGGTAAATTAATCGAGGAAACTGAATTGGTGCGTAGGTCATTTGATGCAGAATTGGTTTTTGGGTCACGAGACAGCGATTTCCCCGCTAAATTTAGCAGGAAACGCACGAGCAGACGGACGAATGGACAAACTTCTGGTATCAGGGGGTTTCATTAAAAATCATTCCCCGCTTCGAGAAATGAAACAAAATTTTGAGCTGCAAGGCAAGAGAAACAGCCCTACATTCTAAACTCTTTGCATCTCCTCACAAAGTACAGAGACACAGCTCAAGAATATTGAAAAGTAACTCATATTGTCAAAAGGGACTGATGCAGTGCAGTTTCTTTGGGCTTATTTATGTCATGTATCATTGCCTCAGCAAGGATCTGACAACATTCCCAAAAAAAAATTTTCATATACTATACTTAATGTTGTTTACTGCAATGAACAGTTTCATAAACCTCCTTTTTCCAACCGATAAACCCGACTAATAACTGCAACTTGGGACAAATAATGTTTAACTAATTTCTAGGATTGTGAGAATATTTGAATTTTCGAATAGTACTTTCGAATAATACGCTGTTCGATATTCGCGTGAAAATGAACTGTAATATTCACATTTTTCTGTGTTGATTCTGGCTGGTTAGCCCCGTTGAGTGCGCTTCTTAGCCAGCTCAGGTGCACTGCAGAGAAGCAACACCTGTGAAACTCACTATTTCGGGTGTTGCTTCTCTGCAGTGCACTGGTGTTTGTAGAAAAGCCTACCTTCAAAGCGGGATATGGTGCATGCACACGCTAGGAGTATTTAAAAAGAAATGGAAACTTTGTGAATGTTGATATCTACATTGCAGTAAAATTTTCAAAATTAAACTGTGGCTATTTTGCAAGAGTGTATGTTATGTAGTGATGTCCTGACAACCTGCATCGCTCATCTGTGTTTGGTATGCGTATATATATGGGTGGTTTCATCTCAAATCGGGCAGGCTAAAAGGGTCTAATTTTTAATTTTGACCAAAAAAATATATGTTTTGGGAGCACTTCTCAAATGTAGGAGAGCGCAAACCGCGTGTTTCCCAGATTTTCTTTTCTCGAGTTACGAAGCGTAGAAGCCGCAGTGGCAGAAGCTAGTATTTTTGCCTGCCATCGCAGGTCGCATGTCTGACACCCTCTGCTGACGCTAGTCTTGTTTCTACACCATTTTAACTTTTTCCCCCATTTAATAGGTACTATAAAGATACCTTGACGGGTTCAAATATTTGTTGAAATTTTATTATTTTCTGAAAATAATAACAAACTCGTCCCTCAGGTTGATTTTTGGTCAAATGTGGCAGGTCATTACTTTATACTTAAGGTAAATTTTCTTTCTTCAGCTCTTTAAAGAGCCCAAAGCAAGCCTATTATAGATATAATAATATCATTATGATCTGTCGACTAGCCGCTCCGCTTCCTTCACGTAAACGTTGTGAAAAATAACAAATGTTGAAAGAAATCTATTTTCTCAAAAAACCCCTTTTTGTAAACTTTTATTTTTAATTTAGATATAATAGTCGACTACAAGAAATAACAATCTAGAAATGTAATATTTTGGTTGTATGTCCTCTATTCGAGCCGCAATCGCGTGATATGTGTGCTCATTTGACTAAAATACCGCAACCTTACCGGCATTGTGCACCTCTACGATTTCGAAAATATGTTTTCATTTCTATTTACATTAACAAAAAGGAACGTAAAGTAGGCGGACTTGTGATATTCATTGTAATTTAAAACTTGAAAAAAGAGAGAAACTACATAAGCACACTACTAAACAATAAGTAACAAGTATATACAAATCAAAAGGCAACGCAACATGTCGAAAATTGTTTGTATATAGAACGATTCAAAGTAAACGAGGGTGGCTACTGATTACCCAGCCTATTACGATTGAATATTACATTCTCACACCATTCAAATTTTGTACATAAATCTTTGAGAAGTCTGCGCCGGGTTTTGTTATCCTCACATTTTGCTGATCGCCGACGGTTAACTGCACTGTTGAGCACCTCAGTAATAAAGAAATGCGCGCGCAGAACCAGTAAAAAACACAAGAAACATCGATAACACATTTTCCGAAGGCAGCACATTTTTTTACTAGTTCGACGTAACTGTGGATCAGTTTTCGCACTGTGTAGGAGCCACGAAGTCCACAGTTGCAGTTTCAAACATGCCGGCATGCACTCACTGATGATTTTCTAAATTTCGGGACACAAAGCGGTACGTCCATGTTTTGGCACGTGTATGCAGCAACTCTGTGCTTTCGCAGATCTTTTCTAGGGCAACGTTCAAGGTGCCTTCCTCCAGTGTCTTCCTCCACACGTGTGAGGATCGGATCGGTGTATTAGTCAAATGAGCACACATTTTACGCGATTGCGGCTCAAATAGAGGACATACAACCAAAATAATACATTTCTAGATTGTTATTTCTTGTAGTCGACTATTATATCTAAAAAAATTCAAATAATAAAAATTTACAAAAATGGGGCTTTTGAGAAAATTGATCTCAAACTTTCAACATTTATTTTTCACGACGTTTACGTGAAGATAGCGTAGCGGCTAGTCACCAGATCATAATGATACTATTATATCCAACCTCTTCTGCGCTGTCACTGCGCGACGCAGCAGAGGCTGGTTGCACTATTTCTCCACGGGGCGCTGTGCCGTCGGGGCCGAGATGCGCTTCGATAGCAAACCGAAACTTAAAAACCTGTTGAATTTGTGCGGTTTCTCAGAAAGCCGTAAAATGCTGCGCGTGCCTTCTATCGATCTGCAATTTGCTGATTTAGTGTTTTTTGATGATGCTGAGCAATTTTATAATTCAAACCATGCCCTTAAACACAATATTAAAAATGTGAATTACGCAAAAATAATTATGAACTTAGTTATCCCGGACTTTAATAATTTTCCTAAATAGGCCCCTGGCCTAGGACCAAGACGACACAAGCCTTTTTTCGTTGCGATGCATAGTTTTCGCAATATTGAATTTGCCCACCTTTCGTGAGACACCCTATATGTATATATATTTGTTTTTTGTTTTAAGATTGTAGAAAAGAGTTTTGCATAAAGCAAGATTTATGAATCCACTCAAATGTGTAGCTTCGAATTTCTGTAGGTGTAATTTTACGTCAAATCTCTCAATTTCTTACCACACTAATGTAGGCATTGGGCTCCTTGAAGCCAGCCCATAAATAGAGTTAAAATAAAAATTAACTGAGCTTAGAAGTGGACAAGTGGAAGCCTAGAAACTATCTTCAAGAGTTCAGCTGGCTTTTAGTAGTCACTGACTTGCCTCAGATTTGGCTCAACACATTAGTAGACAGATCTAAACCAGTAACCCAAGTTACAAACCACAATAACCTTTTTTCTTTTTTGTGTTTAAAGTTATTGGAGTTTAAAATTTGGTCCGAGAGGCTCTACTGGCCACACTGAAGACGTGACATCAGAAGTCATGATATGGGGCAACATGAGTGCAGTACAGGGGACACTACAGAAAATTAATGCTAGGGAAGCTCACGCCAGCAGGAACAAAAACACGTGCAAAATATTGCATTTTTTAGACTGCCCGCTTGATTTGCGAGTTACACTGCACGTGACGTCGCCCATTGGAGCAGGCGGGAAAATTCAAACGTTGACTTTGGCGTCTCCTTTACGTGCCGTTTTCTCGGTGGCTATTTAGAATTTAAAGATAGCATGCCAGAAAGAGTAAAGCCTGGGTATTTTGAAAATTTCCTTTAGTTTGGGTGGCCCAAAGATGCGCCAGAGCTCCCTCCCCTTTAAGCACGGTGAGACAGTGATGAAAGTCTAAAAAAAATATTCAATATCGGATTAAAAAATATCTGGCCAAAAACCACTACACGCCTCGAGAATTTGCTTCAAACTCAAACTCCACTCTATTCGCACGCAACTACTCACGAGGTAGCCTGGTGGAGTAGTGCACCTGGAGCAGCAGGTAGCGGACCGGAGTCTTGCGTCCCACCTGGAAGCCCACGTCTGCGGGGAAACAGAGATCAAAGCCGTTAGCCGGGCCCGGCGTGGTGCAAAAATGTGTTTTTTGCGAGGAACCAGAGAAGTAGGCTGTACAGCGGGGATTTAGGACGGAGTGGTGGCTGGCAGTGCCGGCTGCGTTTCAATGGGCCTCCAAATGAAATGCCACCTCGGCTCGAGTTCGTAACTCGGGTCACTCTGCCATGTCGAGTTAATGCCGCATGCAGGGGGCATGAGCGAAATTTTCGTAAACGGTTTGTCGAATGAGACAGCACTGGCAGCCACGACATTCGTTGCCAAAAGCGTCGCCACTCGTCTTAAGGCCTCATTCCTTAATGCAAATTTTCTCTTAACTGCGGAGGAAAAAGCCGTCACTAGAATGAGCCAGGTATTGTGTCAAATGCAAGACAAGCCCTCTATATCTCGAAACAAATTACCTAGGAAAAAGAAAACACCGCTGCAGTAAACTTTCGTCAGTTCGACCTCGGTTAATTCGACTTTTCGTTTAATTCGATCGTGTTCATAAAGTCCCAGCAAGCGCCCATACATTTCAATGGGAGGAAAAGTTCCATAGTTCGAACTCGGGAAGACTCTGCATCGGACAATTCGTCCCGAGCGAATGCGCGCGGGCTCACGTTGCACGGCACCACGGCAGAAAAACCACCAGCATACGGCAAAACACGAGCCCTTTGCTGCAAAGCCGAACGTGCGCAAATATGCGCCTGCTCCTCTACGCCGTTGAGGTGGACTGTAGCAAATGACACGAGTCAGCGCAACCAATCTGGCGTGGAGTAGCACGGAGAACACAGCACGTGGTCGGGCGCAGAGGCAGCGTGCGCGCTCTCAAAACGCTTTCTGTAGCATCGTGCGCGGTCCATCTTGCGCGCCGGAAAGCGTGGGTTTTTTTCTTTTTGTTATTTTTTTCTGTCGCCGACAGTCTGGCCGCCCGACGCCAAAGTTTCTTTCTCAGCGCGCGCTCTCAGAGCGCTTTTCTGTAGCATCATGTGCGGTCCTGAGCGCCAAAAAGTATGGGTTGTTTTTTATTTTTATTTTTTGTTATTTTGCTTTGTCGACAACAATCTGGCTACCCAACGCCAAAATCAGCTCGTAAAACTTTTTTTTTTTTTGCAGTGCGCAATTTTTTGGGGACAAGACGTTTACTTACACTGCTCTCCGCAGCATGCTTTTGGACACGCGTTTTAAGCGCGGACGGCAGCAGACCATCCGTGAGTACTTTGGGTAATAAAAGGAAGTTTAATTTTAACCGTTTTTCTGTCCTTTTTTTTTAATTCGATCATTCGGATAATTTGACCAAGCTTCAAGGTTGCGTCGAGGTCGAATTAACCAAAGTTTACTGTATATTCCTTTTCAATAAGCTTCTCTCAAGCCACTCGGGTGGAAACGTCACTGCAAAAGACAGCAGACGAGTATCCCCCCCCACTCTCCCCCGCCTGCTCGTGCACTAACCCTTTTCTTCAGCCAGCCAAGGGCAAGGATTTTTTCTTTGTTCGGTTTAAAGCAAGCCAGCCCGTTCAGTCCGACATTTCAGCAGGTTGGTTTTCTATCGCCACGGGGATGCAACGTAACAAAGCTGCCGCAATATTGTTTTTAAAGGTGCATTGCACCTTTAAACACATTACTCTCAATTAATTGGCCAAAATCTAAGTCATTGCACCACCCTTTTAAGATAGAGGCAACCCAAATTTTGCGCAAACGTGGTAAAAGTTGCCAGGTAATTCTGAGGCCGCTGCGCAGCCCGGAGCAGAAGGAGCCCGACCTGGAGGCAGCCTGGTTGTGGGGGCGTTCCTAGCCCAGCCGTACAGGACCGTGGGGTTCTCGCACACATTGTTGCGGTCGCAGTTCCTGCAAGTCAGACACAGAGGAAAATGTGCACCCTCTAGGGGAGGCCCAACGACGCTTGCTACGCAGCCCGTAACGCGTTTTCAAGAAGCGTGTTTAGCATCCTATCCCACCCGTGCGTCGAAGGCGTTCCCGAAGTGGCAACAAACGACATCGCAGGAAAGCGGCACGTCACATTGTCGGACAACACAATCCTGGCGGTGCATGCTAGAAGTCCGGCAGACATGCCGCCAGGGTCACGGCTGGCGACAATGCAACAGTTCTACGACGTCATCGCGGCAGAAATCGAGGGAACACATCGCCAGGAGGGAAGTGTGTAAGCTTTGAGGGTGCTGTCAGTTACAAGGGCGCCGTAAACACACCAGCAGGAGACGCATTCCGAGCACCATAATTGTGCCTCTAGAATGCTCCAGTGCAGGAGCCAGCCCTCTCAACCCGCTCACGGGCCCGCCCGGTCGCGTCCGGGGTGCGACGCGGGGCGACCCACCCACCAGGAGCCCGGAGAGAGGTGGTCCCTGTCGAAGATGTTCTCGCAGCCGATGAGCAGCATATGGTGGGCCTTGTCCCCGTCCAGCCGCGGCTCCAGGCTCACTGAAATGCACCGAGGGTCGCACGGGTCGGTGATCGTTTTCCAATCAAACCCCACCGTTTGGATGCTCCCTCGCCGCCACATGCCGTTACCGTGCCGAAAGCATTCGGTGTTCCACGAGTGCTTTCGTAGGAGCATTGAACGAGCGAAACCCAGAAAAAATGTGGGCATGCATCGTGGGGCCTTGTACGAAGGCCGATTGAGAAGCAATGAGACTGCATTTGTTTGTTTTTTTTGCAAGAAGATAGACGGGCAGTGTTGAGCCGATGTTTGTGAAGGTAATGCATCCGCATGTCTGAAATTTTAGTCGGGCCATACAAGTCTTTAGCATTCTGTCGCAGTGAGTGAAAGCTTCTCGTACGTGTTGTCACGGCGATGAAAAAGACATGCTAGTAAGAGTATGGCAGAGGCGCATGACTGGATTTTGCCTTTAAAGACTGGTGACTGCACCATTACACTCTTTGTGGAGCCCGGACTCATTGCTGTGCGAGTTCTGGGCATTTGCAACACTGATAAAATAAATAAAAGACTGCATGGAAGGAAGTTCTTTTCATATAATGAAGTGAACAAAGTCGCTGCTGCAATGCTGAAAGTGAAGTTGCAGAACATTCTTATACATTTCACTGAATTCTTTCTGAAACACACTAATATATTGAACGTGAAGGATGCTACCTTGAAAGTAAAAACGATAAGAATCACCCAATTTTGAATGAATTGGCTGATTCCGATCATTCAATTCACCCGACGCCTCCTAAAATAAACAAAACCCGCGCACTAGTACTTCGACATCATCGCAGTAAGACAAAGTGCTGGCAAGGATTGGGCCCGAATGCTGCTTCAGTGTTCAGCTGGATCTTGCATCCAGTCAAAGCATAGGAGGAGGCTTGGTGTCAGGCTCGGGCACAGTTGCTGGGTTGGTGCCATCCGAGTGCGACGAAGTTATGTGGAGGTAGAGAAGGCCTTTCGCAAGCTTTCATTATTCTAGGTGGAGTTTTCCGGAGACCCTTACCTATGTAGGCTTCTTCGTAGCTCAGGTCAAAAGCAGTGCAGTAGTGGTCACCAGCCTGCAAGGACAAGAGCATTCTGCCTCAGCTAACCCGACAGGGGCCCAAAAGGTTCAGCTCGCTCAATGCATTCACACTAACCAGATAAGACGACGCTGCCCACGTTGGCGGGTACCAAGAGCTTGGGTATTCAGACGACAAACTCAACAAACCATAATATTTGCTTCGCGAGTGATTACTTACGTGGTCTCTGGATGGTTAGCGCGACACAATTACTGCCGTGTACGTCGGGTCAAAATCCCGACGTAGGGCTTGTGAGCGTGCCTAGATTTCAGAGTGTTTTGAACCGCTCGATCGAGGCACATGGTTTGTGGGCTGCATTTGTGAAACGAGCCTAGAAAAGTTGACAAAAGCATCAACTGTCTGCAAGCGCCTCCGCCTGCTTTCATTCCCGCCACCCAACGACGCAATGCATGCACACTTGGGACCAGTCTGTGCAGGAGGCACCCGCCGTTAAATTGCAGACACTCTCTGTAATTGGTTTGCTTTATCTCTTCCGGTCTTGAAAATGGGAAGGGGCCTTTGTGGGATCCCCAGGACAACGGACAGGAAGAAAGACACAGACACAGCGCTGTGTCTTCCTTCCTGTCTGTTGTCCTGTTGCGCTTTTTAACCCTTATAGATCAAACTATCTGTGCCGAGTGAGCAGGGCTGATTATTCTCCATTTCAGGGCTTCAAGGTAAGTTCAAGAGTGCCTAGTTTTCTTTCTTTTTTTTTTTTTTTTTTTTTAATTTACCCTCTTAACATTAAATTTATTCAGTACCCCCCCCCCCCCAACTCCCCGGTGGATGGGGTCCCCCATTACTTTCGCCAATCCAGAAGGGGTCCATATCGTTTTTTCGAAATTCGTTTCATGGAATTACATTTCGTGGAGAACTTTTCATAGACACACATTTTATGGACACATATTTCATCGACACAAACGTGTCATTGACATTCACCACGCGAATTGCATGCTGTAGGGACATTTCGTCGAGCATGTATCACAAGGTTGCGTGTCAAACCATCCGGCCGCCCCGTTTACGCCTCTTCATGGCGACAGTCTGCGACAGCTCATTACAAAAATGTTAACACACCTGACCCACCGATACACGCCATGTTGCAGCAACAGTCTGATGCAGCTTATTACAAAAAAAGGCTAATCTGAGCTGTCAATGAAATGATTTGCCAATGAAATAATCTGTCGATGAAACATTGCACGTCAATGAAGCATTGTTTGATGAACTATTTGCCAGCGATCCAGAAGGGCTCTTCAAAACGTTGCCCAGGCCATTGGTTTGGGGGGCGAAGGAGGTTGGGCCAGTCTGGTCCTGTTGGGTGTGTGAAATTCCGGTCGAGGTCACTGACCTTTCTGGGCTCAACACCTGGCATGAGCAGCAGCATGTCTGAGCGCGTCCGATGCCTCGGGTACGGGGGCTCCCCGCGCCTCCAGAATGCATCCGCGCATGCCAGGGCCAAGCACAACAGGACGCCGCTGCAGCCCTGCATGCAGGCATGCCGGAGACGATGAGAATTTGGGACAGTCAAGCACCAGTGAAATGTGAACTCGAGCCGCTGGGCAAAACAAAATAGCTCTAAAAAGGTGGATTGCTGGCCTGGTTGATTGATCGACATGATAAAAAAGAAAGTGCAAAAAGGATGGGACAAATTCAGAGAAACACGCACACATGGGACAGATGCTGTCTCGTGTCTGTGTGCTTGTACAGAAAAAAAATTGGGGTATGTGTATGTTTATACAGTCTAGAACTTAGTTTGCCTCAATGGGCAACTTGTCTCCCAGCTATAGTTGAGCAATTAAGCCGGTGCAGTACAACCACTAGCCTTGGGTCTTCAACGTGCTTCACACAGTAGTGATACACGACCGCACGGCGGTGCGATACTCATCCAGATAGAAATGGGCAGGGGTGGGGATTGAACCCAGGATCCCTGGGTTTTCAAGCGCAAACTTTCACTCCACATGCTCCGTGCTGGTGTGCACTGGCCCACTTGGCCACCAATCCCCATGCGTTTGTATGACTTTGTCTTGTTGTCGCGTTTTTGTTCGTTATGTTGATAAACCACTTTGCCTACCCGAGTTGACGTTGGGTGTGGAAGGTACAATTGGGATTAATGTAAATCCCCGGTTTTGAACCAAAATAATCTGCTGGGAGAGTTGGTTAAACATAATGAATACTGAAGTGCCAAGGACAAAGAGAAGCAAAAAACGCAGACAAGACGTGCTCTTTTACTTGTCCGTGTTCTTGACGCAAGGGACCATGAAGGCAGTTTCGAAGTTTTATTCGACGATTGAAATGGATGTCAGGCACGTCTCAGATACTGTTGACCAAGTTCTAGCCCGAACAGAAGTTTGGCTGCCGCACCAATCGAGCAAACAGGCGCGGTAATAATAGCACCGGGAACGATGCCTGAGACCCCACCGAGGCGGCGGCAGAAAGGTGAACTAAAGTGCGCCGTCGAAGCGTGACGAAAACGGGCACCTCGTCTGGCGATTGGTTCAAATGATAGACGCGCTCTTGGTTTTGATTTCGGTGGTGAGATGTGATGAAAATTTTTTATTTGAACGTTGGATAATCTTTTTAAGTTGTAGTTGGGAATTAATAGGTTTCATACCGTGTATAAAAGCATAATCTGAAGCGATCCCTCCGTTTGTCACTGGTTGAACGTATCCCGCACTGCTACCTCGGGCGCGTAAAAAGCATCAAGCAACCATGGACAAAAAAAAAAAAAAAAAAGAAGGTATGAGCGCCGGGGGCGGCAGACTTTTGGTTTTGGTTTCGTGCGTCGTCTCGTGCTCGCTTTGCGAACTGGTGTCTCACCAATCATGCCGCGTTTATGTGCAGTTTTAGGTTGCGCGAAAGGTCGGCTAAAGACGTGCGGTCGGTCAGGCGACGTTAGTTTGCATAAACTGCTGACCGATGCAGAAATGCTGCGCATTGCTGCATCGGTCGCCAATCCAGAGTTCTGCGTCCTTAGCAGCATCTCCCGTTCAGTCGGCGTGAGGTCGCTGAACGGGAGCTCAAACTCGTTTGCGAGAGCGGCGTTGTCGTCCATTTCTTCCAGGTTTTCTTCACAGACCGCCGTGCACTAGAGCGAACCACAAAAACCACAGTGAGTGTGCACTAAATCCTACCGATGCCGACAGTGCTCCTTGACGTCACTTCTCTTTCCAGAGACGAAAAAGGGAAGAAATCTGAATGTTTGTTTTGGTTTCGCAAATTTATTTGCAGGTACAGAAATAAGAGTCACTACGTTATAGAAAAAATTGTGTGGCATGCCAGGACCCCAATGCTTCCGAAACACCTTCTTTTTAAAAAAAGATTAAATTGCCTTCATGGTCCCTTTAAGTGTTTATTACATAATAATGCCCGGTTAGATGGGATGGCACTGGCACCCGACATGTTTGTCATAAAATGAACAACTGCTTGCTGTTTTAAGGCCTTGTCGTTAGCCTCTATCAATATTCCACTACAATGAAGGGGAAGGAAGGCTGAAAGATGAAATTCGCAACCGCTGTCACCAACCGTTTCGTTTATCACGCTCAGTATAGTGCAATATTTAATTCCTACTAAACTTCGGTGGAGTGGGGTCACCATTTTCTGACTTGTCCATTTCCCTCAACTGGAACCACCTTTCATCATATTGGGCGAGGACTGAATTGCGAGTGCATCAGCATCCCCAACAAGCGGAACAACACTGCAATGCTATAAGGCGGTTCCACAAAATTACTTTTCCCTTCCGGTAAGCCACGTTCCACCATGTTGATGAACAGCGTCCACCACTTCCCCCATTAGCTTTCATGTAGACGGCTGTTCTCAGTGACAGGTTAAGAGTTCAGGGGAAACCCCTCCCACCTCTTTTCACTTTAGCAAAGCAAATGCTGGAGAGGAGGTTGCCTCCTCTCCAGCGTTCCTCTTGCTGAAAGAGGTGAGAGGAGTTTCCCCTTAACTCTTAGCCTGTCACGGAGAACAGTTATTGGCATCGTTTACTGGCGTTGGTGAAAATGACGGTAAGTATAATCTAGGACATTTTTGGGCCACACAAACCCATGCCTCCGCTTTTTTTCTCTTTCAGAATCACTTTGGTGGTGTTGTCTACCATAGCCAGTTTGGCTATGGTAGACAACACCTACCATAGCCAGTTTGGCTATGGTAGACTCTTCTATCGCTGGTATGTATAAGAATTTCAGAATCAAGTTAGCCAATGTTTTTTTTTATATCGCAGACTACTCTGGCTGGCACAGTCTGTAACGATGCGAAGTGACTCGAGTGATCCGAGAAACACCGCCTCCGCGCATAAAACAACAAGAGGTGAAAGTTCATCGACATGGCGTCTGGCAATAGTCTAAGCCGGAAATGTGTCACGTGAAATGAGTTGCGCAAGAACAGCAGGCTGTCTCCTTCAGATGCGGGACCTCCAGCGCGCGCTCATTGGCTTCCACCGCGCTTCTGCTGCGCGTATGCATTAGAATCCTAGGAGATGCCGAGGTATTGCCGAAAGTAGGAAGCTCAAGCTAGAGGTGGGATGACTGAAAGACCTACCTGCCATTCTCATCAGACTATATAGTACACATTCTGTACTATTTTAAAAACGAACAGCCCGTCAGACCGCTTGGAAGCAAGCAGCTAAGAGGAAGCTACCCTCATGTGCAGGGTGACCAGACGTCTCATTTTACAGGTTCATTTATGCCGTATCACCATTTTTTCTCTATAAAGCCAAATGTCCTGTTTTCGTGGGGACATGCACGATGCGGAACCAGTTCTAAGCACGGGAAAGAAAACTGAAAGAATGTATAATTGTCAGAGACAAAATTTCACAAAAAATAGACGTGCTATGAAAACGTTACCTAGTATGAAGTATAATGAGAGGTAACCAGTGTTGCTTAGAACTATCTCACATTACCTGAATCGGAACAAATTTAACATTTTCAGAAGAGGCTCATTCATATGATTTATGATTGGTATTCTATAGAAAGTGTTTTTATGATTATGCCTTTATTATTAGAAAACACAACTTACAAACTTTATCAAGCAGAAGAGTCATGCAAGACATATTATGCGTTTTTTAATAGAATGATTCACGGTCAACTTGATTGTGCTATGTCATGTTCCGTGAACTTCCACGCACCTATCCATGTTAATAGATATGCCTGTTCATTTTATCCTTTACATCAGGAGAAGCTATGTCCCATTACCTGCATGCAACTTACTTTTAATGACATGTTCACCAACTCTGTGGATATTTTTGTCAATTATGAACATTTTTATTTATTTATTATTTATTTTATTTAACAATACTGTCAGCCTTCACTTGAAAGCTGACAGTATTGTTCAGCACTAAGCTGAATCACTCTTGTACAGATAGCTACCATATCGTTTTTCAACCTTTTCTATAAGATTGTAGGTGTGGACGTGCGCATATTATGAATGTATAACTGTTAGTGAGCATGCTATGTTTTGTACCTAAGTGGCTCATAAAAAGACTTTAATCGTTTTGAGGCATGAAAAACCAAATAAATAAAAAAATATAATAGTTTCGAGCTTGATGTGTGGTGGCTCCTGCCCGTACATCTTGTTTGGGAGACTTTCTCATATTGCTTAAAAAGAAACTCCGGTCGAAAACGAAACCAAAATAAATGACTGGGGGCATGAAATATGATCACAGCCGAAACATTAGGTCAAAGTGAAGACGCATACTCCACTAAAACTGATTTTAAAGATGTGACCAGCTGTTCTTTAGCGGGCAGCAAGTGGGTTAGCTTTTAGTCAAGGAACACCGGTGCAGCACCCTTGTGACGTCACGTTGCGGTGGAGCTGCAATTGATCGGTTGTACCGCGTACTGCAGAACCCTTGTGACGTCACGTTGGGGCTCGATAGATGGATGTGTGTTAATGGCTATACCCTTTGTAACGGGCGGTAGCTTGCGCCACCTAGCCTAGTCTGAAAAGACAAACATATGATTCCTCCCCCCCCCTTCTAAGACCAATTTTCTCCCCCAACGATCGCCAAACAATGTGGGATATCACCAGGATGACCTTCGGAGATCGGGAAAAAAAAACTAAAAACATCACCCCCTGCACCAGACCCACTGGTGGACAGGGTTGAGACTTTGGGCCGGGAGGGAGTCCCAATTTTCCTCTCTCCCGCCTGTTCCCAGCTGTGCTAGTTAGTTGCGCATCATTCAATTTTTCCTAGATAATTTCCACCTATCTTCTAACCTCTTCTTTGTGACTGTAACCCTTTCGTCCTCCGTCCTTCCATCGTCACCCGCAAAACCCAAAGCCCCGGCCAAATCTGTTCCCCCTTCAGGGAGGGGAGGGCGAAGTCCCGAGCAGCTCAAAAAGAAGTGATCTAGTGTCTCGCTCTAATTATGGCAGGCGGCACACAATGTGTCTGTCTCCTGAAATTTAGCCCTCTATGTCCTCGTCCTCAAAACTCCTGTTCTCGCCTCGAACAGTAAAGAACTTCCCAGTGAATAGTAAGAT